TAAAGGAACAAACAAGTGGTGGAACAGAAGAGATAAATACGCTCCAACAATTAGCAATTAAGGCCGTCACGGTTTACCGTTCATGGCCGTGGCGACAGGCAAACCATGCCGAACAGGAGCGTGGTATGACCCAATGCTTTGGAATCCCCTGAAGAGAGAGTGGTTAGCATCATATGGAAAACTTTGGCGAGAGGGAGAAATGTGGCCCTGCAAAGGGCAGAAGGGTGCAAAACATACTTGGAAAGGTCAAAGCCAACATCCTCTTCGACTTCGGGAAGGACCGGCTCTGGTGCTGACGGTGCTTCTGCAGGAGCAGGAACATCTGTCGCGTCGCTTGCAGGCGTTTCCCCTTTGGCCTCTGATGTGCTTCGTGCAGGGCGCGTTGGGCTGGAAATGGGAGACTTAATCCCAGATCGCTTCACAGGGGGCGGGCTGCTGCTGGCCGGCATCATGGCGACAGAGCTGCTGACACCGCTGCTGAGTCCCAGCGCCTTGGACGGGCTGAAGTCAAAGGAGGGCGGTGGTTTCAAAGGGGTGCTTCCAATGTCGGCGTACTTCCAAAAGGGGGCAGGAGAACTTGTCGGCATGTGCTGGCTGGGTCGTTGCAAGGTGCTGGGGGGGTTCAACTTGAGTTCCACACGGTGCGGTGCCGGCGTTACAAAGGACGAGCTGATGTCGTCTTGGAGGAACGTCGACGTTAGTGTTGGCGACCGTGGGATGACTGGATCGGGAGCTGTGCCGCTGGCTGAGGCATCATTAGTAGCTGCCCCGCCGAGGATGGATGTGCTGTTTTTGGCTTTACTTGCAGCAGCGCCTCTACGGTAACGAGGCAAGGGGCTTCCGTCTGACGAGGCAGGCGCCTCATCCGGGAGGAGACGGCGCGAACTGCGATCGGGTGTCATGTGCACGTCGCGGAGACTTGAGCGAGGCTGCGGGGAACCGGTGGGTGACACACGGCGCTTCCGGGCGGATCCGTGGTCCTTGGCGGCCATGTCACGGGGACCTTGGTTGACGTAGTTCAGCTGGCTAGGTGACGACGGGTTCGAAGATCCACGATGGCCGCCACGACCGCCCCGGTAGGCGGTGCGAACCATTTCGTCCTTGTATTCGGGCAAGATGTACCACTTCATTCCCTTGCCGGGTTCCTCGGTCGAGCGCGCAACCTTTTCAAATGCCTTGTTCAAGGACAGGTTGTGGCGGATGGAGTTCTGCATAGGCGCCCGCGATTAGTACACACAGTGGCACAAGAGCATGCAGAAAACGGCATTCAAAAAGCAAGCAAAGCGCGACGGAATTGGCAACAGGGACGGGGAGACACTGGGGAAGCATTGCGAAGTTTGTTAGAGCTGCGCCGGCCTCGGCTTACCTGCCAGCCAGCAGCTTGCTGGTGCTTGTAGTAGGAGTAGTTCTCCATGATAAAATTGTAAATACCGTTCAGGTTCAGCCGGCCCTCGCTGGTGTTCATGATCGCCTGAGTAATCATCTGGGCGTACGAGTACTGGGGCTTCAGGTTCTTGTTCTCGTCCAGGCTCAGGTCAACGTCGTTTGGGTGAACCACCATGGTGGGAATGTCCCGGAACTGTGGCGACTTGAGATGCGACGTTGGGACAGATGTGCGGCTCCGAGCTGACGGCGGCGTCCCAGGGCGCTTATAGTCGGGCGGTGCGGGTGCAATCGCCTGCGGTGTAGGCTGGCCACGAGGAAGCGTGCTACGTATTGTGGAGCCACCATGAGGAGAAGATTCAAGGCCGCTGCCGACGGGCGTCGTGGCGCGCAGCTTGTGTCGCAGGGACGTGTCATCCGACAAGCCGGGCTCGGACTTGGGCAGGCCAGCGCGTTGCAGATATACGTCGTGAATGTGCAGAGGGCTGGTCTCCAGCGGCAGGACGAACATCATCTCGATGCCACCGACGTCGATCACGTCACCACTTTCGAGCGGCTTGGATTGACCCAAGCGCCAAGGCGCGCAGTTGACCTTTATTCCATTGCGGCCCTTGACATTGAGATACCACTTTTCGCTTTTGGTATTGAAGACGATTTGGGCATGCTGACGCGAAACCATCTTGCTGGGTCCTAGGTCGATGTGCACGAAATCGGGGTCGGCATCGGGGTCGTAGCGCTGCGGGTATTCTGGCGCCGGCTCGGGGGTGCGGCCGATGTTGATTGTGAGCTTTGTAACGTAAAATGTCCAGTCCTGTGCAGCAATCTTCGCGTACGCCTGCACGCCTTCCTTGTTTGCCTCGTGTATCGCGTTGGAGTGGTCCTTGCTTGCACGAAGGTCGTCGTTCGGAGCGAGGAGATGCTGGGTCACGCGGGCGACAATCTGGGTTTCGTCGACGGGCAGCACGGCGGAGTTGTCGGCAAGGAGACTGGACGTCTCTTCTTCGGGGACATCGTGCGGCGCTTCATCGGCCTGGGCACGAAACGACACAGGTCAGCAACACGAAATAAAGTAACGCGTCGAGTGCGGCATACGCCTGCGAATGGCGAGACGCGCGACGGTGGCGAGAGTCGACAAGAGGGGTCGCGACATGCTTACCTGCTTTCTGCGCTTGGCAGGCCGTGTCGGCGACGATTCTTCAGGCTGGTCGGCAACGGAGTCCTTGCGCCACGAGTTGCGGCGAGCCCGCTGCGATGATCTGCGCGGTGTTGGCATCGTAGATGGAACAGGCGCGGTGGCGTCAAAACGGCGGGTGTTCCAGGACCATGCACGGTTCGGCAGTGATGGAATCGAAGTGCGTCGCGGCGTGGAAGGTAAAAACTTTCTTCAGTAGGCGGGATGCGACGCGACGCAAGCCGAGCTGATGGAAACAAAATAGAGGGAAGAGTAAGTTGGAGGTTCGCGGCGGCCAATTCGATGGGAAAGTGTCGAGGGCGACGGCAGGGAGGAAGGGAGGTGTGGCAACAGGAATAAGAAAATGGGCGCGATTAGGGTGGCTGGTGTGAGCGAAAAAAAAAAAAAAAGTCCAGAGTCCAAAGTCAATATTGATTTTCGAGCTCCACGAAGCTGTCAGAAAAACGGCAGAATTCGAGCGCGTGCGTAATCTCGAACTGACAGAACAATCCGGGCACAAAGAAACCGGCTAGAGGACGCAAAATAATAAAATAATAAAAGTGAAAGACGATGAAACTCTCCAAGTTGTCGCTCGCGGGGCTGCCAATCCGGAGAAATCGCTGGATAATTTAATCGGCTGGCTGGTCCTTGCGAAACGCAAGAAGACACGGCGACGACAGGGGGCGAACAGAAGAGGAGAAGGGCAAAAAAACAACGTGAAAAAAATAAGAGGCTAGTCCAATGCGACGATTAATAAAAACGTAGGGAGGGTGACTGGGGCTGCGATGTGGGTAATTAGTGGGCGGGCGATCCTGGTGGTGGTCGACAATGTTCGTGATTATTGATGATGAAAGGGGAAAAGAGACATTGGGGATGGGGAGACGATGCGAAGAGGACGCGAGGGCAGTAAAGCCAAGGAAAGAAGGAAAGAGGGGAGGGGGGAGGCGCCGCGAACATGGACACAAAAGTAAATGAATGGTCAAGAAAGGAAGCCGCGGTGAGTCCCAGCTGCTCTTTTGGCATTTGTTTAGTTTAATTGATGACAATGCGAACGGCTCCTGTTTTGGTGGTTGTGGTTGATCGCGGTTGCTCGTTCTGGCACTTTAATTTTCGCGTCACTGGCGCTGCTGGATTTCTGTGGTCTTCTTTGTCCCTCGCCTCCTCCTTGCGGAAAGTGCATTACAGTGTTTGTCGTACTTTGTGGCCTTACGGGGGAAGTAGCGGCGACAAAGGGAACTCGCGACTGGATCCATTGTAAGGACGGGAAGGTACGAATGTACGCAAACACGACGCCCGGTACCTGGGCGCTGATTGGCGGCAGCGCGCCATATGAACCCCGCAGCCAAAAAGGGATAAAAATAAATAAAACACTGCCTGAAAAAAGTGTAAAAGTGTCTCTGGTCGTTTAAAAGTACAAGACACCCACTGAAAGCCTCAATGTCTCACCTTGAGCGCATCCGGCGCAATTGGCCAAGATTCCACAAAAGACATACCGTACATGACTCGCAGGGCGGCGGGATGCGCAAACTCCAGTTTCCAGTCCAGGAGGGAGAGAAGCGAAATTTCAGCAGTAAGGAGGTGCACGAACGTGTTTTAGGAAGCAGCGATTGGTCAGTGCAGGTCACTGTACGACGTAAAGACGAGTAAATACAACGGAAAGAGCGATCGTGATGACGGCTCGAGAGGGGCAATTGATTACATCGCACCTGCCAAGTAACTACATCATGTGCTTTTCCATCAATACTCAACAAGATACACGACGGGCAAGTGCGAGTCGATGGCAGCTTAGTGGTGTAAAGCACTCGTCATGCCCACTGCCGCAAGTGGACAATGGTGAGTGTTTTGGATGGCCGCCACGACTCGTGTTTACTCAGCTCCCGCATCCCGACTTGGGCCAACAGCCGCAGACAAATACCACCAATTGACGCACGCAAAGTAAGAGACCAAACAGACTGCAATAAGACACTGTATTTACCTGTCAAAACTCCCGCGGCTCCGACAAAACATTGCGTGGGAAATGTGGAGAGGCGACCGACATACTGCAGGAGGCCGACTCGAAAAGACTCCTGGCAAGATGGAAGAGGTGGCAATGGCATGGCCGGTGGTCGAGATATGTATGGCGTATTGGCCCGTTCTATATGAGTAGGACGGAAACTGCCGACTGTCAAGCACGAGAACAAAGAACAGCAACAGCCTCACGAAGAGGGGTGCGCATATGACGCTTATGGCAAGACGTAGCATCCAGCATTGGAAGGCCGAAGCAACATTGTACGCGTTGTATTTCGTAAGAGTCCAGGATTCCAATCTTGAGTAAATGTAAACCATAATCAACGGACAGACGTAACGAAACTAGAGGTATCCAATCATGAGGCAAACGGCAGCAACTAGAATAGAAAGACAACAGATGCAAAACAAACGTCAAAGACACGGCACTGCCGCTGGCCCCCTAACGCTTCGGGGGAGGGTCGCGGGGGGTTGGCGTCTGGTACAATGCGCGCTGGCCGTCAGGGATCGGCGACGGTGACGGCGACGGCCGCTTCTTGGCCGTCTTGGAAGGCAGCGGCGGCATGCCAAACAGCTCGAGCACGGGGTTGAAGTCGATAATGTCCTCGGACGCGACCGGCACGTGCACCCAGCGGATGCCGCCGGCGACGTCGACAGCAAACGCGCCGCCCATCTGCCACTTGTTGCCGTTGGGGGACGAGCCGGAGCCGGACTCTGTCGTTGACCCCGACGGGACAGGCACCTTCTTATGACCGCCCCAGGCTCTGCTCCAAATGCCCTCGTCGCGGCCCAGAGCGTACGTGGCATACAGCGCGCGCGGGTTGAACATTTGCCACGACGTGTTGAGGCCCAGGCCCCAGCGGGCGTACAGGCTGCGCTCCGGATCAGCAACGACTTCGACCTCCCAGGCACCGCCAATGTCGGCCACCCAGAGGTCCGTGACCTCGCGGGACGCCTGAGAGACGGCTATGCACGTCAGTTCCGGGCGGTCCTCGGAGAGCGCGGCCAGCGAGCGGAACGTCTTCTCGGCGACTGAATAGTTAGTAACGAGTCGAGACGAGGCCAGCAGTACTCTGCAAACAGTCCGTAGACCCACAGGGATCGCCGCACTGGCGAAGGAACACGATGAGGACGGGCTTCGATCGTGGCATGTTGAACTCGGGAGACGGCGGAGCCGGGCCGTCCACAACGGGGACAGGGGCGACGACAGGCCCTGTGGCCTTGCTAGCGGCAGGGGTTTGCTGGGCCATTGTGGAGACGATGTGTTCAGATTATTCGGAGTAGTACTTCTGTCCGTGCGATGCTGTATAGGAAACCAAATAACAATGCGACATGTCGTGAAGAGCAAAGGGATGGAAATCACGAGCTCTTGGCTAGGCGTGGCAAAATTGCCGCTTTGGGGGCAAGCTCTCCCGCGGAAAACGGCAGGTGCGACCATGGCCAAAAATGGTGTCGCCGATAAGATAAAGCTCCCCGCTTCAATCGCCGGTGTGGCAGCCGTCCTCAACGTCACTTTTGCAAAAATAATGTCAATAGCGCGGCATAAACAAGCATCTGTGTATGGATAGTTTTGGCATTACTATCTCCCGTTTTCATGATCTTTCACCGTTTTGCAACGATATTTTCTTTTAATATTCTTGCCGCGAACACCCGCATTTCCTTTGGGACTAGATTCTCCTAGGATTTAAATCGTCATTTGTCAGACGTCGTTTGACAGCGACAAAAGCCCGGACTGAGAGGAAAGACTCTGCCCGGCCTGCATCTTTCTGGCCACTCACGGCCAACGAACACAATGCACGAGATTATCACATTACAGCTCGGCCGACAGAGCAACTACGTGGCGGCACATTTCTGGAACGCTCAGGTAGGTAGGCTTGACTCAATCTTCGTTTTCGTTCTTGGTCATGTCCATGCGTCTGACACGTCTAGGAATCCTACTTTACTTATGGCAAGGATGACCCGTCGCCTGTCGACCATGACATCCACTGGCGGGCGGGAATCGGCGCAGACGGCTCCGAGACCTACCTGCCCCGGACAGTCGTCTACGACCGCAAAGGCGGCTTCGGCTCGCTGCGAAAAGTGAACGCACTCTACGAGGCGCAAGAGGAGGCTCACAACCAGCAGGCGTCTGCCATGGACTTGCCGTCGAGCCTGTGGCACGGCCGCACCGTCGTCCAGCGCGAGACGCCCATCCTGCCGAGCGCCTATACCCAGAGCTTGGACACGGGTCTGCCGCCCACGGAACCGTTGACACCCGCCACTGTTCGCTACTGGTCGGACTACAGCCGCGTATACTACCACCCACGGTCGCTGATTGAGGTCGGGGACGAGCCAGAGGTGTCAGCGCCGCAGATGGCAACAAATGGAACAAACGGAGCACATGGGGCAAACGGGGCACAACCAGGGACAGCAGCCTCCACAGGCGCAGCCCAGCCTCGCGAGTATACGTGGGGCGATGGCGAGTCTTTGTTCGCCGAGCTGGACCGTGAGCACGACCTGCTGGACCGCGACTTGCGGCCATTTGTCGAGGAGGCCGACCAGATGCAGGGCTTCCAGGTGATGGCGAGTGTCGACGACAGCTGGGGTGGTTTTGCGGCGCGGTATCTGGAGCGGATGCGTGACGAGTACGGCAAAGTCGATATTTGGCTGTGGGCATTGCAGCAGCCGGCCGGCCGGTTGCCGAGGGTGAGTCCACCCACCCCCCCTCTCCCCCTCTCCCCCCTCTCCCCCTCTCCTCTTCTCTTGTCTCAATTTGCATCTGGTTCCTAGGTTCTCTTCTAACGTGGCTAGGAAAAACGAATCACGCGGCTGGCCAACAAGGCTCGCACCCTCGTCGAGGCCTATAGCCAGGCCTCGCTCGTCATCCCGCTCGCCGTGCCTTCGATGCCTCTCACGTCTGTGCTGCCCAGCACCTTTGACTCGACGTCCACTTGGCATACGGCTGCCTTGCTGGCTACGGCCATTGAAACTGCTACGCTGCCGGCGCGTCTTCGCAGACTGGGCAGCGGGGCCGTCGGCCAGAGCGGCGACTCCTTGGCGTACCTGACCGACCTTCTCAATGCCACCGGCAAACAGACTGTCGCCAACCTGCAGATGAGCGTTGTGCAGCCGTGGCAGTCCGTCCAAAAGTACGCACGAGAGCGGCGCGAAGCGGCCGGATACGACGAGGATGACTACGGCGTCGGCAACAGCACCAAGATGGACGGCGACCTGCAGCTGCCAATTGACTTTGCCCCGCGGGACGAATCGGTGGTGGTTGCTGGACGTGCAGGGCGTGGCGCTCGGGCCAAGAAGCCGCGCATGTTTGGTCAAGCGGTCGTGACGCGGGCCACCCCGGGAGAGGACGGGGATGGCGACGACAAAGGGGGAGGGGGAGGAGAGGACGACGACGAAAGCCAGACGGAGCGCGGGGCCACCTTGGATCGGCGCGACATGATGCACCGCCGCTTCGCCCTCAAGCCCGTCAGCCAGCGGTACACCGTGCCCCTCGGCTTCCCGCTGCTCGACAGCTTTCCCTACATCTACCAGCAGACGTCTGACAGCACCGCGTCCATCCCCGTGACGACCGCGTTGGCCACCGACCGCACCGTCGCCGACCGGATCCAGACGTTGCGCACAAATGTCACGATGGGTGCACCCTGGGCCATTGGGCTCGAGGACCGTGAGGCCCTGGGCAACGACCTGGCCGGCATGGCCGATGCTTACCATGACGGCTGGTCGAGCGGGAGTGATGCCGGCGATGACGAGGATTGAGGGAGTCCAGCGGGGCCTGTACTTTATTATTCTTCTTATGTTTCTGAGCTGAATGAGGAGATATTCATATTTCGCAAAGTAATTGCTTACGGGAGCTACTGTCCGGATCGATACGGCATACAACAAAACACGTACTCTTCGTGTCGTCGATGATGCTGAAAGAAGAACGTAAGGCAAACAGGAAGGCCGCTTTACGATTAGTGGGCCGCTTCAACGCAAGCAAGATAACACATAGCGGAAGGAATATGCAACGAAAAACCGAGACAATGGAGGAAGATAGCGTTGCAGGAGACGACGGTGTGCTGACCTTGCGAAGATACTCCGTCGACAGCAAAAAGATACTCCGCGCCGTCGGCACGAGCCACCAAATTGCAGGATGTAGTGCTGTGGAGCCGGGACGGCCGTAACATGACTGTGGTAGCAGGGAAGGAGCGAAGGCTATATAAACTTTGTAAATAATAAAGGATTCTACATCGTACTCTGTACTTTTTCATAATATGGTTGTTTCTTGGGGTGGCCGTTCCTGTCTTTAAACGGATGCATCGCATCCACGGAGTATCTTCGCTGGGAATCGCCCGCAGTTCCTCTATTCCCGGCTTTCGTGGCCTGCCAATTAGGTCAAACCAGGCATTTTTACCTGGGGAACCAGGCAAAATACTTCCAGGCGAAAGCCTACGGGGGCTTCCCTCAAAGATATGTGCGGCTCCCCCTCATAAGACCCACTTTCTGAAAAATTGGGGAGTAGCGTAACTAGCCCGTGCTTGCCATGCGAAAGGACACAATTGCCGTTACCTTCCGTGGTCATACGTTTTCTCGCACCGGAAAGTCCTGTGGAGGGAGTGCCTGCCTATCTTGACGTGTAGGGACCTTTGTTGGCCCCCGGAGGTATCTAGGCATCTGAAGAGCCCCTAGCTCTTCCCACCCAAGGCGCCGTAGCCAATCCCAGCGGCCGCATTTCTGTTGTTTCCCCTTTATGCCAGTAGACACTGCACTTCTCTTCGTACGGGTCGTACTCCACCGTCGCAGGCACTTTCCCAACGCACTTAGTCCAGCCCGTTCGACCTGGCCACGCGCCGATCCACCCAACATTCGGCGCTCTTTCACCCTTGTGCGCCCCTGAACCGTTGGTCCCCTTCTGTAAAATTTTAAAGCTGTCGCCCCTTTTGCGCTGGACGGGCCAGCTCCCTTAATCTCTGCGCTATCGATTTGGCGTTCCCTTTTTCATTTAATTCTTTTTTTCCTTAGCTGCTCTTCCTCCTCGTCTTCCTCCATTTCAAACTCTTCCACTCCTCTCACAGCCTTCCCACCTGTAGCCTCTTCGTTTCCCTTTTTTTGTCGACCTTTCGGCCTTCTCGTCTTGACAATTTACCGCTGATCGCTGCTTCGAACGACTTGCGACCTCGCGTCTGACTGCTCTGCTCTCTCCAACAAAACCCTCCAAACCTCTTATCACATCCACAATGGCCGCCGCAAAGGAGTACACCTACCAGGACGTTGCTGAGCACAACACCAGCAAGGACCTGTTCCTCGTCATCCACGACAAGGTCTACGACGCCACCAAGTTTGTCGACGAGCACCCGTATGTTCACTCTGTTTCGATTCGTCCCTCTTTTGTTATTTTTCTTTATTTTCGTTGTTTTCCTTGTGGATGCTTGCTAACGTAGACCCCTTTTTTCCCAGCGGCGGCGAGGAGGTTCTTCTGGACGTCGGCGGCCAGGACGCCACCGAGGCGTTTGAGGATGTCGGCCACAGCGACGAGGCGCGCGAGACCCTGCAGCAGCTGCTCGTCGGCAGCCTGAAGCGCCAAGCCGGCGACCCGAACCCGTCGAGCACCACGACCGGCGCCGTTGCGCCCAAGGCCCAGACCGACGCTGCTGGCCTCGGCATTGGCCTGTACGCGTTCCTGGCCGTCGGCGGTGCCGCTGCCTACTTTGCCTACCAATACCTGCAGCAGCAGCAACAAACGCCTGCTTAAACTTTCGAGAGGGCGACGCGGTGAGCGGACGGAACGGGTAGCGGAGGAGCCAGGAGTGTGATACAGTGCGGTGTTTCGAGCTCATTTTTTATTGTTCCATGAGTCCAAACAGAAAAGAGGAGGCATGGATACAGAGAGACGCGAGGAGGAAACAAAAAAAACGACAAGAAACAATTCATAAAATTTTAGACATTTTGTCGCTTTTTACTCTCGCCACGATCTCTGTTCTCCTTTACATATCGTGTTCTCTTTATTACCTTACAGTCAATTTTAATATATTTTTTTTCTTTATTTGACTTTTCTTTTCCTCAGCAACACATGCCTTGGTTGTTTGCTGTCTTGCCTTTCTATTGTCCGGATGCGTCCTATTACTTGCCCATCCCCAGAAAAGATTGCCTTGGGTGATTGCCGACGAGAACCAACTCGACTGGTCTGCACACTACTTTCATACAAGCGGATACTGGCGTCGGGAGCACTGGTGGGAGGGAAACAGGCAAACCTTTCGGAGCTATCTCTGGGGTTTTTTTCTGCCATTTGTCCTTGTCACGTAGCCAATTGTCCCTCCGCTCGCGCAACTTCGGAGTTTTCTACCCAATGGGGGCTACGCCATTTTGGCACTGCACTAAATAAGAGAGGGAGAAGTAAGGCAAACAGGCAAGTCGCCGTCTTCCGACAAAACTGGAATCATATTATCGAATCCGATTCCGACTAATTCAAGACGAAAGTTTCCGGATCAAGATTATTTGCGTCTCCTCTTTCTCGGTCCGGACCGTGGGGGAATCGGACAGCGTTGTTAAAATATATGATCATTAAAGGGCCGTAAGGTACGGCAATGCTCCTGTTGCGACCACTCGCGGCGACCTACTGCTTCGGTTGCCAAAGACAGACGGCAAGTTACTTGTGCTATTTGACGACTCAGTCGGGTCACTGCGATGACAGAAGATGGTGTCCGATCTACGCCGTGTCTAAAGGTACCGTACCCATACTCAGCAAGACGACAACAGTTGCTGCCTGGCCGCTTCTTAATTACCAAAACAAGCATATGGAAAATACAATGCAGGTGGGAAAGTTGCGAAACTCGGGGGCGTAGCACACCATTCATTGCACCAAGGTGACAAAAACGTATTAAAATGTCTCTGCGGCGTAATGGTGTGGTGGTGCAATGACAGAAACAGCCTCGGCCACGTACGGGAGCTTGTGCAACCTGGGATCGGCTATGAAGCAATTCGACTGGAAACAAATAATCTCCATGTCTCAAATCGCAGTCGCAAGAGGACCCTGGACTCAATCATGCCAGTATCTTTATCAGCCCGATATATCGGTATACCTTGTAAGAAACAATAAACTGCATTGATCTCATATGTCGGCCTGATGCATCCGGAAAACAAGACGCATACGGGAAAAGGGCGAGAGCTTGTGAGGAGAAGCAAAGAGGAGAGGTTGTCAACTGCGGTTAGGTCCATGAAAAGCATGTGCTGTAACCGAGCTATTGGAATACGGCAGAATTTCACATTGTCCACTTCACCGCTTTCACGCCTTCTGAACTGCTTAGTCATTTTAGTAGCTAGCCTCCACTAAGCCTCGTGCAACACAACGTCCTCGTCGCTATGTAAAGCCTCTTTTCGTGGACTGCAACCTCTCCACCATCTCCATCGTCCCTCTCGCCCTCGACGTCATCTCACATCCCCCCAGCAGAAGATCCATCTGCACTGGAGTCTCACATCTTGTAGCCTTCTATCTACGACTCCAACGACGAGCCTTCGACGCCCTGCGACCTTCACTGGAGCTACAACGGACCTTGCTCTCACGAGCGAACAGCTCTGCCTCTGTGTCTCGACCGCTCTCATCGCCGTCTCCTTTTCCGACCTCACTCACCGCCCTCCTCCCACACCGTTCAAAATGGCCTACCCAACCGCCGCCCCAAAGACGGCTATCAAGCGCTCACAGACCTCCGCCCCCAGCCCGCTGCCTTCATTAGGCGGCGGCGGCGCACCCGCGTCGCCGTCGCCGTCCATCGCATCCACGACCTCGGCCACCGCGGCGTCGACACCAAAGAAATCCAAGGGCATGGTTGGCGGGCCTGCTGGCAACCTGCCCGCCGGCGCAGCCATCTACTCGCAGCCCGAGAACACGGGTGTCGGCTCGGCCATTGGCACCAATATCGTCTACGCCCTCGACTACCTCAAGCAGCAGGGCGGCAAGCCCGTGAGCCTGGCCGCCGTGCTGGGGCACCTCAACCTCAACCGCGAGTCCGAGGCCGTCCAGAAGCAGATTGTCGAGCGCATGCGGCACCACCCGCGCATCGCCTGGCGGGCCACCGAGACGGCCGTCATGTCCTCGTCGACGGCCAACATCGACGAGGACTGGACGACGGGCACCTACGAGCACAAGCCCATCATCCCCAACGTCAAGGACCGCACGTCGCTCTTGCAGTACCTGCAGCGGCGCACGGACGCGCAGGGCGTCAACGTCAAGGACCTCAAGGACGGCTGGCCCGACTGCGAGGCCGCCCTGGCCGCGCTGGAGAAGGAGCACCGCGTGCTGGTGGTGCGCACGAAAAAGGACAACCACCCGCGCATGGTGTGGCTGGACGACCCGAGCCTCTGCTTCTCGGTGGAGCCCGAGTTCCAGTCGCTGTGGCACCGGTCGACGATCCCGTCCGTGGACGACATTGTCGGCAAACTGACGGCGGCGGGCCAGAAGCCGACGAGCGAGGACCCGCGGCTGCGGGCGGCCATGCAGCCCAAGGAGAAGAAGGCCAAGAAGCGGGCGCAGCGCCGGACCGGCAAGTCGACCAACACGCACATGGAGCACTTGCTCAAGGACTACAGCCTCAGCAAGCGGTAACCTGGAGGTAGACTGGCGATTTGGGAGCCTGCGGGCGATCAGATGGTTTGGACAGCGGTCGAGAGGCGCTTCCTTCTCTGCGTTGCTTTGTTTCACCCAACATTCATCATAGCGGTTCTCTTTTTCGGCCTTGTAAATTTGTCTTTGGTTTTATATCAGTCGATTGCTTTAAACATTGGCTATCTGGGGTGTCCTTGGGAAAATATGTAAATCAAAAGCGGCCATTATACATGGCACGGCGTTTCCAGAAATTCATCTCACAATTTCACTTTTATTATCTTTGGTCACAATGAAATTACCAACAGAGTAGAGGATCATGAGCATCGCGGACTTGGATTGTACGAGAATGCAAAATATGGTATAAATAATAAGAGGAGCAAAATTGCAAAAAGTCTATAATGGTGGCGGCTGGACAGCTCACAAAGCCATATCGGAATGACATAACCAACCGAAACACCATGAGACAAAGGAAATGGTAAATGCACACGATCTATAACAAAACAGGAGAATCACGTATAAAACAAAAGAAAAGGGAACCAAAGAACAAGTACAAAAGCTGCTAAAAATCTAACGGGAATAACCAAGGGGGTATGATGTAAAGGGACAAAAAGGACAAGACAGCTCGCAAAAACAAAAGGTTGGGGTATTTTTTTTCTGCCAGACTGCCCTCTTGTGGGCCGTCAAGAGTTTTGATCTTTGCAATTTCTTATTTTTGATTTTCGTATGGTGGTTGCCCGGTCCATCGTCTCTGAGCGTCAAGTATATAGGTTAGAGTAAACGCTTCTCTCTTTCTTTTAGGTTGGCATCTGTTGTGATCCGGTCGTGAGATTGTTGGTTGCAGTTGGGTGTGAAGTATTATCGGTGTGGTGCAAGGTATAAAAGGATATTATTTAGCGAAAGGGAGATTCGGTCATGAAAAAAGAGCAAAGCGCGCAGAGGGGTAGACAGTATGATTAAAACAAGGGTAGGGGGCCAATCCAGGAACGACGAGAGGTCATGGCGCCAGAATTTGAAAAAAGAAAGTCAGAAACAAAAAGCAGCAAAATGCCCGTTCGAGTGTGGTTGTTTTGTTTCCCAGAGATCCAGCTCGGCCATCAAAAGACAAAAGAAAATAAGACAAATATAAGCAAGTGTTAGGGAAGGAGAGGGTGAAAGGAGGAAAATGTTCTGAAAAGCGAAGAGTCATACACCGTTGCTCTCAGCATCCTCCTCCGTCCATACCTGTAAGATGATTAAAAGATTGTGGTATGTTTGTGTAATAGCATGGGGTAGAAGCAAAAGCAAAAAGTACAAAAGAAGAAGGGCAGAGGACAAGACGTTCCCCTACTGGGCAATTGCCCACAGCTCGCTCTGGCGCGGCTGCTTGCTGACGTCAAAGGCGCCCGAAGGTGACTCGCTGCCGCCTGGGCGGCGCACCTGGTGCTGGTTGTGAAGACCGGGCGCCGAGGTCACTGTGCCTGTACCGTTCCCCGTATTAGGGGCGCTCGTGGCGTAGAACAGGTGACCGTAGGTCGGGTCCGGATCCGGGTATACATAGTTGCTGTGGCTGTGGGCGGGGGACGCCGCCAGGTGATGTGAAGCGGGCGAGTTGCTGCCGTTGTTGTGGCCACCGTGGTGGTGCGACGAGGGTGACTGCCAGCCAGATAGGCTGCCCATGTGCGGGCTGCCACCACCAACGCTGCCGGGACCACCGCCACCGCTGGACGGCTCAATGCTCGGCTCGAGCGTCGAGGGCGGGCCGTACCCTGTAGGGTGTGAGGTCGGGCGAATGTTGGCAAAGGTCCCGTTGACGTTGCTGTTACCGCCGTTCGCAGTGGTGCCAACGCCGCCGCTGGTGCTCCCGAGCCCCAAGGACGACGTGGTCGAGACGGGGCTTGCCATGCCGCTGCCCTGCAGGTCGTTGCGCAGGTGGACGGGCAGCGAGCTGTTGTTGGGGAGGGAGAAATGGCCGTGCTGCTGGATCTGCTGGTTGATGGCTGTCAGCTCGGAAGCGGGGGAAAGCGACATGGTGCGCTGCCCCGGCGACGGCGTGGACAGAGGCGAGCCTGCATGGTCGGAGCCAGCATTGCTGAAACCGTCGGAGCGTGGCGGGCGGCTGGCAACACGGACCATCGGGTTGGTGCCGCGGGCCAGGACAGCAGCGGTGGCACGGGCAGCGTCCTCAATGGTGCCAGTGTGGTGATTTTGGTGGCGCGTCAGGGTGGTGCGGCGCGTAAAGGTCTTTTGGCAATCGGCGTAGGGGCATTTGTAAGGGCGCTTGCCGGAATGGATACGGCGATGGCGGGCCAAGGAACTGGAATCGCTAAAGGCCTTGCCGCAGTGCTCGCACTGGTGCGGCTTCTCGCCGGTGTGGACACGGCGGTGCACGGTCAGGGCGGAACGCTGGATGAACTGCTTGCCACAGCCGGGGAACTCGCAGATATGGGGGCGGACGCCAGTGTGAATCCGTTCTATACATGCCGGTTAGTAATGTGCATAGAGCATATATGGCAAGAAAAGATGGAGGAGCAACAGCAACAGAAACAGGGTGCACCATACCATGACGAGCCAGGTCACTGCGCCGGGCAAAGCCTTTGCCGCAGGTCGAGCACGGATACGCCTTGGGCGGCTGGCCGCTGGCCATGGGGATCTTTGTGTACTGGATGCCGTGCGGCGGCAGGACGAGGCCGGGGCCCATATTGGGTGCGAGTGGGGGAGGCAGACTGGGCAGGATGAGGCCGTTGCTGCTGTTGGGCGTGGTGCTCAGGTCGGGGATGTGGAGCGGCGAGTTGTGCATGGCGGTGGGCGAGCCAAATGGTTTGCCGACGGACGTGTCGAGGCCGTTGAGCGAGCCGGGGGCGGCAGACGAGAAACGCGAGTGGTCGGAGCCGTGCGGCGAGTCGGCGCGGTCGAGGGCGTGGTGGGACGGATATGGCTGCAGGGCCAAGGGCTGCATGCCGGGGAGAGAGACGGGTGGGAGAAACTGGTGTTGTTGCTGCTGTTGCTGTTGATGTTGCTGTTGCTGATGTTGCTGGTGGAACTGATGCTGCTGCTGTTGCTGCTGCTGCTGCTGCTGCTCAAGCTTGACGCCTGGCAGAGACAAGGTGTTTTGCTGGACGACACCACCCTTTTCGTTCAACAGGTCGTCGATCCCCATCACTTCACCAGGTGCCGGCGATTTCATATTGTGCAGGCAGGCTGACTGTGGATCGAGGGTGAGAGACCTAACAAAAGCAGCGGGAGGGACTGTGTCGAGGACGTGTAAGAGTCGGAGATGCAGTCGAGAGAGAGGTACAGGTGGAGCAGACAAGTCGCCACAAGGTTGAGAGACTGTATAGGGCGAGGACGAAGGGAGTGAAGGTATGTAGTTGGGTCTCTGTGTGTCTGTTAGCTATCACGACTTTCGTCATCTTGCTTGCGACGAAGCCGGCAAGGACAGCTTCAAGCACGGACACGCTCGGCCGCGATGGTGGCAGCAAGAAAGTAAGGGAGACGTAGCGAGCAGCTTACCAGTGGGAGAAGGGGATTATCTAGTCATGCACGGTCGTTCGAGGAAAAGAGTCGAAAGAAAAGGAAAAAATAAACAACGAAAAAAGCGAAAGGCGAAACACAAAACGAGGATGGTAGAAACGAAGAAACTTGCTTAGGAGAATCGAGAGACAGAAAGCAAAAGAGCAACAGAGAAAGAAGAGACGGAAAAGGACAAGGCGACGTACATGTATACGGGGATGTAGGAGAGAGGGCGTGCGAGGGGGGGGGGGGGGGGGTTGAGAGAAGAGGAGAAGAAGCACAAACCAAAAAAGATGTTCAGGTGTGGAACCGTGTCGTGGGAAAGGCCCTGTCGGGTTTTCTTTGGGGCTGCTCTTTCCTCTTTTTTAGGTTTGGGCCTGTCTTGCTTGGCAGTTGTGTTTTAATGACCTGCTTTGCTCTTTTTATTCTTTTATTTAATAAATTATTTGTCCTATTTAGTGGTTAAGTCTTGGGTCTTTTGGCGCGGCGCGGCGCGGTTGTAGTATGGGGGTGCCCTGTAACCACTCGCCTCTTTGCCCATCGTCCTAGACGTTAGGGGTCGGCGCCAGCGCCAGGAGGGTGTGCGACAGGGCGTGGAAGGTGTGATAGAAGGTGTGGAGTGAAGAGCGAGCCGATGGTGCAGGCTGATTATGTAGGCTGGCAGAGTCAGGCAGAAAAGGCGCTAAAACAGGACGACGCACAGTAGCGCAACAAGGACGACAGTGAACAAATAAGGGGTAATGTCGCCTGCCAATATTTGAGAGGGGATGAGAGAGAAATGGGCGAATTAGCCTCAGATTGGGAAACTACGAGGCACACTCACACGCACATAAACACAATTGAGTACACGCCCCTCAAATCACGAGACGACAGGGGGGGAGGAGCGACGCATGAGATTTGCAGCCCCCGAAATATAAATTTGGGAGATTGGGAGACGGACGAGGAAGGTATGCCATGACGGCTGCTTTCTAGCGTACCTTCCATTACAGAACATGTGCATAGCTACGGATTATTATCTTACTTGTGTTGCCTCTTCCTGTTCAAAGTAAAAAAGGGGACGCAAAATACGCATCTCTACAGCTCGGTCAGCACTCGAACACGACAACAAAGCCGGGCTCACTACACTTGCCATTGGTTTGGCGGCAGGCATGGCATGACAAAAAAAGGGGGTCAAGCGACGAATGAGAACGAAGACGGTGGGTGTTTGGCGGCGCGACCAGCACTGGACGACAAGGGAAACACACAAAAGCAGTAGGAGGAAGATCGAGGAAGGATTCTTGAGCTAAGCACCAAACGGGCAGGAAACAGGCAGGAAACAGGCAGGAACAGGCGTGGCTGAGAAAGGGAAAACACGCCGCGATGAGGAGGGCAAATGTGTGAAATGCGTGGTTGCGTGCCTGATGCGGTGAGAATGGGGAGATTGAGGGCGATACAACGAAATGCAGCAATGCGAGAAGCGATACACAACAAAGGAGGAGCCCTTGCAACAGATGTCCAACCCCTGGCGTCCATGGAAGCCTTGGAAGCTTTTTAGAAGGCCCGGGAGAAGGAAACGGAGCATGGGCAAAAGGGCTGGGCTGGGGTGTTGGAAGAAAGGAAGCAAATGTGCAAGAAATGGCCAGGGGGGCCGCGCAGGGGGTGCTTTCTATTTTTGCATCGCCAGAGGGCAGAGCTTGCCAGGGTGCCATGGGCAATTTTCGCATGGACGATGGTGGAGAACAGGAGGGTCAAAGGAGCTTGGGTGCTGTGGTGCACTGATTCTCTGGTTCCTGCTGCTCCAAAGGTACTACTCCTTCCTTTTTGCATCAACTTCTTCCCATTTCGCCTACGTGCAGTGGCTGAAACAGCTGCCGGCCTTGTTTGGCCACGGGGCAACGAGATGAACGAGTTGACCTCATGGTCGCACGCGGTGTTGAGCTTTGAGCATTGAGCACCACCTGGACGTCGGATCAAGATAGAGTGCACGTGTTGCCGGATGATCAACTCAGAGCAATGGCCATGCTCATGAACGGATGGGGAACGACAGTTGAAGCTGCGACCATCAGAGTATCGTATGTATGGCAGAAACGGAAGCGGATGCAGATAGCAGCCAATATCGATCTCTTGCTGCTGCAACGACGGCGACGACGACTCCTACTACTTCATGCGGAGCTTTCATGGATGCGGAGAGACTTTCCCGAAAGAAACAAAAGAAACAAAGCCGGTAAGCAGGGGAAGCAAGATATCAATATTTCCGCCCGAAATGCAAACGGCGTTGACAAGCAAAACACAAACGTCCGTCTCTTAACGACTCTACGGCGTAATTGACAATCATCTCACAGATCCTCAGTCGCCTGTGTTCGGAGTACATGTCAGCTCTTGGCTCTGCCGATCGAAAATGTTCTGAAGACAACAATCACAAGAAAAACAAACAATAAAGGCGCTGCTTGTACTCAAACGGAATAACAGTTCCTCGATGGTGAGCACATGAGCATGTCTGAAGTAAGATTCGGTCACCCTCATTTTGAATCATGTTCCTCTCCTTTCCCCTTCAACGAAACAAAAGTGGGCTCCATTGTGTTCTTCAACAAGCCCCAAACAGACCCTTGTCATGGGTAGCCTGGTTTTGGTACTGGTCGCAAGAGTGTGGCCCCTTGGTCCAATCTGGGTCACGCAACTTGTTCCCCTGCACTCCAATACTACCTCTATGAAGCCATGCACCGACGGGACAACGCATTGGCCGGCGACTGCTCAGTGACGGGAGGCAAGGAAGACCAGAAGGACAAAAGAAGAGGAGTGGCCCGGGCGCACAACCTTCTACGATTTGTTCTGGAAGGTTTTCCCCATCTCTTTTGCCCTGATGCTTGGACCATCTTCTCCATGTGGCCGTTTCCGTCTATTTTTGTATTTGACCCTGCTTCGTTCTATTTTCCATTCCGTCCGCGACTTCCACGACTTCCATGGCTTCCTTCTGTGGACCCTAGCCCTGTTGCTTATCCTTTCACAGCGACGACCTGCATCGCGCCTCCGGCTTTCCCGTTGCCTCTCTATGTTTGCTTTCTCCGAAATGGCACGGAAAAGCCGGAGGGAGGAAACTCTTGTTTGTCTACCCGGCTTGTTTGGTTGTTCGCAATAATACGGTGTAGATCCACAACGCAAATTCGTACTACACTCGCTGCCGCTTCCAAGCTGCCGATGGACATTGGAATTGACACAGAAGTATCTTGCACCATCGTTGACACTTGGCACGCGGGCAAAAGACTCCATACGGCGACCTGTGAATCGTAGTGCTGTAAGACTTACATCGGACGTCGTACCTCGTACTTTGTAGATGCAATCACGGCAGGGGGAGCACAGTGGATTGGGCTAATGCAATCTGGGAAACATGAGACGAAGCCTATTTCCCTTGCAAAGGAAAACGAGGGCCAGCGACATTGGTCTTGTTGGGGAAGTGAAATAAGGCGAACGGAGTACGACGGTAGCGTCACAAATGGATTTTTTGTTGCTCGTTGCCTGCTTATGATTCCCCGCTGGCTCGGTGATGAAGATCGCTGGTCGGTGCCAAAAATGGGGCCGCAGAAATGGGGCCGCAGTTGGGCCTTGTCAAATAAGATGCAACGGTCTGCCCGCCACTAAAAGAACATAGTCTGTAAAATACGTACTCCGTAAAATACAGAGTATTTCGACTACGACGAGGACCTCTACCATACGTATCTCGTCAGTGCTTGGAGCCTTGCCGGAGTACAACGCTGCCAGGTATTGTGAATGCATCTGTGCACGCCGGCCCCTCGGACCACGGCCATGCCAAAAGTCTGTCCGCTTTTGTAGCACGCCCTGGCTTTACATACCTTACGAAGTATTTTCTACACATTAATTACGATGCTTTCAGCCATGTGCCACCGGCATACAGCGAGCTACAAGGGGCAGCGTCCACCTGTCCCATGATAGCTGTAATTACTCCAGAGTCTCGTCTTTTTCTACTTTGTATATACCCAGTAAGGAGTAAGTGTGTGGACGGGTTCGTTCTTGGTTGAATGCCGTCGAGGATGTTTCGAGTCTATGGAGTAATCGTTGTAAACGACGTGCAAGTTTAATACAAACAAAAGAAGCCAGTTTTCTTCTAGAAGATTACCCAATTTCAGCCTTAAAAGTGGCCAGTAAGAAAAGCGGCAGTAAAGTGGATTGGGTGGAAAGACCCCAGAAGGCAGATAGCACGCATCAATAGTTCGTTCAATCGCCCAAGATGCAAGAACACGTCCCCCCTTTTGGCGAAAGAAAAAAGAACCGTTTCTACATGGATTATGCCGCCGCCAATATTGCAGAAGCAAACAGGCAGTCTCATCCCGTCCCGTGGGAAGAAACATAGGCACAATCAACCAATGCACGACAGCAGAGCGCAGAGCATGGTATGGCCTCTGCGTTTCGTTTGGCATTGATGTCTGCTGGCCCGTTCTCCCGGGAGAAAAGGTGGGAACGAGCCGTGGAACGAGATTGAAAGTAGATTGTGTTTGTTTGCTTTTGACGAGCCGATCAATCTACTCTGCCACTCGTCTCGTCTTCTCCTCTGTCGACGGAGCAAAGACCAAGTAAAGAAGGGAGAGGACGACGGGGTGGAGGAGGCAATGTACGTCGTACAGAACACAATGCGATGCAAGCACCAAAATAAACGGAACCGAAACAATTTGGTCGACAAGGAGCGCGGTACAGGGCACAATGGAGGTGTGCGATACGAGCCAAGATACATATACATTGGCTAAATTCAGGCTGGAAATAACGGCGAGGTTGGCAGACGAAGCGGTCGTTGAAACAGGTCGAAACAAGTCGAAACAAGATGGAGGAAGGTAAGTAGAGGCGAGGAAAATGAGGAAAAAGGGGACCAGTTGGTCATGAGTTGTCCCGATCTTCTTTCCTCATCTTCTCGTTCCTAGTCTCATCCACACATATACATCACGCCGTAGACACATATGCTGTACTGCAATAGCCCATGACTTGTTCCAAAGGCGGAGGCTCATGATAGAGGATGTTGTTTTGTGTTCATTTGAACGAAGCAGCCCATTCGTTTTCTCCGCCGCTGGAGGCACACACTACAAACGGTAGTCTGCCACGCTAGACGTAAGATGCAATAAGACAGATGTGAAGTGCGAAGCCGGTGTTTGAGGTTGTTGGCGTCTTTGTTGGCGCGAGAAATGATCAACGGGGGTAATCATAATTCGCCGTGCCTCGTACGGCGTAAGAATCGTCGTACTTTGGTCCAGAAGGGAAGAAGAATGCGCCCGTGGTTGCAGCCACGAGCAGCGGACTTCGATGGGTCTTCTCGAAGGAAAGAATGGGGCGCCCCTTCTTTCCGAACGTGGAAAATGGACATGGGAAAGAGAAGGAAGGGAAGGGGCCCAGGGGGCGTGTGCGTTGCGTTGCATGCGTTGCCTGTGTGGGCTGTACGGGTCTCCACTTTTCAATGTGTTCTTTCCTTCCCACGCTTCCTTCTTCTGGTCAGGGGAAATGGACAAAAAGTGGGTTCGCCAGTTGTTGCCCACCCCTGTCAGCTTCTCTAACTCTCTCCGTTCGTTCCTGCCCTCCTCCCCTGTCGAAACCAACCCCCGTTTCCACACTTGGCCTCTCCTTCTTTCCCATCTCACGCTGAGATAAGGCGGACTGGGAAGGACATATGTTGTAATTCGTACTCCGGACAACATACGAGATACCTGCACAAGGAAAGAGCAGTGGCCATCTTCATCCCCTTCGTCGTTCGTCATGATCGTCGCCATGTCTCCGATACTGCACAGCCTTGGTCCATCTCATGCCATCCGGGGAAAACTCATCCTAGGGTGTTCGGCCTTTCTGTCGTATTAGTGCCGACTTCTTTTGCTGTTTTGGGAGATTGGAGACTGGCAAAGAGGCGCACACACACCGTCACCATGAGACAACGCCGAAAGAAGAATGCAATGCGCGACAACATTGAAGCGAGGTTGACGTTGGCGGGTCGAGAACGGAAACCCTCTCGTCAGCGGGCGAAGAAAGTACGCATTCAACATACATCTTTTTAGTGCCATTGCCTACTTGAAAGAATCCCATGAAAGCATCGCAGCCTGTCGAAAAGAAAGCCTGTCAGAAGCTGACTGGAGCATCTAACTAGAGCACGATGGCCATCCAGGTGAACTCATCGTTCGGAGCACCCGCACCTCGCACGCGCAACCGCAGACGGAACGGCGGCAAGCGGGCTCTCAGACCATGGATCGCCCCCTTTTTGTACCTTCCCCTCACGCAGACAGACACTTGACCAAACCTAACGTAAAGCGGCCGGACGACCGCCAGTTCTCGTTACGTTAGACTCCAGACGCAAAAGAGAGACAAAAGCAATACCAAAAGGCCCCCTCAACAACAAAACACCCGCAAGCTTCTCCAGAGTGAGGCTGGGGAAACACAAAGAGTGTCAGACGTCGGGCCTGCATGCACAGTGAGACAGGAGACAACACGACAAGAACAGACAACACGACAAGGTCACCACACCTGTATTCATCCGTTCTTGTGGTAGCAACGTGGCGCGTGGATGGAGCTTGGGTGCGGAGTACGGCGTACGGAGTATCGTACAAAAGTGGACTCGCTACGCACGGAACGCCTTGGAGGACTTCCAAAATGCTTCCAGAAGGTCTTCCCCGTCCCCCTTGCTAATCTTTTTTACCCCCATGAGGGTCAGTGCACTCATCCCTCTATCTCTTCTTGGTCACATCTTTCCAATGTACATGTCTTTGTTGGTGCATCATTTTTTCATAATCAATTCTTCACTTTATTTTTCAAAGCTCACCTTGCCAGATAATCATCTGTCAAAATCGACAAAAACAAAAGTTAATCAGCATAAGAAATGTCGCCAAAACGAATGCCCCATCAGCCCACACAACTGGCCCAAAGCAGGACAGAAGCGAGAAGCCATACTCCAATTGGCGATGCAATAGATGGAGCTCATCTCCTACACCCCATCCACCTACTCAGCCTTGACGCTAGCGCATGCGACAAAAGAGTGGGAATCCAAAGAACAGTATGCACGAGTGAGCAAAGTTACGTATCAAACTGCGGAATACGCCGTACACTCGCAATAGGTCTGTATGTACGACGCATGCCCAAGTTGGAGAGGAGAGATGCACTGGACTGGCAAAATGCGATCAACTTCTCTTCTCGGTACCGAACCAAACCTACCAAGCCGATTGTTGATTTATCCCTCGTTTTGAGCCTTTTTGTTGCTGTTCTTTGTGTTTTATTTCTCGTACTTTTCAGCCTCCGCTCTCTGATCCACCAAAATATCCTCCACTGCTTCCCTACTGTCCATATTCCCTTCTGGTCTTCCCCGTCTGTCCAAAGCTTCCAAAGCTTCCATTTTAGCTTCCTTGGCTTCTCTCGCTCGGCGAACTCCAATGTTCGGTTTCCACACCCCTCCCATTTGGCCATCTCGGCATCTCCGTGACAAAAAAGAGGGTCCGTCCATTCCCCTCTCTTGTCCCGTTTATCACACACATGCCCACAGCAGTACGACGTATTCCATATGCCAATACGTCGTAACACAACGCGCTCGTGATAAAGCTATACTGTTGCTTGAATTGAAAACGGGGCTTCAAACCTGCTGGAGCCAAGCAATGTGATTTTGCTCGGACTGTTTCGTTATGTTATCCTTGTTTTTTTCGTTGTTTTAAACAAATAAATGTATACCTTTTGTTTACTTTTTGCTTTCCTTTCCTTTAACTTTTTAAAATTATTTTTCTTTAAAAAATGACACTGAAAACCAAAAGTAAAGAAACTAAAAATAAAGAAAACAAAAATTAAATAAAAACTTTGCACATCATTAACAACATCCATGATACACTACATATATGTCGAATGCATCAGCATTCAAAACAAAAGTGGAATATAACAAAATTTAACAACACCTTTCTCTTCAATTCGTATATACATGTTGTATTCCGATAGAATAGAAAAGTCATCCAATAATGAACTGGACAAGTAAGCCATCGCGCAGGTAGCAAGTAAAGTCAAGAACATTTCACCAACGCGCCTTCTCCCTGTCTCCTGTTTTGTATTTTGTAGTGGTGTACCGTATCTGGTCTACGCTGCCTTTAAGATCCAAATTATGAGACTGAAGAAAATAAACTCGCATATCAATTTTTGATCAGCTTGCCTAAGGGTAGAGCTTGCACTACATCAGTTTTTGTCTAACAAGGTTGCTAAAACGGACAACACAACCCCCCCAGGTACGACATACAACAACAAAAACGAAAACGCAAAGAAGACACAAGTCGTCGCCCTCGTAGACCTTCCCTTCCTCCCCGGTCAGGGGAAGCTTAGGCAGAAACAAACAACATAACCTTTTTATGTGTAGGCACGGCCGCGCTTGAACTCGTTGCTACCGTCGGCATGGGCGGCGTCGTCGGCGGTGCGTTTGGCGCGGTTGGTCAGGGTGGTTCCATCCAAGTTGGCGGACTGTTTTTTTAAAAACCGGGCGTGGCGGGGAGTTGAGTCAGTCTTTGTACGCAACCTATTTTTTGAGCTTGAAAAAAATAGAAAAAGAAAGAGTACAGGGCGAGGCGCGGAGAGATGGAAGACGGTAGAGGACGGTGGACGCAAGAAGGCGAGACGAGGAGCGAGGAAAGAGGCGAAGACAGATCGGAGGACCCAAGGACGGGAGGATGGATGGCGGTGGCCGGATTAGAGACGGGACAGAGGCAGGGAAATTGGGGGAGCGGGAGGAGACGGAGTCGAGGGCGAGGGCGAGGACTGAGAAGAAGAAGAGCCCACCTAGGCAATCAGCATGAGAAAGAACAAGGAAGAATGAAAGCGAGCAGACAACAAACGTAACGGGAGGCGGTGAGCGATAAAAAACAAAAGTGCAAAAGACGGATGTCGGCAAAAACAGGGCGAGCAAAAACACATGTGCAAATGCGTAGGCACTTCTCCGGCGTAAAAAAACATATTAAGCACGGATTTTTTTTTGTTTTTGTCGAGATAAAGAGCCCTATTCCTGTTGTAGGATAGATACATATGTTTCTCTTTTCCCACGCTGGCCTTTGTTTTTCTTGGCTTTTGTTTTTTTGTTTGGTGTTTTTCTGTGTTCGGTATTGTGGCCTTTGCCTACACAAACTCATTTGCCTCTGCCTCTGGTCTCTACCCGGCGTCTCCACGTCCTGTTTGATAACTTGCATCTACCGCAGTCCAGCATTCCACGCAATCTAGAAGTGGCCCATGGCGAAAAATAAATAGACGAGTGTCTGACAAGAAGCACATAGATGGGATGACAAAAAGGCATGGATAGATAAGGGCAAACGTTAAGGGACAACAAAGCGTTGCGTACGACAGGAGGAAGCAGGAAAAAAAGAAGACAGGGAAAGAATGCAATGGTGGTTGGGTTGGCTGGGCAAAGGAAGTGGTGTTGTCCTTCATACCTGAACGTCAAAACGGTCCGCGTTCACAACCTTGGTCCACGCAGCAATAAAGTCCTTCACGAACTTGGCGGCACCATCGGCGCTGGCGTACACCTCAGAGAGGGCGCGCAGCTCAGCCTGCGAGCCAAAGACCAGGTCGACACGCGAGGCGGTCCAGCGGTCCTTGCCCGTGGCGCGGTCGTAGCCAATGTAAGTCTCCGGGTGGTCGTCCGACGTCGCAGGCTTCCAGGCGGTGGCCATGTCCAGCAGGTTGACGAAGAAGTCGTTGCTGAGGACACCGGGTCTGTCGGTGAAGACACCGTTGCGGGAGCCGTCGTAGTTGACGTCGAGCACGCGCAGACCACCGACCAGGACGGTCAGCTCAGGCGGGGTCAGGCCCAGCAGCTGGGCGCGGTCGATCAGCAGCTCCTCGGTGCGCGCGCGCGGCGTGGACTTGCCGTAGTTGCGGAAGCCGTCGGCCTGGGGCTCGAGGAAAGCGGCCGACTCGATGTCGGTCTCCTCCGCAGTGGCGTCGCCACGGCCCGGAAGGAAGGGCGCGGTGACAGCGTGGCCGGTGAACTTGCTCGCAGCGGCCTCAATGGCAGCGGTGCCACCAAGAACGATGAGGTCGGCAATGGAGACCTGCTTGCCACCGGTAGCCGACTTGTTAAAGTCGGCCTGGATGGCCTCAAGGCCCTTGAGGACCTCGGCGAGCTGGGCCGGGTTGTTGACGGCCCAGTCGCGCTGGGGCTGCAGGCGGATGCGGGCACCGTTGGCACCACCACGCTTGTCAGAGCCACGGAAGGTCGAGGCCGAGGCCCAGGCAGTGGCGATCAGCTTGTTGGGGGCGATGCCGGAGCCCAGGATGGCCTTCTTGAGGGCGTCGACGTCAGAGGCGTCGATGATGGGGGTGGTGACGGCGGGGACGTTGTCCTGCCACAGGAGCTTCTCCTTGGGGACCTCGGGGCCAATGTAGAGCGCGGCCGGGCCCAGGTCGCGGTGCAGCAGCTTGAACCAGGCGCGCGCAAAGGCGTCGGCGAGCTGGTCGGGGTTCTCGAGGAAGCGGCGCGAGATCTTCTCGTAGGTCGGGTCGAAGCGCAGCGACAGATCGGTGGTGAGCATGCGCGGCTTGAGCTTCTTGGAGGGGTCATAGGCATCGGGGATGATGAGGTCGTCGGTCTTGGCAACCCACTGGTTGGCACCGCCGGGGCTCTTCTCCAGCTCCCACTCGTACTTGAACAGGTACTCCAGGAACTGGTTGCTCCACTGGGTCGGGGTCTTGGTCCAGGTGACCTCTAGGCCGGAGGTGATGGCGTGCGGGCCAACACCGGACTCGTGCGCGCCCTTCCAGCCGAAGCCCTGCGCCTCCAGGCCGGCGGCCTCGGGCTCAGGGCCCTGCTTGTCGCCGCCCGCGGCACCGTGGGTCTTGCCAAAGGTGTGGCCGCCGGCAATGAGGGCGACGGTCTCCTCGTCGTTCATGGCCATGCGACCAAAGGTGACGCGGATGTGCTCCGCGGCAGCAACGGGGTCGGGGTGGCCGTTGGGGCCCTCGGGGTTGACGTAGATCAGACCCATGTGAGCAGCGGCGACGGGGGTCTCGAGGCCCTCGGCGTGCGCCTTGGCGTTGGACTTGTCGGCGTCAGCGTAGCGGACCTCGTTGCCCAGCCAGGTGGTCTCACCGCCCCAGTAGGTGGCTTGGTCGGGCTCCCAGGTGTCGGCACGGCCGCCGGAGAAGCCAAAGGTCTTGAAGCCCATGGTCTCGAGGGCCACGTTGCCGGTCAGCAGCAGCAGATCGGCCCAGGAGATCTTCTGGCCGTACTTTTGCTTGACGGGCCACAGCAGACGGCGGGCCTTGTCGAGACTGACGTTGTCCGGCCAGCTGTTGAGCGGGGCAAAGCGCTGCTGGCCCTGGCCACCGCCGCCGCGGCCGTCAAAGGCACGGTAGGTGCCGGCGCTGTGCCAGGCCATGCGGATGAACAGACCACCGTAGTGACCAAAGTCGGCCGGCCACCAGGGCTGGGAGTTGGTCATGACGGCGGCAATGTCCTTCTTGAGCTGGAAGTAGTCGAGGCTCTCAAAGGCCTTGCGGTAGTCGGCATCGCGGTCGAGGGGGTTGGAGACCTGGTTCTGCTGGCGGAGGATGTTCAGGCGCAGCTGGCCGGGCCACCAGTCGGTGTTCTTGGTGCCGCCACCGGCGACATTGTGGGCGACGGGACACTTGCCTTCGGCCATGGTGGGCGCTGAGGAAGAGAAGAGCGCACGGGGGAGAGAAGAAGAAGAGGGAAGCTTGAAGAAAGGCCTAGAGGAAAGCCGGAGAGTTTGCAATGGATGCAGATGGAAGTTGGTGCGAGCTGAGAGACGCATCAACGCCGATTGGGGAGATGGGGAGAGAGGAGAGAGAGATGCGAGCAAAACAACAAGAAGAGGATCAGAAACGAGGGGGTGGGAAATGGGGGGGCGGCTTGAATATAAAAGAGGGAGGGGAGGCAAGGGTAGAAGAGAGAAATGTGTGTGTGTGAGAGAGAGAGAGAGAGAGGAGGCAAAGGCGGTATGCGCTCGAGACAAAGAGGGGAGCTGGGAAGACGGGAGCAACACAGGGCAGGTGGTTCGTCGGTACTCCTTCCTCTTTGGCTCGGTTTCGTGTGCTTCGCTCCTGCCTCTTGCTCACATTCTCTTCTGTACGTTTCGCCAGGTTCTTTCCTTCCTAGCTGGCCTCTTACACCACGCGCCCCGCCCACGTCGGAGCTAACACAAGCTCGACTCTTTGCGGCCTATTTCGCCTCTTGTTCCTTTTCCCTATTTCCCTCTTTTCCCTATCTGGGAAGCGCGTGTCGCCTGGCCCCGTGCTCTCGTGTTGAGCACAGTGCGCAACATCGTCGGAGGGACCCGGACGGACCAAGTTACCCCGCACTTTGTATGGTCTCAGACGCCCTTTTGTGCCAGGGCAGTTGCGAGCAGACGTGCCGGGAAAGCGCGACGAAACAAGAAGGAACCAGGCGAGCCAGGGCACACCTCAGGGAGTCAGGTCAGAGACAAAATCGGGACCAATGGCGGTGCAATTGGCAGGAGCGGCCAAGCATCCGTGGGTTGATCTCCAGGTTGGTACGGGGCCGATACAGGACCAGCACCCACGGTCACGTATTAATGCGGCGAAGCTCATTGGCGGGGTAGATGAGAGAGAAAATCAATTTGGGAAGTTGCGACGAGGGGCTCTCGGGGCTTCTGAACTTTTTGCACCAGACTAAGGCGAGATGACGACCACTTCGCCCTGTCGGTGATCCGACGATATCGACAATGCCAACGGTATCGACATAGATTTCCAGGAGTAAATCCACGAGCTACACGAGCTTCCCTCGCGTCCCTCGCCGCCCCCCACCCAACCGTACTAACGCCCACACCGCAGCAACCTTGTTGGCTACTTGGCCGCTGACGAGCTTAGAAATCGAGCTTGCGTAAAATCACGAGAAAGGGTGAGAAAGTCCCAAGGGGAAAAAGGGACAGGAAAAAGACACGGGGGCGAGGACACGGCCAAGATTGTTCAATCCCACTGGGGTCGCCCGTTCACACACCGGCTCTCCACGCTTCTCGCCTACCGTGCATGCTCAGACTGGGTATGACATTTGAGTACGAATGTACGTTTTTCCTTTCCCCCACCACCCCAGTTCACGCCGCCGGGGTCGGGCACAGAAAGAACAGCACCAAATCGACCTCTTCCACGTTCATTGATTGTTCGGGACGATTGTTCCCTGCCCGGGAAGAGAGGTGGGCCGCTCGGAATGGTCCCATTTGCAGCCATTTTACAAGCAAGCGATTGGCTGATTGGTAGGGTGGCGCGATCGCAGCTCGAAGTGGAGTGCTCAAGCCGTTGGAAATGGAGAGACGACGTCCTGCTGCCTGTGAAGACGGAGGTTGGGAGACGACTAGTAGGTAATTCGTAGGGCCAGTTGGCTTCAGATGGCACGAATGTGGAGGTGGAGGGAAAACGACCGCTTCGGATTGGACATGGGTTGCCAAGCGCCGTTTTTCACACCTGCACTGCATCGGCACCGACCCAGAGCTCCCGCCACGAGGGAACCGAAGTCCGACGGAAATCGGGAAATGGGCCAGCGAGAGACTACAAAAAGGGGCGGCAGAAACAGCAGAAACAGCAGAAATCGCAGGCCAAGAAGGAGTGCAACGCAAGCTGCATGCAACGGCGTCAGAGCTAACGGGCTCGACAGGTTACAGACACAAATACTCGAGCATGCGCCCATCACAAGTGCACTCTCTTTACGCAACCACAAAACTCTCGCGCACTGTGGCCGTTAGAGGACCCTGTTGGTGGTTGTTGGATTCCAACCGACCGGATGTCTCGCTTTCAATTTCGGCTTCTCTGGCAGCCTGTGTTTTAGACCTTGGCCTCCCTCCTTCGTCGCCGTGGATTCCATGGAAGAGTATTGGATAAGTACGAGGAGCGTAATTCCATCGTACTGAACAGGAAATGTATGAGTTCGAACAGTTGCCGACTCTGTATCGGCTCAACCTGCGTCATTGGCCGCCGACAACAGTAATTATGGAGATAAGTTGGATGCGAGCCGTTGACCAAAATAGTTAGCAGAGCAAAAAGGTTAAAAGAGACGATGGCAGGATGGGTACAGGCTGGCGAATTGCCCCAAAGAGGTAAAAGGGAAGTGGGCACAATGGCCCGTCTTTTATCCTAAACAAGCAAAACCGTCCATAGCGGCATCTGATTGAAGAGGCTGTGGAGAGTTCATGATACGTGCTCGAAAAGGAGACAAAAAAAGACAAAGAAAAACACCCCACAAAGCGCTTTGTTCTGGATCTCCAATAATGGCTGTTGCTTACTGATGCCTGAATTGACAGTGACAGCTGCCAGGCACCATGTCAGGAACGGCGGTTTAGATCTTAACACAGTGCTAGGTGAATGGCGCGACTATGCACGATTTATCGACGGGGCCGTTCGTGTAAGTTTGGTGCTAGAGTTTGAGAGAATCTGTAATGGCGATAACTACCGAAAAAGGGACCAATTTGTTTTGGTGAAGCAACAGAAGGTATAAAGACGCACTCGTGCCTCTCGTTAACACCCTTTGAACCTCCAAGTACCATCTGCTCGATATCTCCGACCCGTTCTCTAGTCGACCCAGCTGTGCGACGGTGTCCAACTTCATGTCCAACTTCATGCCTGACTCCTGGTTGACCCCCGGTCGACATCCCGATCGGCACTGCAATATGCGGAAAGTACAGTGCCCAGTTCGGGACGTCAAAGACTGCGTCCGGAACATGTGCTAGTCCGACCAACGAAACACGGCCGGCACGCCACGAGGAACAGGATGAGGCGGATGTGTGCTATTATCATACCAAACCCAGCCAAGGTTTGGGTAGTAACTATGACTCTGTGCTCGCCGCGATATCGACCTCGGCATAGAGAAACGGTGCCAAATCTAGGAAGACGCACACTGGACCAACCCCGATGCCAGAGATGCACCTGGACCATCTCCGTGTGTCCATGGAACGGGCGTCCCGGCCACCAAAAGATGCCATGAAAGACTAAGACTTGATGGAGATGAGCGTGGCGGGCGCGCACCGAGGATACAGATGGCGGCAGGGTGCGCTCTTCGTCGCCATGTTTCTTCCCTGCTCCTTTCCCGAACACGTGTAAGATACCCCGGGTTTAGTCTTTGCTTTTTAGATGGTACGGAGCAACGCCTATGATAGACGTGCCGTCGGCAGTCTTGAACATCGAGATATGCTGTTGGTTTTGCTGGCTTGTTTACGCAGCCTCGTAAGGTTGGGTTTTCAGGCGTTCATTCTTCTGCGAATCGAACGACGAAGGGACCACCAGATATGACGTGAAACTGAAATATAGTTTATATTCGCCGCATTGCACGATGTGCAGTCCCTGCGTCCGTTTCAAGTTCCAACAGCCGACTACCGGAATGGTTAGGTCAACTCACGATTGCTGGCACGCTGCGGAGAAGGAGCGATAGCTAAGCGGGCGGCTGGACTCTGCTTGCTATCAGATTGTTTTAGTCGAATCCCTGGCCGATTGAGGCGCTGCATCTTCTGTTCGCCCCTCCATTTCCTTTCCCTTATGCCGCCAATGGCCGCGATTGCAGTGCTGTGGCAATAATGTCCCTGCAGCAAGTCTGCGTCAGCTTGCTACCAGTGAACCCCCAATGTGCTGTATTTGTGCCGATACCCCAGCGGCAAGCTATCAGTTGTGCGGAGTCGTCCGCGTGTTAGTCCTCTCTGGGAAGGTCGATAGCTTAATGCGGTGGGTTTTGGCGATTTGGCGATTTTGGCGATTTTGGCGCGGTTGACTTCTCTCTTTTGGCGTCGTAGGGTAAGACGTTGGCGGGGGAAGGAGCGACATCGCAAGTGCCACATCGGCATAAAACACCGATTGCGTCGCTCTTTCTGTTTTTAGAATCTCAGAAGACGAGGAAGCTACACGATTGCCGCGGCTTACTCGAGGCAGGAGCATTTTCGAGACCTCACATCCTCTAGCATCCTCTCGCAACCACTCCGACGTCGACAACCCCATCTCCGCCCGTCCCACCTGCTACCGCTACCTTTCCATGCCACAATGGCTACAGTCTTTGTCAACGGCAAGGTCTTCCAGTCGGGCGCCGGCCCCAACGACGATGCCGTCTTCCACAGTGCCATGGTTGTTCAGGACGGTGTGGTGCAACATGTCGGCAGCGAGGCCGACTCGGCCGTCCAGGAGGCCAGGGCTGGCGGCTCCGCAACGGTGCACGACCTCGGCGGACGTACTGTGCTTCCCGGCTTCGTCGACGGCCATGTCCACCTTCTCGCGCTCGGCTACTCTCTCAACAAGGTGCCGCTCGAGGGCTGCCACAACCTTGAGGACATCCGCACGCTCATCAAGGACTACGCCGTGGCAAACCCCAATGTCCCGCGCATCTTGTGCCGCAACTGGATGTTCTCCATGACGCCCGGCGAGGTGACGGCGGACATGATTGACGACCTGGACCCGCGGCCCATCTATATTGAGAGCAAGGACCTGCACGCGACGTGGTGCAACACGGCGGCGCTCAAGGACCTGGGCATCTACGACGACTTGGACAAGCTGATCAAGGGCGGCACGATCCACCGCCACGTCGACACTAAGCGGCCCTCGGGCTTGCTGAGTGAGGCGGCCGTCTTTGATCTGGTGTGGCCATACCTGTCCAATGTGGCCACGCTGCAGGAGCGCATCGATGCGGTCGCGTCCGCCGTCGACGTCTACTCGGCGCAGGGCTACACGGGCGTCGTGGACATGGCCCTGCAAGAAGAGTCGCTCGAGGCCATGATCCACTATGTGGCCACACGGCCCGACCAGCGCCCGCCGATCCGCATCGCAGCCTACTGGCTCATCAAGCCGCGGGACTCCGAGGCGGAGCACCTGGCGCAGGTCGACCGCGCCATTGCACTCGCCAAGATCCACAACGGCGCCGCCGGCCGCAACGGCGAGACGCTGCCGTCGCTGCGCGTCGTCGGCATCAAGGTCGTGTGCGACGGCATCGTCGATGCCTGCACAGCGGCACTGACCGAGCCCTACGGCGACTCTGCGCGCACGGCCGCGGACCCCATCTGGTCGCCCGAGATGGTGGCGCCCGTCGTGGAGCGTGCCACGGCGGGCGGCCTGCAGGTGGCCCTGCACGCGATTGGCGACAAGGCGATTGCCATGGCGGTCGACACCATTGCCCAGTTCGCCGGCCAGAAGACGCTGCGCCCGCGCATCGAGCACCTAGAGCTTGCCTCGCACGCGGACGCCGTCCGCCTCGGCGCGCTCGGCATCACCGCCAGTGTCCAGCCGGTGCACGCCGACCCGGCCATCCTGCGCGCGTGGCCGCGCCTGCTTGGCGAGCACCGCTGCGGCCGCGCGTTTGCCTATCGCGCGTTCCAGGACGCGGGCGCGCCGCTGGCGATTGGTACGGACGCGCCTACGGCGCCGCGTGAGCCGCTGGCCAATGCATACATTGCGACGACGCGGCGGTCGGCCCGGGAGCCGGATGCCGCCGACCTGGGCGCGGTCAACCCGCACTTTGCGCTGACGTTGTGCCAGGCGGTGACGGCGGCGACGCGCGGTGCGGCCTACTCTGTGTTTGCGGACGGCGAGACGGGCTCGCTCGCACCGGGCAAGACGGCCGACTTTGCCGTGGTGGACATGGCCTGGGACGCGTCCAAACTGTTGGGCGCGGTGATTGAGGAGACATGGTACGGTGGCAAGCAGGTGTATAAGAAGTGAGCGGCACGAGGCAGAGCCTCAAGGGAAAAAAAACATCAAAACCATCAAAAACCCAACCCATCAGAGATCCGCCTTTCCACCAGCGGACCGTCTTTACACCAGTAGACGACGGCGTATCACGCTATGTGAGCGGCTGTCTGTTGGCTCAGGGGTAGACACGAGAAAAAGAGTGGGGTGAAAAACAAAAAGAAAGAACACGAACAAACACAAAAGTAAACGGCCAGTGATTGGAAGTTGGCAGCGGCGTCCAGTTGAACAAAGTTGTACAAAACAATGTCACAGGCTTTTGTATTTTTAATATTTTGAAATTTACGAATTACGGCATACATTGTCAAGACATCCACTAAAGTGGACCGGATGGAGAAACGCAATACTTTAATCTGTTGTCTTGTAGTCAACACGCTCACGCTGGTTCAATTTACAAATTTCTTGATTTGCCAATCTGGCAGTACCGTGATTTGCCCGTTTTAGGATTTTCTAGCGGCCCTGGGAATGCGCATGCCAGCCCTTTTGCCTTTTGTCTCCGATGGTGTCTCGACCTTTCCAGCTTTCGTCTCTTCATTTGTGTCGCCTTGTCTTGCCATCCCAAGCACGCTCAGGCGGCACGGCAAAAGGGAGCCGTTGGGCGGCGTCTGGTGCAGTGGCCATAGTTTCATTACTGACGTCATTGTTCATTGCACGACAGCCGCGTCTCCACCAACAGATGCTCCGGGCCACGGGGGCCCTCAGGCCTGTAAAGGGCCTGAGGGCCCTTTACAACATAACATGCCTGGGCATAGGCATGTTAAATTCATTTTATTTTGTCATCCCTCGAGCCCCTCCGCTCCCCTCCTCCTCGTTCGTACAGAATAGATGCGAGTACAAAGACATGTCGTAAAGGCTGAAAGATCCTTGCAGCGCCCGCGGAGCCGGGACAATCTCCAGAAGGAGCATGGATCGACGGCAAGACATTTGCAGCATCGTCGACGTCAGCACCCGCGATGAAAATCGCAATGTGCAATATGGCAACACTGTTCAGCCCACCTAGTTGCCTTCTGAAAAATGCCCGCCGGACCGTCACTGCGTTTCGTCACGGTGAAGAAGTCTATCGCGACATTGCCAGGCAGTTCCCTGAGAAGGGCTGAAGGCGATGCCATGATGCACGTCGCACAGCGTGTTGACTCAATACGATGTCAGTCGAGGCAAACAGACAGCCAGCAAAACGGTGCACGGCATATGTGGCTCAGGAAAAGAGTAAAATCAAACCGAGACGAAGCCCCAGGCACGCATCTTGGCCTGGAGGGCGCTGAGACGTTGCAGGGTCCCCACGCCAGCGTCAACCTTATCTCGGGGTTCTCCTCTCGCTCATGATCATGGCGACCGTTCGCTCGGGCATTTTGAGGACAGGCACTCGATGAGCACGCAAATGCCGAGGGCCCAGCGTGCGGAGAGATGCCGGGCACGCTGTAATTACGCCGTGTCGACGCTGTAGCATAGTATTGTACAGGGCACCAAAAGCATTTCTCAGCATGTTCCAGGGAGTACCAGTGCGTTGTGCTGATGGTTGACACCCTGACCAATAAGATGCTCCAACTAAGTTGCCCCTGTAACTTGGTCCCTGCGGAAAGTCAGACGTCTGCAGGTCGCTCAATGTCGCCAAGTTGCAGAGCTGGGCTCACTGGGCTCAGTTTGCCATAATTTTCAACGGACACAGACCCATAAAAAATTAGGAACATACCCACCCTAGCCACCGTCCCACCACAGCCCACCACAGCCCACAACACCCGCATAAAAAACTGGGCAATGACGCTGCCATCCAAGATTCGATGCAGACTACGTCATTTCTTCCCTTCGCTTTCTATTCCCTCGTTTTCCCTTTTTTTTCTCTTTCGTCCTCCGTGTTTTACCAAGCTCGCTAGGGGCAGTGACGGCACCAGAATCGAATGTTGATTCCCTCCCCCCCCCCCTTCGAAAGACCCCTCACAAATTGAAAATTCAATGCCTCCTGAGACCAACGGCTCTCGTATTTTCTCATCTTCGGCGGTGTCATTGCCTGGCCCGTTCCATGTCTGTTGTCTTCTCCAAGTCATTATGACATACGTCGTTTCTTCCGCGGAGTCTTGTTACTTTTGGTCCTGTCATCTCGCGCTTTCCAATTTGTCAGTGGGCCCCCTTCCCATCGGTTTAGTATATCCAACTTTTGGCTTGCAAACCGGGAACGTGTCGCTTGGCTAGTTTCCGTCTTTCGAGGGAAACCGAAGGGGGGGAATGAGGACACAAAGAACGAGAGGAAGACATGACATTGTAATCTTGCGGATCCCCTTGCTCTTTCCCATTTTTGTCGTTTCTTGCCCTTCTCGGCCGTGCTTGCCTTCCATTTTCTTCCTCGTAATACCGCGCTCCTGCCTTGTTCCTGGCGCTGACTGCTTCGTGAGAAACAGGCCGTCTGGTAGTGTTTTCGCTTGCCTAATCCGTCCGCCATTTCGTCAGCCTCCTACAGGGCGCCTTAGTACAGTTTTTTGCTTTTTACCCCGCTATAACTCCCCCAAAGGCCCTGTAACTTACCTCGCTTGGCTCTTCGCTCTGTTCTTGGGATTTCTTTTTTTCTCTGCATCTCTCAATTTTTCTCATTTTCTCTCCCCCCCCAATCCCACTCTTCTGCCGTCATGGTTTGCCCTTTCTCACATCCTTGATCCCCAGACAAATTACGCCATATCTCTCCCTCTCATCATCCAAATCAAGAATCTCAAGAATCTCAAGAATCTGGAACGCATCTCAAAGACAGCCGTTCCAAGGCGTCACACTAAAAGTGCGCCTCCCGCGTCTGCTACCTGTCGCGCCTTCCCCCGTTCGCTTCTGTCCAGCGAGCCTTATTAATCCCCTTAGTTCCTGCGCCGTTTCCTTTCCAAGACTTTTCCCTCTGTCCTCTCCTGTTCCTCTCCTATTCCTCCTCTGTTATCTTCGCTTTGCTCGACATCTCCGTCTCTTCTTTGTCTTCACCTGCAATCCACACCTCGCCTCTCTTGACGTCCTCTCTACGACCGCCAGTAGTCATCCACCACGATCGTGAAATTTTCTTCGTCCTACGCACCTTGCAGCGCCCGCCTCTGGCCCTAGATTCCATCCCCCGCCTCATTCAGCGCCTTCCGTAGCTTTCCAGCCAACACTTCATTGCTCGTCACAGCATCGTCAGCGTCAGCGCCTGTTCTCTTTCCCGCCCAAGTGATGTGTGCTAGAACACAGCGACACGTCTCGTCTTGACTCATTCTCCATCAGCCGTAGGGGTAGGTCGCAAACTCGAGCAGTGCTACGTACTTTTTTGCATCGACGTCGACATTGGCTGACCCTTATTTGTGTCTTTTTCCCAGCTTCGCTCTCACTTCTTCTTTTGACCCTCTGCCTCCTCTACCAATTATCTAGACCACTAAACCCGTCGAAATGTCGACAATACAACAACTCAAAAACTTCATCCGCCATGGTGAGCAACTGCCGTTTCCTCTGCTGTGATCGATCTCGTCCGTGATCGTCTAACCGCCTCCACCCGTCACAGGCAAGCAAGCCCGCGTTGTGGACGAAACGACGGCGCGTAAAGAGCCCTCGTCGCGGAATTCACCACCCCAGCAGCTGAGCCCGACCTTGGCCACGACAACCCAGCAACCCACAACCCACCACGCCGTCTCCGACCCAGGCCGCACCACACGCACCGTCCCCGCTGCCGTGCTCGACGAGGAGCCAGAGATGGCTCCCATCACCAAGACCAAGAGCCGGCGCGTTGCTGATGACGAGATCGCCAAGCTTGTCGCCGAGGAGCGCGAGGGCCGCAGCAGGTTTCCCCGGTATCCCGGCCTTGAGCGCTGGGAGCTCATCGAGAAGATGGGCGACGGTGCCTTCAGCAACGTCTACCGCGCACGCGACCGCACCGGCGCCTACCCCGATGACGTCGCCATCAAAGTCGTTCGCAAGTACGAGATGAATGCCACACAGGTTCGTGCATTTTTCGATTGTTCCGTTGCGTTTTCGTTTTCGTTTCTGTTTTGGTTTTTCGTTTCTCTCGCCCGAGCAAGTTGTGCTCGAGGATCCCGCATATGCGTCCCATGCATATGTTTGGCTGCGTCGTAGCAACGAGCCAACGCAAAGGGGACAAAAAACAGGCAAAAGACAAACAAAAAAACGTGTTAGCATGCGTTTTTTTAATCTCGAGACTTTTGCGGGTGCTTTGATTTTTGCTGTTCGCTTCGCGTTGTTTTTGTTTTTGTATTCTTGCTTTTTTTTTTGTCTTTATTTTTTCATTTCTCCGCCTCGGATTGTTCGCCAATGCCAATTTTCGCCAACATAGGGAGACAAACACATCCATCCGAAATTCAAGCCGAAAGTGCCCAAGGCTGCAGAGGTAGGAACTCCCATTTACTTTTCCTTTGTATTGTTTTCTCCGCCATGATGGTTCTTGACTTCTCAACGTCTATTCTCTTTCCTCCTCCTTTCTCGTTTATATTCTCCCCTGTACCGCTTCCTCATCACGTTTGTATTCCTCCGCATGTCTCGATGTCTTCATTGCCTGTCTTTTGCCTATCCTCTTCTTCCCTTCAACTCCTATCTTTCCTTCCCTTGATCCTTCCTCCTCTTCTCTTTGTCCCTTCGTTTCCCACCAGTCTTTCCTTTCTGCGGTGTCCGAGTGAATTCCCACTCCGTTTCCCTACGAATACTTTACTTTCATCTCGTATGGCTTTCACCACTTCTTGCCTCATATTCTAACCCGCAACTAGCGCGCAAATATCCTCAAAGAGGTGACCATTATGCGCAAACTCGACCATCCCAACATCGTCCGCCTTCTTGAGTTCTCTGAAGCCAAGCAGTACTACTACATTGTGCTCGAACTGGCCCCTGGTGGCGAGCTTTTCCACCAGATCGTAAAGCTCACCTACTTCAGCGAGGAGCTGTCTCGCCACGTCATTGTCCAGGTTGCCAAGGCCCTGGAATACCTGCATGAAGAGCAGGGTGTTGTCCATCGGTACGCTCCTTTCGCTCGATTCGTATATCTTCCTAAATGCGAGGACCAGCAGCTAACTCCCAGTTCAGCGATATCAAACCCGAGAACATCCTCTTTTACCCAGTACCCTTTGTCCCCGCCAAGCATCCTAAGCCGAGGCAGGCGGGCGACGAGGACAAGGTCGACGAGGGTGAATTCGTTCCTGGCCAGGGCGCGGGCGGCATTGGCCAGATCAAGATTGCCGATTTCGGCCTCTCAAAAGTCATTTGGGAGACGAACACCACAACACCTTGCGGCACCGTTGGATACACGGCCCCGGAAATTGTCAAGGATGAGATGTACTCCAAGTCCGTTGACATGTGGGCCCTCGGCTGCGTCCTCTACACCCTGTTGTGCGGCTTCCCACCCTTCTACGACGAGAGCATCGAAGTTCTTACGGAGAAAGTGGCCAAGGGCCAGTTCACGTTTTTGTCACCTTGGTGGGATGACATTTCCAAGTCTGCACAGGACCTGATCAGCCACCTCCTCGACGTCAACCCGGAACGCCGCTACACCATCGTGGAGTTCATGAAACACCCTTGGATTCGCGGCTCTGGTCCGACGCCCCGCGACGAGAAGGCCATCGGTGCGGACGGTACTGCGGCCAAGGCCTTCGACATGTCCCGGATTGTCGACGGCGATCGCCGCGGCGATTTCCGCTCCCCTGGTGCCGTCAACCTGCGCGAGGTCTTTGATGTCGGGTATGCTGTCCACCGCCAAGAGGAGGAGGACAAGCGCCGCAAGAACATTGGCGCCCGCACCCCCGGTGTTGCGCGCATGGTGGAGCTGACCGAGGCCGACGAGGAGTCATCGTCCGCGGCGTCCACTGCAAACCTGTCCAACTCGTCTGGCTCTACCAAGGAGGGCAGCAGCGGTGGCAACAGCGGTATCAGTGACCAAAACTACGCCCACTACAGCAGCAAGATGGCGGCGGCGCACGCCAACAACGGCAACGCCGGCACCCAGGACCTCGAACATGGTATGCGCAATGCGAACATTGGCGGCGACCAACCCGAACAGAGGCGCGGCCGCGATCGGGAACGTCAGCAGCCGGCGGCTGCCACAAACGAGCGCGGCTACGGCCAGCACTCGGCCACCGTGGCCGCCGCCGCCCGCCAGCAAGTGCGCGACCACAACCGGCAAAAGGGCGCTTTCGAACTGAACCTTGACGGCGCGACACTGCTCGGCCGCCGCGGCGCGAAGCCGGCTGCCCCCGTTGCATAGGACGGTTCCACCGGTGCATGACTTTTGTTTTGCGATTTTGGGTTCTCTTTTCGGCACTACATGATATGGCTTTGCTTTACGCTTTGTTTTCTTCTTTTGCCTCTTTTTTATTCCCTCGTATTTATATTTCTCTTCTTTGGCGGACATAGGGTATGAACTGTTGTCTGTTCACGGTATTACCATTTCTTTCTTTCGTTTCTTATTGATTTTGTCACTTGCATTGGCATAGCAGCGTTTAGGGCGTTATGATATGTGCCTCTTGATTTTTGCACCAGTCTCTTCTTTTTCAATCAAACTATATATGCCATCGCCTTCCACGTTTGCGTAACTCTCTTGCTTGCGTGTCCACTGCCAATGTCGCCCGCACCTCTCCATCTGCAGTCCGGTTTGTCATTTCTGGGCCTCTTCGCTTGCCTCTATTTCCAATGTAGTATCTCTGGGCGGCACTGTTTGCGTTGTCGACACCTGTGAATACGCGCAGTGCCAGGCCGGGTCTGGGTGCCAGAGAAGCGTCGCTTGAAGTCGGACACCGCCGACCATGAAACCGTTGAGGGCAGCAACGGCCGCGTTAATCTGTTGCATCGTGTCGTAGTACATGCAAATCTGATTTTGCTTCAATCGAGTCGGACGGCGCTCGCCTCCTGCAGCCAAAATGACCGGCTCGGCAAGACCGTGGTCCCGCAGCAGCTTGAGCATGCTCTCTGTGTCTTGCAATGCTTTTGGAACGCCGGCAAAAACCCACGGGCGTTTGCTGCGTTTGGGCAGTTTGCGATTCCCGTAAACAAAAATATGGCACAGGGATACACGCTTTCGGACAAATAGAAGCCATGTTGGCGGTAGTGGCGATTGAGTGTGTCTCGAGTCTCCTTCTCCAGCTGACTGAAAATGCCAGCTGGGTAAGCCACGATGCGTGCGAGGACACCGAGCGTACGCACGGCATCCATACCTGGGTCCCGTGAAGCGCCGTCGTCAACGGCGCGACTGCGACTTTGCAACGAATAGCCAGGCCGAAAGCCCACGACCCGCAAAGCATCAAGCAATGGCATGGTGGTCTTGTTTTGACCAAATCTGCATCCGGATGCTGCCAAGAGTAGAGGTGTAGCGACTTCTTGGAGGTCGACCCAGCCATGGAACTGCTGCAGAAAGCCAGGGGCCAGTCGGTCAAGTGTTGGTCGATTGTTTGTGGCACCCCAAACGACCAAGATACGCCTGTTTTGCTTTCCAATTGGGGGCGAAGTAGCCTTGCTGTGGCCTTTTGATGGTGCGGTTGTTTCCGAAGTGGTCCAAGAATCATTGACAGACTTACGAGAGTGTTTCATGTCGACGAGGTCCTGTCTAAAAAGCTCACGGCGTTTCATCAGACGCTCAAAGTTTTGTTGATCTTGCGAGCCAGCCCATGCTTCAGGATATAGTAAAGACTGAATTTTGTACTGCTGTAGCATGCGCCTCTCAATGTCTCCTTGCACATTTGCAAGGTAGAGCCTCATGGAGGGGCCCTTTCGTGAAACGATCTGCTGCCATGGTTTGTTGTGCGGCGACGGGCGTTTCTCCGTCTCGATCGCAGGCGCACCGAGATCAAATATACTTGGTGCACGCCAGCTGTTCGGCGACAATGGCAGCTGTGTCTGGAGAGTTTGCTGTACCCTGCCTTGGGCTTGCGTTCCGTGTTTGTGCCATGCTCGTCCCCTGGCAACGAACGAGTCGAGGTTTTGCCCAAGATGTCGTGCCAGACAGTCCGTCGTGGTTGTCATGCCCTTTTCCCCGTATCGAAATTGCTCTCGTGTCTTGTGGTCCATGCGGTCGCTGAGCCTTGTACTGGCTGCTCCGATACCGTATTGGGCGACAGCATCGTCAAGGTCTACCTCCTGCAACCGGCGCCAGTCATGAGACGCAATGCTATGTGTCGTTTTGGTGCTGCCATTCCCGTGGATCGTGAGGGTGAGGTCCGCTGCAGGAGGGACGCTCGACGGCATATAGGCAAGGACAATATGTGAGACTCTGGCCTCGTCGATGTGGGTGCCATTGTCTTGGCCGTGTCCCTTGACATCAACGGCCACATACTCGTATTGGATCAGGGGCGAGTGAGCCTGGTCGCGAAAAGTGGCAAGATTGGCGATGCGTTTGTCCCTCTAGAAGTAAAACGGCACGTCGTCCTCTTCTTGCGTCTCTGACGTAAGTGAACAATGGGATGCAGAGAGTGTGCGCGACGACGTGAGGGAGGTTGGGATACTGTGTGGTAGGTCTGAGGGTGCAGAGGCTCTAGCCTGCCGGCTTGATTCTCTCAAAGAAAGGTTCTCCGATGTCAAAGGTGCTATCGCCGGCGCCAACCTTGATGGCGAGTCAGCCTCTTTGCTTGGTGGTTCATACTCGAGCAGGTAACACATGTGGCCAGGCAAAAGTGCCTCGTCGACCGAAGACAGAGGTACAGCCATGGTGATACAATTGACAGTGCCGTGGCTAAGCGTAAGGTGTCAAGTCGACTAAGTTGAGTCTAAGGAGAAGATGATAGCTTTGCAGAGCATCAGTTTGACCGGATTGGACTGCAAAGCCGAAAAGCAATACAAAAGGCAACTTGAGGCCAAGCGACTCAGGGGTAAAATTAGGGGGAAAGAAGGAACGGTAGTTGAACCTCTTTCCTGAACCAGCAGGAGAATAGAGACGAGGGAAGGAGCGGCCGGCGAGAGACACAACAACAAACTGGGAAGTCACGACGGCAATTACGGCGTCACTCTCTACTGGTGTGATGCTTTGCCAGGAATGGAAAGAGCCAACGCTCATCCAGTATTGCATCGCGACACGATATATTAGGCAATACAAATTTAAGAAAATCCAAATGTCAATGTCTTTGTGCTTCACATATCGTGAACAGTAATGAATCCAAGCCACATTTGTGATCGTTGCCATCTACAAGGCTTTTAACTCGTTGCCTAGTTATCGACGGAGTAACATGCCAGGCTTATTTGTTCCTTTGACAGCCATCACAAAGGCGTCGAGAATTGCTCTCTTTTGGGTGTCCGTAATTTCTCGGGCGTTTTTATTCATTTTTTTATGTACCGTTAGACAATTTCTCAGTAAGTAAGCTACCTCGTATTGTCTACCCAACGACCCGATGCATAGCCATTCGAGCCATTGTCGATGGCTTTGTTGTCGTTGGTCGGTTTGCCTAATACGCCAAGATGTGCATCAGCATCAGCCTCCACCCTAAAACTGGCTCCCGGGTTGTCACTGCCGCGTATTATGATGTAAGTTGCTTATGCCCTGCCGGGACAAAGAACACCGCTGACCACATGGCGCAGCAGCGCAGCATTTGGCCAAATCGGGTAATTTCAGAATGAGAGCTTTTCGAAGAGCTATAAGATTAAACGTGGTATTATTTAAGGCTGAGATGTTTAGAGATGATTTAGACGTGGAAACACAACATTTTCTTTTTCTCATTTATATGACTTAAAAGACTCTCAATCAACGTTTTGTCTTTTCTTATCTTTTTTCTTTTTTTTGTCTTCTCTTCATACAACCCTCAAAAATGACCTTCCGCCCAAAAAACGACTACAGCCTGGGCTTCGGCTCATCGGACTTCGGACTCGGCACCAACTCGGGTCTCGGTTCTGACTCTGGACTCAGTTCCGGCGGATCGCGCTTGGGCTCCAAGATGGGCACTGGCGGCCTTGGCTGGTCGGGCGGCCTTCGAGGCGACCGAAAGAACAAATGGACGACGATGCTTGGTCTCGACAGTGGATGCGAATGTGGCAACGGGAACGGGAGCGGAAGCAACTATGGAGGCAGTGAGGACATGGGCGGCTTTGGCGGACCGGATGATGCAGGTGGCGGATTCGGCATTGGGGATTCAAAAAAGATATCCCTGACTGCTGCTACTTATCCTGTCCACCTGCCGGTTCTCCTAGACAACCTGAGCCAGCTCGAGACAGCTCGTTCCCGTGTCTTCAACGGCCTTGACAAGTACGGCGACGGCACGATCCTGGCTATTTTTGAGAAGAAGTGGTTCAAGCGGCTGCAGAAGCTGTGCGACCACCTCGGTGCTCAGGGCCTGGCCATCGGCAGTCTGCTCGCTCACACAACAGCACTCCCTTCGCAGGGTCTCAATTTGGCCCTCCAAGGGTGGATGGCCGCGGCCACAAACAACCTGGGCACCCTCCACGGCGAGATGGAAAGCGTAGCCGTCTATCACCTCATCACAATGGCTGGTGATATTGAAGACGCATCCGATATGGTGGATGCAGTCGACAGTGGTGACAGCGGCGAAATCGTCGATACGGCAACAGGAATTGTCGTTGAGGGTGCCGCTGAGGATGCTTGTGAAATGTTGTTTGGCAGCGTCGATGCGCAACTAGCACGCTGCTACAAGGTATTGGTGCAGTGTGCCGCCGAGATGGACAACAGAATGATGCCGGCATTACAACAAGAGCTATCAGGAGGCGGCTGGAACGTTCCCCCTGGTCCAGGACGATGGTAAGCCTTTGTGCCGGGTTTGCGGGATATATGAATGTTATGTATGATATGATGACAGAACTTGTAATATAGAATAGTTTGAACGGTAGATATATGTATTTTGATAGATGTTCACCTACTAACATTTCAAATAAATACTAAGCCGATATGGTTTGTGCTGCTAAACACGTATTTGGCAAGATATACTTCTGGACTAAATGTCACACAGCCTTGCATATCATACTCCAGTACCAATTACTCACTTCGATACAGTTAGGGCCCTCTGTGATCCGCAGTCCTTTCAGAGGCACCAGCTGTACTCAACTTGTGACGACTAGTCGATGGTAGAGGCTTACGGGCAATGCTGTGCTTCGCGGACGTAGGTGTCGAACGTGCGCATGTTTGAGACGCACCAACGGGTGGGATTGCGGCGCAGACAGCATGCAGCCGTTGGACACCCTCGGCACCAAACTCTGCGTAGTACATGCTCGAGAATGCAGGATCGTAGACAGCGGGAACTTCGTGAGGCATCAAAAACTGGCGGCCAAGTGTCGTGCCGCTGCCCAGGAGCCGGAGACAGGTGTTGACCTGACGTCCGAGAACCTTGTGTTCCATGGAATCCTCGGAGGCCTCATATACGGCACCACTGCGTGTGTACGCCTGCGCTGTGTGTTGTAGCAGACTGGCGAGGCTGAGAACAGGTGGCGCCGTTTCGGGCAAGCCGAGCGTCTCGTACGGGCCATCACACGTGCTTTCCTCGTTCCTAAAACAGCATGAGCCCTCCGTGCGGTCGATTTGGTAGAACGAATCTTCGCCGCTGTCAAACTCGTGGTCATTCACCCACTCAATATTGACCGTCACAAATTGCCCGTCGACCTGCAGCTGCAGGCTTTGCGGCCTGCGACGGTCAAATCGAAAGGCATTTTGAGAGACAGCGGCCCAGGACGGCAAGACGTCACGGGTGGCCAAGGGGCACACAATTGAAGGCTGACAGACGGAATCTGCTCCGTCCAGCGAGTCGCCTACATCGATGCACCGCAAGGGGTCGTAGAGGCGAAGAGCAAGAGGGCCACTGATGGCGTAGCGAACGTGTTGAAGGGCCGTCTGGAGACCAAGCACTAAGCGACCAAGTGAGTGGTAGTGGGCACACATCGGAGAGACCTGGACGGAGAGAGAACCTGAGGTCGAGGAAGTGGCCGAGGAACTTGTGTCGTTTGATTGCGAAACGGTACCGTTGCTCGTATCAAAGCTCTCGTAGCTATCCCGCAGCTGTACAGAAGAATGATACCGACGTTTTCGGTAAAGAGTAGACGGTACCGGGGACTGGGGGATTCCGGGAAGGGGTGGCAAGGGACGACTGGTGGGCAGAGGAGGCAGTGGCCGGGATGTGAGCTGGTGCATTCGATGGGAGTTACACACGAGCTTCTCACTCATCCGAGTGGCCTGCTGCGCGGCGCAGACCTGGCACGCGTATACATGAGCGTGGGAAGAGGAATGTGTGTATGGCCGCGCCTGAGTATGGCCAGACCTGTACCTATAGTCACCGTGGCCTTGCTCAACGATGGTCTGCGGATTGAAACGGGCTGCCAGCAGTCGCCTTCCAAGCTCGCAAAGGGTCGAGCGAAAGCCCATTGTGTTGCGGATGGTGGTTTGAGGGTGAGATGGTAAGTGAGAAGGGACCGGAAAACGATGGCTTTCTGCGTGATGGCGGCTGCAAGTTGTGGCTGGAAATGGGAAGGACTGCAGCAGTGTGAACAGAAAAGACAGCGTGGCCGTGGATGAAGTTGAGGGATGAGGAAGAACAAGCAGAGAAATGGGGCCGGTGACACGCTTTTATATCATCGTAGCACTTTCCCAAACTATTGTTCGTTCTGAACAATGGCCATAGTTTGCGGAAGGAACAAAGGAGGTTGCGCGCTGTGCCTGCCCACACTGAACAAGACGATGGTTGACGTGAACAAAGGGCTCTTCGTTTGGCAGGAGCGGCACAACGCTTTGTATGGACATCGACATCGAACAAAGACGATAGAATCTACACCAATCGCCATTCATGACAGAGATGCAATTCACACTATCGCGTCTTGGATTGGATCACACATGCGCATATTGTTGTCTAGCCTAACGCCTACTCGTACATGGCCGCCTGCTGTTACTTTTTGTGACGGAGTCGCAAGTATGGGATTAGAACAGGTAGAAATGGAGGGGAAAAGAAATAGGAAAGAAAAGAAAAGATGCAATGCATTTCGAGTTGTCTACCATATGCTTTCCAGCAAGTTTGCGAGCCCGTACAAACCCCATGCTGTCCGCCTCCTGCCGCGTCTATCGTTCATAACTCGTCCTCAACGTCCATCTCGTCGTCCGCTGCGCTCTCGCCGTCCACCGCGCCCTCTTTCCGCGGCATCGTCGTCTCCTTGTCAATCATCTGCCGCGACACGGCCACAATATTGTCCTCAATCAGCTGCTGGCCCACGTCCTCCAGGTGCTTCTTGGGGTCCAGCTTGCCCACGTAGCGCGTCTTGAGCTGCTCCTTGGTCAGCTCTGTCTCCTCCTTGACGCGCTTCTCGTAGCCCTCCGCGAGGCCCACCAGCCGCTGCAGCCGGTCCTTGTTGTGCTCGCCCGCCACGCGAAAGTCCTCCATCTGCAGCGCCTCCGTCCACGGCTGCTTGTGCAGGTTCATCAGCATGTTCTCCTCCAGCGCGGTCTTGCGGTAGTTGATGCCGATCGAGTAGTAGTGGCGGTTGAGGCCGTGGATCAGCGCCTGGATCGACGGCTTGTTGAGGTGGCCCAGGTTGCTCGTGCTCTGCCGCGGCTCCTGGCCCATGATGAGCGTCTGCGGCGAGATAGACCGGAACGCGTCAATGACGACCTTGCCCTTGACCGACTGGATGGGGTCGATCACGACGGCCACCGAGCGCGGTGTCAGCTGCTCAAACGACTGCTGCGTGTTGATATCCACCGAAGACAGCCAGCAGCCGAAGCCGGGGTGCGAGTGGTACCAGCCCACGACCGATTCGGGCCGGCCGGTCTGGCGCAGCATCTCCATCATCTTGGTCTGGAAGACGGGGTCGACGGCCTCGACGCTGACGCCCGTGCCGCTCTGCGGCATCGCAAACACGTCCACGACGCGCACCGTAAAGTCGTCGACAAACTCGCCCAGCATCAGACCCATGACCTCCATGGGCACGCCGGCGCGGCCGTGGCGCAGCATCTTGAGGAGCGCGAGCGAAGAGATGTACACCGTCTCGGAGTTGTCGATGAGGTTCGTGTTGTCCTGGGGAAAAGCCACCCTGTCAGTTCAATCCCATTCCACAACAGAACGTGCGCTTCATGTCCCGCAAAAAGACTCACCGAGCTCGGCTGCGAGCCCAGGCCGGACAGGCCCTGGCCCGAGAACATTGACCGAAGGCGGTCCATGGTGTGCGTCGAGACGCCGGGAGTGGAGGCGAGACGAAGAAGACGCCGGGATGCGGATACGATCGAGAAGCAGGTGAGCAATTGACAGTCAGACAGACACGTCGACGCCAATATGAAGGGGTGGTGCGAAGTGGTGAAGTGTGCGTGCTATTTGTGATGTTTCCGGCTGCTTTCGTCGACGGCTGTCCCTTGCTGTTTGCTTAGCAGTGCAAGGCCGCCCCCCAGTTACGCCAACCTTGCGCAGCCTGGAGCTTTGCCCGCGTCCCACTGGGCGGTGGCGTGCGGCAAAACCTCCAGAGCTCAATGGCAGTCACGTGCTGCTTATATAAACCGCCTTATTCTGGAGGCTGGCAACCCTGAAGCGGAGCTATGATGCAGGTGCTTTGCACGACTGGAGGCGCTAGTCCACGTACGGCTAGCTTGCATGGGGCAATTGGGAAGGAGCGCCCGCCAAACTGTGGAAGCGCGTGGTGCAGGAGCGAGGGAAGCCGACAACTGACTGCTCGAAGCACAAAAGTGTGCTCTCTCCATCGTCTGTTTCTCCTCTCCGTCTTCACAACATTTTTACTCCCACCTCAACACGCTTGTTGTGTTGACTCCCCGGTGCCGTTTTCTTGTCTCCCAATTGGAGCGAGACGTCTTTTGTCTTTTGTCCGCATCGTTTTACCCCAGACTGTTTTTTTTTGTATTTCTCGACACCGACTTCCTTTCCTTTGGCCTCCCCGACGGTCTTCGATCTCCTCAGCCTACAAAACCTCGTCGATCTCCTCGACCTCCTCTACCTCCACAACCCCGTCGACCTTGTCGACCTCCTCGACCCTCTTCCTCCCCTCTCACGATGGTCACCGACGCTGCTGGTGTCGATCGCTCGCGGCCGCTTTACGATGTCGTGCACAACGACAAGAAGCGTGTGGCGTACTTTTACGATTCCGACATTGGCAACTATGCCTATGTCACGGGCCACCCCATGAAGCCGCACCGTATCCGGCTGGCGCACAGCCTGGTCATGAACTACGGCGTCTACAAGTTTCTGGAAGTCTACGTGCGTGCCGCCTGCCCCTCATGCCTCCTCTTGCCTCACTGTCTTGTATTTCACCCGCTAACGGCCCCGTCTCACAGCGCGCCAAACCCGCCGTCTTTATGGAGATGACCCAGTTCCACACCGACGAGTACATTGACTTTTTGCAAAAAGTCACGCCGGACAACATGGACAGCTATCAGCGCGAGCAGAGCAAGTACAATGTCGGCGACGACTGTCCCGTGTTCGACGGCCTGTTTGAGTTTTGCGGCATCAGTGCTGGCGGCAGTATGGAGGGCGCCGCCCGTCTCAATCGCAACAAGTGCGACATTGCCGTGAACTGGGCCGGCGGCCTGCATCACGCCAAGAAGAGCGAAGCTAGCGGCTTCTGCTACGTCAACGACATTGTGCTCGCCATCATCGAGCTGCTGCGCTTCAACAAGCGCGTGCTGTACATTGACATTGACGTGCACCACGGCGACGGCGTCGAGGAGGCCTTTTACACCACCGACCGCGTCATGACCGTGTCGTTCCACAAGTACGGCGAGTACTTCCCGGGCACCGGCGAGCTGCGCGACATTGGCATTGGCACGGGCAAGAACTATGCCGTCAACTTCCCGCTGCGCGACGGCATCGACGACACGTCGTACAAGACCATCTTCGAGCCCGTCATCGACGCCGTCATGAAGTACTACCAGCCCGACGCCGTTGTGCTGCAGTGCGGCGGCGACTCGCTCTCCGGCGACCGTCTTGGCTGCTTCAACCTGAGCATGCGTGGCCACTCCAACTGCGTCGACTTTGTGCGCAGCTTCAACCTGCCGACGCTCGTGCTGGGCGGCGGCGGCTACACGATGCGCAACGTGGCGCGGACGTGGGCCTATGAGACGGGCCGTCTGGTGGGCGTCGAGATGGACGCGGTGCTGCCGTACAACGAATACTACGAATACTACGGCCCGGACTACGAGCTGGATGTGCGGTCGTCGAATATGGAAAACGCCAACAACTATGAGTACCTCGAGAAGATCAAGATTGCCGTCATTGAGAACCTCAAGAAGACGGCCCCCGTGCCCTCGGTTCAGATGCAGGACATTCCTCGGCAGTCCATGGGCATCACGGACGAGGAGGAGGCCGAGCTGGACGACCTCGATGAGGACGAGAACAAGGACGCGCGCGTGACCCAGCGCCAGTGGGAGAAGAACCGTGCGCGGACGAACGAGTTCGACGAGAGCGACGACGAGGACTTGGCACGCGCCAACGGCGTCAACTACGATGGCCCGCCGCGGCGCTCCATCATGGACTACCGCAACCCGCATGCGGACTATGAGGTTGACAGCGGGGCCATGACGCCAACAAACGGCATTGGCAAGGCGGCGGCCGGCGACGACGGCGATGTGGCGATTCCGGATGCCGACATCATTGCAGACGCCGAGGAGAAAGCAGCCAAGAACGAGACCGACGCCGCGTCGGCTGCTGCTGCGGTTCTTGCGTCGTCGGCAGAGGCCACCAAGGCGAACCAGAACGACGACGGCGATGTAGCAATGGAGGACGTTGACACCACGCCTGCCACTGGCAACACAACTGAGGATAAGGCCGCTTCTGCCACTGGTAACACGACCGAGGGTAAGGCCTCGCCGCCATCAGGCTCCAAGGAGAGCGATACCAAGACACCCACTGGGGACGAGGCTGAGAAAAAGACGGCTGCCAAGCCGGCCGCAAAAGAGAATGGCGAGGCAGATGCATCCGCTGCCGCGGCGGCTGCCGTTGCGTCTGGGAAGAAAGACGACAGCGGTGATGTGGAGATGACAGACGCCGCCGCCGACGCTGCTGGTCCTGCCGGAGAGGCTGAATCCACAGCACCTGCTGCCGATGCCGCCGAGGGCCAGGCCGATGCCGCAGGCAAGGACGCGCCGACGACCGCCGACACCACCGAGGCCGCTGTCAAGGACAAGGAGGTGGCTGCTGCCAAGGACGAGAGCGACAAGCCGGCTGCTGCCGATGCCAAGGCCACCAAGGAGGCAAAGGAGACAGCATCCAAGGCCGACAACGCAAAGGACGCAACCGCTGCTGCTGCTGCCCCTGCGGCCGACTCGGCCGCTGCCACTGACGAGTCTGCAAAGAGCAAGAAGGACGATACGGCCGCTGACGCTTCTGCCTCGGCTGCCGCCGACGCTCCGGCTCCGGCCTCCAAGGAGAAGAACGGCGACAATAAAGAGGCCGATGCGGCCGCCGCGGAGAAGAAGGATGGTGGCGCGGGCGCGGGAGCTGACGTAAAGAAGGACGGCGAGGCCGATACCAAGGCTGCGGAGGCCAAGGACAAGGCCGCGAGCGAAGACAAGAAGGAGGCGGCAGCAACCACTGCCAACAGCAGCAAGGCAGAGGTGGCCGCTCCGGCAGCCACATCAGACGAGAAAGCCGCGACGGACACGCCGGTGAAGGAGGAGGCTGCCTAGGTGCCAATGTCCCTTGACATTTCTGATTGGCCAGAGTCGTTTTGAGGGACTCTGCATTGGCCCGTCTGCTGTTGCGTTTCGTCTTTGTGCTTTTCATCTCCTGCGACTCTCCTTTTCTGTGGGAGCGGTAAATGATAATACCAGCGGCGTCTTAGGGGGGTTATGTTTCTACCCGTTGCCATTTTTTCACCTACTTGCTTTGCGTTTCGTTACTCTCTCGTTCCTTACCGTTCTCTGCCTGTGTAGATGGATCCGTACCATACAAAAACGAACGCGTATGTTCTATTCATTCAATTATGTACTCTGTGCGCCGCCACATTTTTTACTTCTTGACTGCCACGACAAACAGCCGCGGGTAGCGAATGATGACACTGTTGTCGACCCGCCGCTCGTAAAGCTCGCCGAGCCGCCGCTCGTATGCTGCCACAAATGCCTGCTTGGTCACCTCGTCCGGCAGCGCATTCACCCACGGCTGCAGACCCGTCCCCCGCACCCACTCGACAATGTCCTTGGGGCCGCCCACCAGCACGTGGTTGTACACCGCGTGCCACACGTCCACGCTCTGGCTGTGCGGGATCAGCGCATCGTAAATCTGCTCGGGCGTCTCGATCGGGTCGCGGTCGTGCAGTTCGCGCAGCGTCGCCACCCACGGGTCCGACGGCGACGTGCCCGGCGCCTCGCCGCGGGCCACCTCGCGCATCGCCTGGTGTGTGGGCTCCGACTTGTTGTCGGGCACCTGGTACGCAAACACGCCGCCCGGCGGCAGCGCCGCAAACAGGCGCAGCACCGTCGGCAGGCGCTCGGCGAGGCTGAGCCACTGGAACACGGCGTTGGCCAGCAGCAAGTCGGCCGCGCCGGGCGCCGGCGCATACGTGCGCAGGTCGGCCAGGCCAAAGGCCACGCCGGGCAGGGTCGCGCGCGCCTTGGCAATCATGTTGGGTGACGAGTCGACGCCCGACAGCTGCGCGCCGGGGAAGCGGTCGGCCAGGACAGCCGTCGAGTTGCCCGGGCCGCAGCCAAGGTCAATGATCCGGAGGGGTGTGTCGCCCTTCTTGTCGGACAGGGGGAACCGCCGCCCGGTAGGGGCACGCGGTGGACCAGGTCGTGGACAGCGCGCGTGCGCTCGTCATGGAACTTGAGGTACTGGTCGGCCGACCAGTCCGTGCCGTCTTTGCCGTCTTTGGAGGTAGACATCGTGGCAGATGCTGCTAAGAATCGAGATTGTGTGAATGCCGTCGTGGGTGGCGGAACAGTAAGGCCCGCTATCGGCGTGGCTGTTCGCAGGGGAGCGCGGCAAAAGGCACGCAATGGTGTCATATTAGTGGTCTGTTATGTCGACGATGTATCTGTCGTTCGTGTGTCGTGAATTATCTCGTGAGAGGCAAAGACGAGGAGAGCAGGGCTACTTAAGTATCGAATCAGTCGCTGAGCTTTTCTGCTGACACGGCAAGGACGGCTTCCCCAGATCTACTTTTTGTGTTTTTTGTTTTGGTGCCTTCCGTCATCGTGCCGTAATGTATGCATGCACCTTCCCCTTTCACTTGCGCACCTAAACTCGCCCGGCAGCGAATCGGCGAATAAGTACGCTGTAATTCGGCGGAAATGCGCTGTAGCGCCGCTTGCCGTATTGCCCCAGGGGCTTGCTCGTAAGTCCTCGTAGCTTAGTCGGGGATTCGCCGGGCGTGCCTTCCGAGCCGAGGAGTTGCGAGATGTTGCGAGATGTTGCGCTAGAAATTGAGAGAAAAACTTCAACGGTTTCGAATTCATGACATTTTCTTTCTTTCTTTTTGTTTAATTTTTTTTTAAAAAAAAGATAGCTTTGTCCGGTCCAGAGTCCGTATTCTACAACGAGATACAAAAGATAATTTTATTGTGTCAGTAATACAGAGTACTGAAATGAATATTACCAAAACAACACGTAACTTGACAGACCTTTGCTTCTACTTCTAAAAAGACCTCAAATTTTTTTTTTTTGAGGAATATAATAAAACAAAGTACGAGACGGTATAATTTTGCCCTAGTTGACTGGACAAACAGACCATGAAAAAGGCAAAAAAAAAAACGTGGGGCAACTCGGGATCGAACCGAGGACCTTCAGATTAATCGAATGACAGAAGTAGAACTTCAGTCTGACGCTCTCCCAACTGAGCCATTGCCCCGTTATTAGTTGGGTATAACCAGTCAAACTAACATTATATGTAGACGTCTTTGGTAAGTCTCTCCTTCATTATCCGTCAACGATTTGTATAATAAATTCAAACTAACGTACACAACCCATCTTCTCATGAAACAATCGAACGACAACATGTCCATGACAGAAACAAGAAAGAAATGACCAAACTAAACCTTGCGGCAAAACTGCGATGATGACACAAGACCGCCCCGACTGCTTGCATTATAAAATAATCTCAAGAAAACCCCAAAAGTCCATTGCAAATTCTTCACCCACGGGGCCACACAATCAGGCTCCCGCAACAGGCTCGTTCTCTTTGCGTCGCTGGTGCTTCCGTGCTTGGATCCTATCCAGAGCTGCACGCGATGCATAACCCAGCGCATCCAGCTGCGCTCGAATCATCTCAAGGTTGCACTGGAGCATGTTATTTTCCGCGCCACCTGACTTGAGGAGAGGCTGTAGGCAACCCAGCTGTGCCGTGGTCTGAGCTTTGATGAACTCGATAACCGCCTGCGCTTGCTCGGCACGGCGTTCTGCCTCACTAAACTCGGACGTGGCCGGAATCTGAGGCTGAGGCGTGGCCGTCTCGCGCAGGCTCAGGTCACTTAGAACAGGCCTGGTGTCGTTGTTCTTTTGCACTTGAGGCTTAGATACCGCTGGGGCTGGCATCGCTTCGCCAGCCTTGGCCGGCACGGCATTCTTGCTTTGCAGTACCTTTTTGGTCGGCGATGATTGAGTCTTTACCGGTAAGGTCTGTTTCTTGGTTGGAATTGCCTCGGGCTTTGCCGGCGCATCTTTTCTTGGAGGCTTCTGTGACATAGCTGGGGTAGGCTGCGTTTTGATTTGGGCCACTGGTGGCTTGGGTGGTAGCGACGGCGGGTGATGCGTCGGGCCGCACGGTGGCTTCGCTGGTGCGGCCTCGGGTTTCGGCGGTACCACTTGATATTTCACAGGCGCAGCCAAAACTTTGGCCACTGCAGCCCGGGACTTCGTCGGAGATTGTCCAATGAACAGTCTGTGAAACTTGGTCGGTGAGTGTACCACGGCAGTTCTAGGCACTTTGTCCGGAACCACCTCATTGGCTGGAGCCTCACGCTTGGCCACGGGTCTGTTTGCAAGCTTATCGCTGCTGTCATTTACTTTGATCGGAGTCGGTGAAGCCTTGGAGGGTAGACTGGCAGAGCCACCAAGTGTCTTGGACGGCGACGGCTCGCTTGCACGCCGTGCAGGAGGAGGATCCTGAGCGGGCAGCGCTGGCGCCTGTTTTGGTGTAGATTGTGCTGCTTGGGCGGTTGACGTGAACAGAGATGATTTCCGCTTTGTTTGAGCACTCTCAGCCGGGGACAGCGGCTGATGCTCCGGGTTGGTGTAACTAACCGACCCGAATGATACACGCTTCCGAGGCCGCTCTGGAATTCCACCCGGCGGGTCGTCATCGACACCGGTGCTTGAGCTTCGGGCGTGCTTCTTGCCTTGGTTGATTCCAGACTCCGAAGCATTTGCTTTGTGGCCCGGGCTACCTAGCGGACCGTCCTGTTTTATTCTCAAATAGTCCGGCAGGATGAATTGGTCCGGAACCTTGCTAAAGCCACTGCCTTTGCTTTTTGCCGTGGAGCCCACACTGGCATCCCGAGCGGCACCTACAGCTCCTTTGTTTCGCTCATTCGGATCGTTCTTTTTGGTGTTGTTTGTGTTGCTGCCGATGCTACCAACTGCCGAGCCATTTTCTCCACGTTCCGACTCGATCGTCTCAGGGTACTTTGTCACGAACATTGAACTCGAGGCAGACGAAACCGACAGCGTTGGCGAGACAGCACCTGCGGGAATGTGTAGAGGTGCGAGAGCGGAAGCAATCGCAGCTGACGTCAAAGCACCGACGCAGTTTGGTACCTCGGGCTTGATCTGGCGCGCCAACTCTGCGTTGCTCCGTCCCTCTAGTTGCCAAGCAGACTCGGATGGCGTTCTGCGAGCTTTGTACACCGGTGGGCCACTTGATGTTGGAGGAGTCAGGTTCGACGCTCCTGTCCTGCCCGGGGCCTCATCCCCTGCCAGAGTCGACGCAATGTTTGTACTTTGTGAACCAAGGATGTTGGTCACAGGACTTGTCGCACTCTTGTCAGAAGTTCCCATCGATTGATTTGCATTAGCGCCCATAGTATTGCCCGCTGTTGCGGACGGATCGGGGCCTTTTCGGCCGATGCCAAATAGAGCGTCGATGGAGTCCGTAGCGACATTGACATTGGCCAGGGCAGATGTGATGCTGGTATTCGAGGTACGAGGAACAGCTAAGGGAAGGCTAGGATTCCCCATTATGGGGCTTGAGCGCGTTGTAAGCGGCCCAGAGGTGACTGCGCAGCTCGTAGTGCTTGCTGTCACATTGGGAATTTCCACAGGCCTGGCATTTTGTAATGCTGTGTTCTCATTTTTCTGAGAAGAATGCACTGCGTCAAGTGCGCAGTCCCGCACCGGCGAGGGAGGCCGGTCCCGCTTGGTCGAACGTGCGTTATCACGTATCTGGCACAAACGTGAGGCATGCACTGGAAATTCTGGTGGCCATACCAGGGCCTGTTTTGACTCCGGCGTCTGCGACGGCCCGGATACATAAGCTTGGTCCTGGGCAACACTGTCAGAGTCCCCATCACAATCCGTAGCTCTTGCGGCAGTTCGTTCTTGGTGTTTGCAATCATGTGCGCCGGCAAGAGCACTGACCCATGCGCGTACAACAGGACTGACCTCTTGTTTTGGAACTGGCACAGCTCCCATCCGCAATACCTCGCCACCTGATTCACTACTTGCATATGACAAAGACGCGGGTGTTGTGCCTGGCGCGACCCGTGGTGGGCTTGCAACGAGACGGCTGCCTGGGTTGGACTTGTACCGACTGCGCCAGGCATCGCGGAGCCGGCCCCAGGAGGCCGGGACGTTGGCAGCGGGCCGTTGAGCTGTGGACTGGAAGTTGATCCACTCGTCCACAAGGGAGCAAAGCATCTCCACAGACGCGGGCAAAATGTAATCAGTTCTCGAGAACCGTTGAAGAAACAGTCGCCTGCCTTCGACAAAGACGGACTGCGTCTCCTCCACAATGTGACCCGGCCAACCGCCAAGGTCGTCTCCCACGACATTGTAGAAGCCGTCACAGTGTGACGCTTCTCGGTAGAATATCAAGATGCGAAAGAGAAGGATGAGATTGTCGGTCGCGATGGCTGCCAACGTGCTGGCCGGTCCACCACCGTCGACAGGGCCTTCGCTGTCGTTGTCGATGCTTCTCTTGTCATTGCCGCTGTGGCCAATCAGTTTTGTGGTCTCGATGTGGTTGCGAATGTGTCTCGGAATAACCCTGGGAAATCGAAACGCTCCGAAGCGGTACTTGTAGGAGCCGTCCTTGCTAATCGAGCAGTACTTCAGAGCCATCATGGGCAGCGGCCTGTCTTCCTGGAAGAATCGACAGCAAAGAGCAGCGAGTCCGTAGAAGATGAAGAAGAAAGAATGAAGCCCAGAAGAGCCATTGCACTCAAAACAAATATGACTACATCCTGGACAAGCGTACTTGCCCATTTTGGCTGCCCAGCTCCAGCAGGTCGTTGGTCATCTACGGAAGGCGCGCGTCGTTTGCTCTGCTCGTCGCGCCGTTTGCACCTTCCTCGGCCGTCATAAACGTGGCACAGAGCACCAAAATGGGCCAATCCACGACGGCTGTGCAGGCAACCGTTCCTTCCTGCAATAGGTCGCAAAATGAGGCAGGAGCATCGTAAAAGTGCGCAGGAGCGACCGATTGAAGCCGAACCTGATGATAATGCAGGACGGACCACGGCGCGTAGAGTGTCACCACTGCATCACTTCAGGCGAAAAGGTGGTCGTGCATACAGAACTTATAGCCTAAATTTTCAGGCATCCATACAGCCAGTTTTCAATATGGTCTGCAGAGGCAAATTGGCCAGAAGACGCCCAAAGCCTGCTAAGCTCCTTCCCGCTCAAGATCCGTCATAGACCCACTTTTGTTTACTCCATCGTGCCTGCGCGCCTTCAAAGCTTCATTTCCCCTGTCGCTTTGCTCCCTTCCAACGACAACCCCTCTCTCCATCTCTTCTTCTCTCGACGCCTTTACCCGAAAGACATGGGACGCGGCGGTCCTGTCACATCCGCGCACACAGCGCCCACGTCCATCCACTCGACACAATGAACTCGCTCCACCGCTTCCTCCCACGCGACGGCGGCGACGGTGGCAACTCGACCGACTGCCCCAGCGACAGCTATGTCTCGCCCGGCAACAAAGACACGCAGGTCCAGGCCGTCATCTCGTTTGGCCTCGGCATCGTTGCTCTGTTTGGCTTCTGCTTGATGCGCCCGCGATGGAAGTCCCTGTATGACGCACGCCGTCGGCGGCACCCCGATCTCGTGTCGGCGCTGCCCGTGCTCCCGGACTCGTTTTTCGGCTGGCTGCCGGCGCTGCTGCGCATTTCAGAGGACCAGGTGCTGGCATCGGCGGGCCTCGATGCCTTTGTGTTCCTGGCCTTCTTCAAGATGAGCATCAAGCTGTTTGCCATTATGTTCTTCTTCGCCGCCGTCGTGCTCGAGCCGATCAACCAGCACTTCCTTTCCAAGCCCAAGACGCAGTCTGGGTCTCTCGGCGGCATTTTCGACGTCCCCAGCCCGGTCGCCTCCAGCTACGGAGCCGTCGTCGACGACCCGGACGAGGACGACTCGTGGAACCGCGAAAAGGGCCATCTCTGGGCCTACCTCGTTTTCATCTACTTCTTTACCGGCCTCACCTACTACTTCATGCGGTCCGAAACCTTCCGCGTCATCAAGGTCCGCCAGGAGTATCTCGGCTCCCAGGCCACCATCACCGACCGCACGTTTCGGCTGTCGGGCATTCCGAGCGAGTTTCGTGCCGAGGACAAGATCAAGGCCCTCATCGAGAAGCTCGAGATTGGACGCGTGGAGAGCGTGACCTTGTGCCGCAAATGGGGCCCACTCGACGCCCTGGTTGCGGAGCGTGGAAGAGTCCTCCAGAAGCTCGAGGAGACATGGAGCGTCTACCTTGCGCAGCCGGTAGCGAAGATCCGGTGGCGGCGGCAGCGGCCGCGGCGGCAGCAACAGGCGGCCAGCCAGGCCGGGAATCAAAACGACGCGGCAGAGATCGACGAAGAAGCGGCCCTGGGCGGGAGACAAGATGCAGAGGTTCCGGCTAACGAGGGCGACAGTCTTCTCCCGGCAAACGGCGAAAACGACGACGACGACGACGACAACGGTGATGCCAATGACGACATTGCCGCCGATGCTGCCCGGGCAGCGCTCGAACGGAATCGTCCGCAAGTCCGCATCTGGTACGGCCCTCTCCGTATGCGCTACCGATACACTGACGCGATCGACTACTACGAGGAGCGCCTGCGCCGCCTCGACGAGAAGATTCGTGCTGCTCGCCGCCAGCACTACGACGCCACCGATCTGGCCTTTGTCACAATGGACTCCGTTGCCGCGTGCCAGATGGCCATCCAGGCCGTGCTTGACCCGCGGCCCGGTGAGCTGCTCGCTCGTTTCGCACCCGCGCCGTCTGACGTCATCTGGCCCAACACCTACGCCTCCCGCACGGTCCGTCGCTCGCGCGCCTGGATCATTACCATTTTCATCACCGTGCTCTCCATTGTATGGCTGATCCCCGTTGCCTCTCTTGCGTCGCTTCTCAGTCTCTGCACCATCCAGAAGTGGGCGCCGAAGCTGGCCGAGCAGCTGTCGCAGCATGACGTGACCAAGGCACTGGTGCAGACTGGTCTGCCAACGGCCGTCGTCTCGCTGCTCAACGTGGCCGTGCCCTATCTGTACGAGTACCTGTCCAACCGCCAGGGCATGCTGAGCCAAGGCGATGTCGAGCTGTCCCTGATTTCCAAGAACTTCTTCTTCACCTTCTTCAACATTTTCCTCGTCTTCACCGTCTTCGGCACCGCCACGCGCTTCTGGACCGTGCTCCGGGACAGCCTGCACGACACCACGTACGTCGCCTATGCGCTGGCACGTGAGGTGCAGCGCCTCAATGTGTTCTACCTCAACTTCGTCATGCTGCAGGCCCTTGGCCTGTTCCCGCTGCGCCTTCTCGAGTTCGGCTCCGTTGCCCAGTACCCAATCAACCGCTTGGGCGCTAAGACGCCGCGCGACCGTGCCCAGATCAGCACGCCGCCCATCTTTTCGTACGGCTTCTTCCTGCCGACCGCGCTGCTTGTGTTTATCTTGTGCCTCGTCTACAGCGTCATGCCGCGGGGCTTTCTGGTTCTCCTCTTGGGCTTTGTGTACTTTGTGCTTGGCTACACCACCTACAAGTACCAGCTGCTGTACGCCATGGACCAGCCGCAGCACGCGACCGGCGGTGCCTGGCGCATCATCTGCTACCGCATTCTGCTGGGCCTTGCCGTCTTCCACCTCACCATGTCGGGGTACCTCGGCGCCAACAAGGCGTACGTCCAGGCCACGCTGGTGCTCCCGCTCTTCTTCTTCACGGTGTGGTACATGTACTTCTGGCGGGGCCACTTTGAGCCCCTGACACACAACATCGCGCTGCTTAGCGTGCGGCGCGATGGCGATGCGTCGCCGCTGAGCGACGAGGATGTGCACAACGGCCTCGGCAACCAGACCTTTGCACGACGCCGCCGGACCTGGCGCCGCCGCCGCACGAGCACCCTCGACGAGAACCGCGACAGGGGCTCGCGCTTCGTCAACCCCAGCTTGGTTGTGCCGCTCGTGCAGCCGTGGATCTACAAGGACCCGCCGCCCTACGAGCCGCACCCCGACGATGAGGTGTTTGTCAATGGCGACAGCGATGACGCAGATGCCGACGACGACAACATCAACTACATTGATGGTATCCTCCGTGGAGGTGGAGGTGGAGGCCCTGACGCGCCTGGGCCGTCGGGTCCGTCGCAGCCCTCCGCAGCCAACGGAGCGGATTCGTCCGGCAGCCGCCGCAGCGCGTCCAGCTCGTTCAGCCTAGGCGACACACACATCTGGCGTGATGCCAATACGCCCCCGTCGGGCGGCGAGGCTGCAAGTGGCACTGTTAATAACCCATAGCCGGCTTGCTGAACCCTTTGCCCCAATCTTCTATCCCAACCTTTCTTATTGTCTTCTGTCTCTATAATTCCCCTGTTTAACTTGTTCTCCTTTTTTGTCTTGCCATGCACCTACTTTGTGAGCCCACTGCACTATTTACGACGCTCTTTTCATGGCCAGCCCTATTTCGCTGTGTCGATATACCACATAGAATGCTGCTTTCCATTTTTATTTTCTGTTTTTCTACATTAACACTATACATACTGTTCTGTCACTGTCCATACTCTGTTTACATAATTGACGAAATTACAGTATGTGCGTCTACGGTGGCTTGCGAAGGGTAACAAGTCTAAAATATTAGTACATTTCTTCGCTATAATCGTTCCCCATGTCCTCCATATCGCTCATGTGGTCTTCATCAAATTCCTCGTCATCGTCAATCACAATGGCATTGGCAGCGCTTCCCGGTTGGTATAAGTCATCGTAGTCGTCAACATCGTCGTCAGTGCCGCCGCCAAACAAGCCCAAATCGCTGGGTCTCCTGACTGCGTATTGTCCTTTGCGGGCCACTCTTGCCATGTTTTCCTCTGCCCCATCATGCTGTCCGTCTCCTTCGTCGTCGGATTCATTCTCGTTACTGTCCTCTTCGACGATTGCATCCTCGTCATCGATCGAGCCAATCATCTTAGCACAGAAGTCGTCGTAGATCTGCGTCAGATACTCCATGAGCTCTTCATCCCCGGCGTCGCTCACGTATGCAAGCTTTAGTTGTCGGACGAGATTCGCCACGAGCTTGCGCCGCTTGGCCTCTTCCATCTCTTGCCGGTCACGCTTGCTAGCCTGTGCCTCCGCACGTAGCTCGGCGGCTACTTTCTCGGCATGGGCAATAAACGTCGCTGGGAACCCCACTGCTTTAGCCAAGGCGATGCCGTAGCTCACCTCCGGCTCAGGTCCCTCGGCCACGCGGTATAGCATGTTCGTAACGGGAACATGGGTAGCCGACTCTGAGTATTCGGTCACTGTTCTCAAGTGGCGGTTCACGACCCCAATGTTGATCGCCAGCGCCTTGGCCAGCTCGGAAAAATGCGTAGCAAAGTACACCGTTGCATTGCTCTGAAGAAGTGCTTCGGACATGGCTGCTGCAATGGCCAGCCCATCTTGCGTACTGGTGGAGCGTCCCAGCTCGTCGACAATCACCAAACTCTTGTTGTTGACATTTCTATCGCATGAGTTAGTGCTTGAAAGGTAGAGAGAGGCGACTATACGATACACAAAACACACCTGAGAATGAATGCCATTTCTCGCATCTCGATCGAGAAAGTCGACTGGTTCTGTTCCATGGTATCGTCTGTTGATACACGAGCAAAAAGGCTGTGCATGATTGGAATACAAGCAGATTCGGCGGGAATGTAGCAGCCAATTTGAGCCATGATTTGCAGCATTGCGATGGCCCGTATATATGTGCTCTTGCCGCTCATGTTTTGGCCCGTAATGATCTGAAAGCGAGTCTCTTCGGTGACAAAATAGTCGTTTGGGATGCATTTATTGTGGCCGCGCTATGGTAACGTCAGTACATTCTCCTTGTACTTGCAGAAGCTGAATGTCATCATACCGAGTCCAGAATCGGATGCCGACCACCAACAAGAGCGTATGAGTCGGTGTGAATCAATGGCCGCTTGTATGCGTACGTCCTAGTGGAGGTCGCGAAGGAAGCCAGGAGGTCGAGAAGTGCAATGCATTCACAGTATTTGAAGAGCCTTGAGACTCGCGGTCGGATCTGGGAGAGCAGGCTTTTGATCACCTCGTCACTCTCGACTATGGCTCTGTGAACAGCCTCGTTTATGCGCTCATTGTAACCCATGAGCTTCAGTGTCTGACACTCGATAGCGCCCTTGACCGTTGTGGTATTCACCAACACAGACGGTGGGCCTTGCGGACCAAAGTCCTTTGCGTTGACTTTAAGGTAGAATTTTCTTGTAGCTGTGTATTTGAGCGCAACTTTGACACGAATCTCGTCTAGAAGTATTTTGTAAGCGTAGGTACAAAATTTCAAAAGGATCAAAAGTTACTTACCCTCCAGCTCATTCACGTAGTCGTGAATCTTTCTGCTAAAGTCTTCGTAGAGTTTTCTTTGAATGTCAAGACTGGCCGAGATCTCAGGCTAGAGTCCCGTCAGTGCATGTCGCATATCGCATTGCAACATACGGCTTTTACAAACCTTGACTGTATGAACCCTTTGGTTTCGTAACTCCAGTGGCTTGGTAGCATATGCGGCGTCCCGGTCGATTGTGTCCGCAAGAATCCCCAAGATCCTGTCTGCTCGAGCTGGAAGACAATTGCTGCGTATTTCCAGCAGTAGATCGCATGAGACGTCGGAGAGAGACTGGAAGACATCGGGTATGGCCGTCAAGAACGCCTTGAGCTTGAGGATGTTGTTGATCGCCTGCTCAGACTCGTATATGGAGCCGTCTTTTGGCAGGATAACAAGCTGTCCCGAATTCTTTGTTAGTTAATTTGGCAGACAAATGGAGGGATTATTTTGTACATCTTGGTCACCTTTGTCAAGAGCCGTTCCACATCACCCAGAGGCTTCAACTTTTGAAGTACTAGAAAATATATCAGCGAACGCATCCGTCGAAGCACACACTTTGGCTTTCATACCTTCTACCACTTTGTCAAGCAGACCATCCTTGTGCACCAGCTCTCCCACAGCCTCGTAACGCGGGTTTAGAACGACTGCCAGTGTTGATGGCTGCACAATGTTACTTCGTAGGACTCGCGACCCCATTGGCGTCGTCGTACGGTTCAGGAGACCATACAGGCAATCTTTTGAGCTGCTATTGATGGAATTCTGGATGAGCTCCAGGGACCGAATCGTTGGCAGACTTATCATCATGGCATCACTAGGAGGCTGGTATTTGATGCGCACAGAGTGGTCATCAAAGTCGATTCCCATGTCGTCCGTGAGAAATTTCATCGCCTACGGGAGTTAGCTTGTGCATGCAATGCGAGCACTGAATCACATCCGGTTTTTACCGCTGAAAAGGCGCAAAGCAAGTGGAAGTTATCCTTGACAGCAACTTCGAGAGAAGGAAGATCTTCAGTAAAGGCCACCCGCTGGAGAGCGAGCATCCCGTCATCAGCAGACCAGTCAGGCTTGGCCCTCTCGACAATAGGCAGGCCACGCAGCTCTTCTTCAATGTGTGGTCGCAAAGCCAGTCCCGACTGGACGGAGGATGCAGGCGTCGGCTGCATCAGAATGCGAGAGACTTCCATCATTTGGATTTTGTGGATAGTTCCTTGGTAGTACTGTGTATCGGCCACGTTCGTGAGCACTGCCTCGGCAATGGGAACGTTGACAAACGCGAGCCCGACAGTGCGGTTGACATTATTGGAATCGCAGACAGCGCACACAACGCCACGATTCTCATCCGGGCCGATAGGGAAGGGCGGGCGCTGGTCAGTACCACTAGGACGGCTGATGGTGCCGGATGCGCGGCCGCTGCCAACGCCGCTACCAGTACTTCGCCTCTGCAGCGTGCTCGGTGGATTGTATGCACTGGGTGGGTTCAGAGCATTTTGTGTGTTGATGGCGGCCCAGCGCGAGCTTGTCGGTGTTGTGAATGACCGGACCGACGGCTGGGACGACCCAGCCAGGCCGCGATGCGCTGTCTTTTTCGAGTACATGGCGGTGCAGTATTTTCACGAAAGGAGGAGAAACGAGGGTAGAAAAGGGGGTAGATTTTGACGATACGAAAAGGGGTAACAAAATAGAGAAGTTCCCCGTTGTTACATTGTATCGAACAGGAAGGAGTGATGGGCAATGATGTGAGGTATGGCATGGCAGGCGCAGCCTGTCGTGTAAGTCCCAAAGAGGCAAGTACATCGACGTGCACTGCACGAGCAAAAGGTGCATTTCCCTGTCTTTGAGTAACATGGCTTCGTCGGGTTATCTCACCCTGTGTCAAAATGCTACTCTATGATGGATAACCCCTTTGTGAGGCAGTAATAATAGTTTTTAGTCTATCATTGTTTTTTTCGATGTTATAAACACGTAAATAAAGATCAAAATCGTTTTAAAAAACATTAAAAAAAATTAACGCAACAGTTTTGGCGTAAGCTAAGAAACTCTGAAACAGAACGATAAAACAAAAAAAAAGTAGGGAAGATAAAAGGAATGTACGAAAAAGAAAGGGTAGAAAAAGCAAAAAAGAAGACCAATTCGTCAAATCAAATTCCGAAGAATTAATTTGGGCTCAGTCGGGGATCGAACCCGAGACCTCGCACAAGTTCCTGCTAAGCAGAAGGGCTGGCTGTTCCTTGGTAGGACAACCTTTTCCCGAAGCGCGAATCATACCACTAGACCACTGAGCCAGTCATGTTACTTGATGGAAACTGGACTCGTGTCTGTGCTTATGTAGGGTGGCGTAGGTGGGGCATTTGTGCGACGCCAAGCTGCCTGCACTTCGACATTGAGCCGATAGTAATTACGGCATTGATTGTGACTATTGGAATCCATTGATTTTAATTTTCTGCAGGAATTTCAGTGACACAAAACTTACATGGAGAGACGTCTTCTTGGCGAAAAGCAGGAATATTTACAAACAATTGTCAAATTATTGTACTCCATTATTATGCCAGGGTATTGCGTTTTCCTGTCCTCGCCGAATCTTTCCTGAAAACACGCGCTATCATTGTAGAAACAACAAAAAATTGGGAATAAAAAAGAAATGTAGAAAATACAGAAAGAGAGGTGCGACTTGGAGCATGTACAGGACAAAACGTAATTGAACGCCACCACTATTCTTTGGCCTGCAGCCAGAGTTTCGTTTACCTTACATGAGGCTCACGAGACCGCGTACAGCCATCTTCGCCGCCTCCACCGTCACAGACTCGGTCACGTTGTCCGTGCCGCCGCCCAGCGAGTTGGCGTCGCCCTTGCCCGGGTAGAAGAAGGAGGCCACGGCAATGATGACGTAGGCAGCACAGAGCAGCGCGCCCTCGAGATAGTTGCTGCGGCCGTCGAGCACAAGGAAGTTGACGATAAAGGCCGACACAAACATGCTGACAGTTTCAAACAACGTAAAGTACAGGCTCATGTCCTTGCCCATGATCCAGCCCAGCAGGACGACAACGGGCGTGACGAAAATGGCAATCTGGATGGACGAGCCCAGGGCGACACCCAGGGCCAGGTCCATCTTGTTCTTCATGGCGACCGTGACGCCCGTGACGTGCTCGGCGGCGTTGCCGACAATCGGCAGCAGGATGAGACCAATAAAGGCCTCGGAGATGCCCGAGTTGCCGCTGACGACCTCGTTGATGGAGCCCACCATGAACTCGGCGCACAATGCGACAAGACCGGTCGACACGAGCAGGAGGAGGACGGCCGTCGTGCGCGAGATCTGCGGCTCTTCTTCCTCGTCGTCCTCGTCCCCGTCACCGGCCGCTGGTGCCATAAACGAGCGGCGATTGACCATGACGGGGACAATGGGCGGTAGCGCGCCGGGCTGGTTGCGATAGCTGCGTGTCTCAACGGGCATGGACGCCGTGCGGCGCAGCTGGGGCTGCGGGCGGGGCTGGTTCGACGCCGCGAAGGCGTCGGGCGTCGACAGCGGCTGGGCGTTGCTGCGGCTACTGCTGGCCTGCGTCTCGCCCGCGCGCGCATGAAACACGTTGTCGGGTAGTGTCTTTGTCAGGCCGGCCGGTCTGGCCAGCCAACGCAGAGAGAAGGGCTGCGGCCGGGGCGCGGTCTGGGCCTCGACATCCGGTCCCAAGGCAAAATCAACGCGGCGGACGCTGCCGCCCGCACCCACTCCCGATTCGGGCATCGCTGCCATGCCGCTCGAAGCGAGGACGGCATTGACATCGTTGTCTCCCTCGGCGGCACGGGCAGCATCGCTCTTGGTCTCGGCCACCTTCTTCTTCTTGTGATGCTTGCGCTTCTTCTTGTCGCGCGGCTTCTCTTCGGCGGCCTCGTCGTCCTCGTCATCGGCGACAACGCCGTTGTCGATGGGAGGTACCTCGGCCGCGTCGCTTGGGCCACCGGCAGTCGTGCTGCCCGAGGCAGAGGCGGACGCCACTTCGTCATTATGCGGGAGAGCCGAGGTCGGCGCGCTATTGGCATCCGTTGAGGCACTGCGGTTGTGCATCTTCTTTCTGCCCTTCTTGATCACGCGCTTGATACGCTTGGCCGTGCTGCGCGACGCGTCCGAATCCGAGTCGCCATGAGACGAGTCGGAGGATGTTTCAGACGAAGACGACGACGACGAGTTGAAGTAGCTGGCGGCGGGGCCTGGGAGCGATTCGCGCTCGACAATGTGGCGGGGCGTCGACTCGTACATGTAGGCATGCGAGTTGAGCTGGAAAACAAGGTACAGGACGTAGACGAGTAGGAGAACGACGCTGGTGCCCCGGCTGACCGCGAGTACCTTTGTGTCGGCGTTGGTGGCGCTGCTGAAGGAGGCGTGGAATGCGGTGGGAAGCAGCAGGCTGCTGACACTCAAACTGAGCAAGCAAGCGCTCATCTGCGTGACTGTGCTGTTGTAGATCTGCTCGCGGTAGCGGAGGCCACCTAATAAGAAGCACATGCCGAGAATGAGCAGCAGGTTGGCCAGGATGGAGCCGACAAGAGACGCTTGGACAATCTCGATCTCGTCTTTTACAAGCGCGATGCTGTGGCCAATGGATGGTCAGTATGGTCGCCTGGTAGCTCAGTATGGCTTATAACGGGTAGACAGGGGAGGATGGCAGTGACGTACATGAAGATGATCAGTTCGACCGCGTTGCCAAACGTCACATTCATCAACGCGCCGATCGTATCGCCCATACGGCTGGCTACGCTTTCGGTCGCGTGGCTCAGCAGACCAGCCAACGGGATGATGGCAATGGCGTTCATGGCAAAGACGATGCCGGCTGACAATTTGGCAAAGTGCGCGGCAATGCCGACGGGCACAAAAACGAGCAGGATATTGACATAGCTGGAAAAGAGGATGTCTGTCACGGTCAAGACGAAGCGCATGGCAACGTTCGGTTTTGTAGCGCCGCCATTGACGGCTGCAGCATCGCCGTTCTTTTCATTTTCGGTCGGCGGTATTACGCTGCCAGCGACGGCGGCATCGCCGCTGGGAATCTGATTTGATACAACGCCACCCGGTCCATGGGTCGGTTGACTTGACGGTACGCGCGAGGTCGTGCGCGCAACGCCCGTGTTGGTACGCCTGGTGCTGGCGACGAGCGGCGTACCGTGAGCTTTCTGCCGCGCCCAGTATTGGATGCGGTCTTTACGAGGTCAGCAGTGCCCAATTGAGGCTCTGAAGGGGAGGATTGGGTGGTTGACATACGCATTTCGTAGAGACGCAAGAGGTTCGGGACTCGGACGCGTCGAGTCGATCTCGGCTAATTTTTATTTTTAGTCGATGCGAGATCTGTGGCGATGCTGGGGTAAGAGGAAAAAAGGCGTTAGGCACGTCAAATGTTCCAAACGAAAACGAATGCCAACAGCCAAGAGAAGCTTGTCAACGGGATGTGTCTCGACTTTAAAGAGATACAAGACCACCAAGAACGGGACATGAAAGGCGGTTGCAAAACGAAGGCGAAATCGCTGGCAGTTACTGGACTGTGGCGAGCGAAGAAATGAAAGTCCACAGTGACGACAGTCTTGGCAAGCCGCCTAACAGCTTGGCGCGATAGGGAAGGACGCCTGGATAACGGAGCATTTATTACGACGTATTCTGTAGACAGCGACGGAAACGGCAGTGACGAGCCGCCTGACCTCCCGGGGCGATGCTGGAAGAAGGAGCAATTGGCGAAACAACAACAGAGGTCGCGCCTTCCAGAGTGACAACAGGCGAGCCGGTTTTGTACGAGCCCTCGTTGGCAGGTGAAGGGCGCCTGGATTGGCCAATGTCGGCGGCATATACCCACTAGAACAGCGCGCCAAGGCGCTAACAATGAAAAATTAAAGGATAAGCTAACACTGCGCCACAGGCCCTCAGTTTACCATGGCATGTTTGTGGTTTTACAGCGGGTTTTGCGTTGTAGCCGCGTAAGATGCCCCTGGATCGAGCTTGTCTACAAGGGCAAGTACGCGTGTGTGGGTGAAGGAGCGATGGACAGGAAAAGTCGGACAGAACAAAGTGACATAAACCACGAAATCGACAGAAGAAGGAGCGAGGCGCACACAGGAGGTAACCTACGGAGCAACACTGCGCATTTTATCCGCAGCACTGAACTGACGCGCGGTAGACTAATTCCAGACTGACCTAAACTGACTGTATTGTGCGAATACGACAACCGCCTGGCGCTGGACTGCCTTGGAAAGGAAATGCGTAGACGCGCAATGACTTCATCGTTCCGACCGAGGATTATTCCGCATCTGAAAGCGGGCGCTAAAGTGAACTAAAGTGGGCTAGAACAATGTGCTGTTCCTGCTGGCTTTACTGGACAATTTACTGACACGACGCTGGAAAATTGTGTGGAGCGGGCACATATGGCGTGCGATAAGATAAGATAGCCGATAACAAAAAAAGACGAAAAGTTTCGTTCGTTGTAGGCAAGAGCGACCCTCTGAAATTCGTCCGTAGACTTGCTCTCTTGTTTTTCTGGGCAGACTTTCTGGCCATCAACGCAGCTTTGTCCAGGTTTTCTCTTTGTTACTCCCTCTTTTTTTTCTTGTATACCCCTCCCCTTCGCACGCACACGCACACGCAATCACACGAATGGCGACGCTCGTGCCACCGCCGCCCAAACGGCAGCGGCGCGAGGAGATCGCGCGGACCAAGGTGCAGCAGGATGTCAACGCGCTGCTGCCGCCAGACCACGGCTCGTTCAAGGCACGGTTTATCGACGCCGATGGCCAGCAGATGGCCGATGTGGTCGAGGTGCCGATCGCCGATGCCTCGGAGAAGAATGTGTCGCTGCTCCTAAACACGCTGCTCGGCCGCGACCAGGACGAGTTCCTGCCCTATCGCTTCCGCATCCACATCCCGACCGACGCCACCGATGCAAAAGACGACAAGAAAACACCCCTCGTCGTCGACCAGTACCCGACCGACCTCTATGCCCTTCTGCGCAGCCACGGCATCGACAACCCCTTTGAGACGACGCTGACGCTCGCCGCCGAGCCGCAGGCCGTCTTCCGCGTGCAGAGCGTCACGCGGCTGGCACACCGCATCCCTGGCCACGGCCAGTCAATACTGGCAGTTGCCTTCAGCCCAGCCGCCAGTCGGCTACTGGCCACCGGCAGCGGCGACCACACGGCACGCATCTGGGACACGGAGACGGGCACGCCCAAGTTCACGCTGAAGAAACACCGCGGTTGGGTGCTGGCCGTCGCCTGGTCGCCCGACGGGACGCGGCTGGCTACGTGCAGCATGGACGGCGGTGTGATTGTGTGGGACCCCGAGACCGGTCTGGCGGTGGGCAAGGAGTTGACGGGCCATTCCAAGCCCGTGCTGGCTCTGGCGTGGGAACCGTACCACGCGATGCAAGACGGCGTGCTGCAGCTGGCGAGCGCCAGCAAGGACGGCACCGTGCGTGTGTGGGCAGCCAACTCGGGCACCGTGCAGCACGTCCTCTCGGGCCACAAGGGCAGCGTGAGCTGCGTGAAATGGGGCGGCGCCGGCTACATCTACAGCGCGTCGCACGACAAGACGGTGCGCGTCTGGGATGCGGCGCGCGGCACGCTGGTGCACGAGCTCAAAGCACACGCCCACTGGGTCAACCACCTGGCGCTGTCGACGGACTTTGTGCTGCGGACGGGCTACTTTGACCACCTGACGGGCGGCGGCGGCGCCGAGGGCATCCCGACGACGGACGAAGCGAAGCGCGAAAAGGCGCGCGCACGCTACGAGAAGGCGGCCGGCGCGCACGGCAAGAGCGGCGAGCGGCTGGTGTCGGCGTCGGACGACTTTACCATGTACCTGTGGGACCCCAGCAAGACGAAGCCCGTGACGCGCATGGTGGGCCACCAAAAGGCCATCAACCACGTCACGTTCTCGCCCGACGGCCTCTTTGTGGCGTCGTCGAGCTGGGACAACCACACCAAGATCTGGCGGGCGCACGACGGCAGTTTCAGCAGCACGTTGCGGGGCCACGTGGCGCCCGTGTACCAGTGCTCGTGGTCGGCCGACTCGCGCCTGCTGGTGACGGCGTCCAAGGACGCGACGGTCAAAGTGTGGAACGTGCGGGCGGCCAAGCTGGCGGCGGACCTGCCGCACCACGAGGACGAGGTGTATGCGGTGGAGTGGAGCCCCGATGGCCAGCGTGTCGCGAGCGGCGGCAAGGACAAGGCGGTGCGGCTATGGCGGAATTAGGGAAACGAAGGACGACGTAAGGGGGACACAAAAGGCATATGCAGGTGATTCGGGCACCTGCAGGCGTTGGGTAACAATTTTTTTTTTTTTTTGTATAGCACATTTTGATTTGCATGTGGCTTTTCCCTTTCCTTTTTGATGTTTTTTTATTATTTCTTTATTTTCCAGCTCACATGCCATGCATTTACACGTCTACATTGCGTTTCTGTGCGTCTGGGTGGCATGTTCCTGATGACCCTTGATGGTGACAACAACTGTGGCTGCTGTGGAAGGATATCACAAGCATGTCACCAGGTTTGAAAAAGAAATGTGAAAACGTGGTGCAATAGTGCCACAGACAGTTTCCGAAACCATCGACTACGCGATCTTGGCCGCTTTCAGCGACCTGGACTGCGGCTTCGGTCACAAGGATGAATGGCTTTGCAGGCCTGCTTGGCAATGGCAAGACACTACATCAAAGAGCATATACGACACGCAATGAGCCGACCTACCCATCTGGGCAACTCGTGTCCCCGCTGCTGTTCATCGGCATTGAGTCGGTTGTCAGGGCCACTTTGGATAGAATAGAGCTTCATCTATCCTGGGGACAGCTTCTCCTGCAATGGGGTGAACGTCTCTACCTATAAGAGCACGAGGGTCCTGAAAAGATGGTGTGCTTGGTCTCGGCAAACACGCCAATGTAGCAAATGTCTGCGCTTTCACGATGTTGTCGTGGCATAAGAGCAGTGGCGGCAGACGAGCAAGACGTAAGAGGAGACACACAGTCGACACGAGAGCACCAACGGAGTATGGAGGGAAAATAGAAAAGGAACACGCACGCACACACACAAAACGTGAAAAGACGATAGATGCGGGTGAATAGACAGGATGCATCCGACCAAAACAAGCCGAGATACCACGTTTCTCCGTCCCCTCATTCTCACCACACTCAAAAGACTGCACATGCAATTTTCCATGCACGTCCTGCACCTTTTACTTTCTTTCTTTCTTTATCTATTCTTTTTTCTTTTTCCTTTCTTTTTACACAACCCCCCATCTCATTTAGTCTCCCAAGGAACCAGTGAGCCGGGCCGACCGGCCATACCGGTCAACAAGTCGTCTTTTTGTCTAGGCCGAGCGGCTATTGTCGTGGCCAGGCTAGACCCTCTCAGAGATTCTCCGTCTTTTCAGCTTTCGGGCCTTTGCCAAATGGGCAAGGGATACCTCTGAGATACAAGTTTCTTCTAGCCATGCAAATGGGGCACGTGTGTGTCGCCTTTCCGTTATCCGTCCAGACGGGAGAACTGGAGAACAGGAAGACGAGAAAGAAAGAGAGATGGCCTATCCGATGGCATCGTCGCATTTCTATTCTATTGCTTTTCTGAAATGTGCCCCTCGTTATTCCTCTTTTTGATTACCCTCCGAGATTCTGCTTCGCCCCCAGCGTCCATTCGCGATTACAATGGTCCAGATGTAAGCTCCGCAATGGCCAAGGAACAGACGGCATGCAGGCAGCCTAGGTGGGTGATGCGCTGCGACAGTCTTTGCAGGATCGTGCGTTCTTTCCACACCCTTGGAGGACTTGGGGGCGCTGCCCGATGCGACGTCAAGTTCAGAGATTATGTCGTGCGTGCAGAAAATCTCACAATGGTCGATGGGTTAGAAAGTGCAGTTCATAGTGTCCGCTGGAACGACCTTCTGATCTCTTCTTCTGTTCTTCTACCTTTTTGGGCATGTGGCCCTATTTCTCCGACAACACAATGTAGGGCTCATATGCATGTGATCCGCTCTGCGTTGATTCTCTTGCCTCTCTAAAGTCTGTGCTTTTCCATTGCATTTCTTTTTCTTTATTTTGTATTTTTTTAAACAAAAATACTGTCAAGCAGGGTCATTCTACCCAGAGCCAGGTCAAGAGCGGCCCGGTCCCTTAGCAAGGGGTTCGCTAGCGCCGGCGTCAACTGTATTTGGGGGCGTCGATCGCCAGTAATAGTTTCGGTGCAATATTTCCCATGTTCGACGTCTCGCCGTTCCTCATCCTTTTCATTTTTTGTTTTACGACCTGACTTTCAATAACATTTTGTATATTTCATTCGCGAGCATTGCCCGACGAGCCAATCCGAGACAACTTTTTATGAAAAAAAAAAAGAAAAAAAAGTAAAAAGTGTTCGCTTTCGTGCCTGAACTTTTCTCGCACTTTTTGAGGTTAAAATATCTGCCGCACTTTCATAAATCACTCATCAAGAATGCCCAATGTTTATGGCGACCCCGGGACTTACCGGATCTTCAGTAGGCGTTGGCCCTCTCCTGAGTCTTGGGCGCCAGTGGGGTGAGATGGGTAAAAACATTGGGTTGTACGGTTGCTCATTGATTGGGAGAACGAAAAGACGATGGACATGCACGGCACATGGCCCGTCTTTCGAACCAACGGACAAATAGGTCGTCGAGAAGCAGAGGGTGGCCTCGGGCTGGGCATGCTCCAGACGTCGAATGAAAAGGTTTTCTGGCATCCGTTTTAGGACAGCGGCAAGAAAATAACAAGCAGTCCTGGGTCCTGCGGTTGAACTTTAATGGCGCGGTATCCCGGGGAGAATTTATTTTCTTTTTGTTCGGGCCGGACAAAACGGGGCCGCTTTTATTTCTCACTGTCGCTTGCTTCCTTCAGCTGCCGAATTTTTTATTTTCTTGCTCTTCGTTCATTCGTCTTGCGAGTTTTGTCGCATATCATTTTTTTTTTTCAGAACCATTTCCAAGCGTGGCATCCTTTCCGATTCTCTCCAACCTCATCCTGTGAAAAAAAACCAGCCAGAGAAAAGTCCTACCCTGCCTTACATTTTCGCAAAGAAAATAATATATAATAAATAAATAAATAAAAATAAAACGCTTCACTCGGCCCAACTCTCCCTTGTGGCTAAGAAATTTCAGCCGAGGGAACAGCAAAGTGTCGAGGCCGCGAGCCACGAGGTGGTTTATTCTCGTATGAGTGGTCGATAAAAACGTTGGAGAAGCTCCAGTTTAGTTGTTTCTGTTGTGTGATCCAAGTCCGACGAGTCGAGATAATGCAGAACAATGAAAGATAGAAAAGCGACTATGTTTGATAGCCCCGTTCTCCCGTCGGTGACGTCTTTACAGAGTACAGTCTCTTTTCTGGCACGTTTGGTCTGTTTTGACATTTACTGCATCGCTGACACTGCGGTCGCCCGGTAGGTCAAAGGCAGAGCGCTAGGTTTGATACGGGGCAGCCCTGCCAGACTTCTCGGCGGCTGTTGGACCTTGCAACTTGGAGGCATGGTTAATTCTCTGTGTTGAGCTCAGCGTTCTTTAATTTCCAGAATGGGCTTCTTGCATGCACATCGTCTGGCTTGGGCCGGGACGGTTACGGGAACTACAAAAACACGAACATCGAAAGGGATGAGCTGTCCTTTGAGCTGTCCTTTATCATGACACATCATGGCGCATACAGTCGTCACATGGGTCCATAGAAACTGGACTGACAGGTGGTAGAGAAACGGAGCGACAGGAGATGACAAGTCGTTTTCTCTATTTGTTCTGTGTGCTTTCAATTTTTGTAAATATTGTTTTCCTTCGGCATCTTTGGAGACCTACGACGGCTCTGTTACATTGCTAAGACAACAAGATGGTCGGCAACTCATGCGAACGGAGAAGGTGTTCTGGCCAAGCTGGGGCGGGAGCAAAGAGAAAAAGTCGAGGGTCCAACAGACCATACACCCAAGTCTAAACTCGGCATCTCGATCCCCTCGTCCCCCGTTTCTTTATTTTCTTGTCTCCCTTTGCCTCTTTGCCACCCTTCCGTTTTTCTGTATGGTCTCCCCGCCACCTTTCCATTCTGCAAAAGGCTCGCTGTCATCGCTGTCCTCGAATAGGGAGCTCCCTGCTCTCCATCTCCTAATGTGTGAGGGGGAGCTTTCGCTTCTCCATATTTACGAGGGGTAGCTCTGACGCGGCGTCGATGTGTGCCAAATCACTTGCCAGGTATTAACTTGGCGTCGGTACGGCGGCGCGTCTCTTTGGGCTCTGGGAGTCTGGTTATTGCTTTTGTTGTGTCTCTCCGTTTTTGAATGTGATGCTCCATTCTCCGATCCAGCGCTTTACTCTGTAAACAGTGCTTTGATACTCTTCTTGGGTGATGCGTCATGGACTCTTGGGTCGCGATCGGCCAGAAGGCGCTTTTTGCTGACTGCTGGCCAGGTCTTGGGCCAGACCTGGCGGAATGGCACCACACTTCACTGCCCTGTTTGTTGGCACTATTTTTGTTAGCTCTAGCCCATCTCAAAGTTCGAGACGACAGATTGGTAGACAACTGTTTATCAATCGGCAGACAGCAATAACAACTTGAACGATTACTTACTTAATTGAAATCCAAAGGCGTTGCATCTTGAGGTCCCCGCTCTTGGATCACGTATTTCCTCACCTCCGCGTCCATTCGAGAACCAAACTCCATACTGAGCAGTTGCTATGTCGTTCTTGTGGTCAGGTCGACTCCACCAGCCAGCCCCAGTTTCTTTCGGACGCACTCCACCCTCTTTCTCCCTTGGCCACTCTGAACACCAGCCAAAACTGTCCTAAGGTCGACGCCGTTACATGATTACTTGGCTTTGGTCGGATCTCCAGTCTAGAACTCGTGGTTCCAAGATCTTTACTCTTCAAATGCGGGCTTGGTTCTGAAGGCTGTCTCCGTTACAAAGCACTGCAAGCCGCTTGTGAGCAAGAAAACGGAGACAATGGACGACCCCATGCCCCAGCACAGAACGCGGAGCATCCAACGTGGGTCTCGTTCGCTTACTGCACGTCATGGACGGCGCCGATGCCCAAATAAAGGGAATCCTCTAACAGATCGGCCCTGGGCCCTTGTGCGTCAAGCATAAGCGTCTACTATGTAAATACGTCCGCGACGTCGGTAGATGGAGTGCATACAGGGACATACGGACAAGATCGCATCATTGTTGTGCCCTGGCTGCGCACTGCACCAGCAGCTTGTCGTCTTCCCGTAGCTCGACAGATGTCATTTTGACGTCTCTTTTCCGTCTTGAACCCTTCTTTGACAAGTTGGCATTTCGCTGACAAGCAAGGACAGTCCTGTTAATGACTCAGGCATCCAAGAACTCAAGTACTCAAGGACCAACAACTCGCGAACCAGCCTACCCAGGGCCCAAGATGTGTCCAACAAAGTGACCGCAGACGGACGTTGTAGTGGTTGCAGTGTGGCACAAAGCCGTGATAAAGTCCTTTTCTCCTGTTGTGCATGCTGTCTCGGAAGGTGCGACCATATTGCGCTTGCCTAAGACCAATATTACGACCGTTCATTGCAGAATGCGCATATAGAACACGCCGAGCCTGTGTACTGTGTGTCTGTAGGTCGTATTTCTGCCTTAACGCTTTCACTCTCGTCTGAGATCTTGGCGTCCCTGCACACTGGACAATTGCAGATGCGTTTATGTGCGGAATACAGCCAACGTTACAGCGCCACCGTCGTCTGCTGTGATTGGCTGGTCGCGCCTGCCTAAGCTCCCTCAGCTCCCCTCCCAGCATTCTTTCCCCTTTCAGATGTGTTGTGCCTTCCGCACCCAAGGGGCGTCCGGGTGGTTAGCCCGGCTAGCGCACCCATGGTTGCTTAGTTTCTCTCCTTTGTCCCGGACAAAAACGGCCAGAACAGGGGGAGATGCACGCCAACCGCAATTGAGTTGCAGTGGGCGAGAGGCTTTTGTGGATAGGAAAAGAGGGATTATTTTCTTCTGTGCCATAAATATATGGGTTTTACGTGATTATTGTGGTTCTGAAACAGAGCACCTCCTCGCTGTCCAAGGCTGGGAATACGACTTTGAGTTCTAAAAAAATGGCGGAAGGGGATGAAAAAGGAAGGAAGAAAAGGAAGGAAGAAAAGGCACGGGTATGAACGGGATGGACAAAAGAAAAGTACGAAATAGCAAACGGGGTCAAAATAAGAAAAGCACGAAACAGAGCCTTCTGCTCGCTCACACCCCCTCCCTCGCTCTTGCCCCAACTCACACCCCGTTGGCGTTCTTTCCTGTTTTACATTCGTTTTTTTTTTCTTTTCTAGTTTATTTTGGCCCTCCCCTCCTGCCCACAATAGCCTCGTCCCTCCCTTCCTTAAGGAAAGAAGATCGGGAGCACAAAGCCCTCTTTCCCGTTCCTTCAACTTGATACAAAGAGCTTTGATCTTCCATCTCTCCTTCCCTGCCATTGCCCCTTGACTCCGTCACTGTTCAGTTTTCAACTCTTACTTCTTTTTTCTGTTTCTCCACATGACGCAGACAAACGCACCTTCCCTACTGCTGCTTCTATAAGCAGGCAGCCTTTTCTCGAAATAATCTTCCCACATCTCTCGTCTCTGTTGACCTCCCATCTTCCTTTTTCATCGCCACGTCTACTCCTCTGTCCCAACTTGAACCTTCATTCTTTCAACATATCCCCATACCGCGAGCTCCCTTTGACCGTTCGGAAATGCACATCTGCCCACATGGCCTGCTAGTACGCATCCCAGCATAGTCGACCCGCCCCATCCATCACACCATTGTGGCCTGTCTCCTCTTTTCTCGCAGCTTCCAAGGCCTGATCCGATCACCTGTTGTCGCTCGCTGTCTCGGTGCGTACTTAGCCGCGATCATCCGCGGTACGCTGTTCTACGCCTAAAAATTCGGCATATCCCACGCCACGCCACGCCACGGCCAGGGCTCCCTCCCGCGCCCATCTCCCAAACTATTTCCAAGGCCGAGCTCCAAGTCTCCCCAAATCCCGTCAACACACACAACAGCGGGCAACGGGCAATTGAGCAATCATGACGGTTTTCATAGCTTCGCTGTAAGTTTGTCTCCCTTCCGTTGTGTTCTTGAACTCGTCGCTTTCGGCGTGCATGGTGAATGCAGGTTGGCTGCACTGACGTCATGAAGCGTTGAATTTTTTCTGGCTGCCAAAATACTCGTGAATTTGGTATCGTCAGACACGGTTTGCTAACAAAAGGGCCAACTTTCACCTGCCTCCCTCCTCTCACAGATTCCTCCCCAAGACGGTCCATTTCGATCTGCCCGGGACGCCGCCACTTGCCGCGCAGCCGCCGAGCCTCGACAAGGAGCCCAAGAAGAAGAAGAAGGCTGCCGCATCCGCAGCCGCGCCAGGCGGTTCCAGTCGAACTGCCACTGCTGTTGAGGAGGCCCTCTCGCTGTTTACGCCCCAGTCGGATATCACCCCACCGGACACACCCACTGAGGACCAGAGCACCGATCCGTTTGCCAACGAAGACGGCATCCGCATTGGCAATCTGCCCACGATCGTGGCCAACACCCTCGACGCCGCCACCTCTGCCGTCGCTGACGCCGTCTCCAAGTCGACCTCCAAAGATGCCACCCCGGCCGAGCGCGGCTCGCCCGCCTGGGGTACGCGCCGCGACCAGCCCAAGTCGCGCGCCAACTCCCCTCCCCCCGCCCTCCTCAATGGCGACCCCCACTTGACCGAGAAGGCCAAGGAGCTGCACCGCCAGGGCATCACACAACCGCGCACCTACCTGCGCAGCGACAGCCACGACCGCATCTTCTCGTCTGCTAACTGGCGCATTGTAAACTCCGACCAGGGCAATGGCGGCCTGCGCAACGCCGCCGCGGCCGCCGCGCGCGAGGGCAAGCTGGCTGACTACACCTGGGTTGGTACGCTGGGCATGCCCACGGACGCCCTCGAAAACACCCAGCAGAAGGAAGACATCAACGACCGCCTGGCTGCGGAACACAACATGTTGACCGTGTGGTGCGAGGACAAGGACTTTGACGGCCATTATGTCCACTTTTGCAAGCAGATCCTGTGGCCCGTCTTCCACTACCAGATCCCCGACAACCCGCGCAGCAAGGCGTACGAGGACCACTCGTGGAAGTACTACGTCAACGTCAACCAGGCCTTTGCCGACATCATCATCAAGAACTGGAAGCGCGGCGACGTCGTCTGGATCCATGACTACCACCTGCTGCTGGTCCCCGGCATGATCCGCCAGAAGCTGCCCGACGCCAAGATTGGCTTCTTCCTGCACGTCGCCTTCCCCTCGAGCGAGATTTTCCGGTGCCTGGCTGTACGAAAAGAGCTGCTGGACGGCATTCTGGGCGCGAACCTGGTCGGCTTCCAGATCCACGAGTACACACGCCACTTTTTGCAGACGGTTACGCGCCTCCTGAATGCCGAGGCTACGTCGGACGGCATCCAGCTCGAAGACCGCTTCGTTGATGTCGTCAACATGCCCATCGGCATCGATCCGGTTGCGCTTGACGAGCACCGGGAAGAGGCCGAGGTGATGTTGTGGCTCAACGTCCTGCGGGAAAAGTACGAGGGCAAGAAGCTCATTGTTGCGCGGGACAAGCTGGACCACATCCGTGGTGTGCGCCAGAAGCTGCTGTCGTACGAACTCTTCCTCAACTTGAACCCCGAATGGCGCGGCCGCGTCGTTCTCATCCAGGTCGCCCTGTCATCAAGCGACCGCAATGAGCTGGACGCCACCGTGTCTGACATTGTTACGCGTGTCAACTCTCTGTGGGCCAACCTCGCCTACCAGCCTGTTGTCTACCTCAGGCAGGACATAGACTACCCGCAATACCTTGCCCTGCTGACCGACGCCGACGCACTTATGATTACGAGCCAGCGCGAGGGCATGAACCTGACGTCCCACGAGTACGTCTTCTGCCAGGACGGCAAACATTTCGAGAAAAAGCACGGCAGCCTGATTCTCTCCGAATTTACCGGCACCTCGGAGCTTTTCCATGGTTCCGAGCTTGCCATTAACCCTTGGGACTACCGCGCCTGCGCCGACGCCATCAAGAAGGCGCTCGAGATGGACGAGGACGAGAAGAACACCCGCTGGTCGAAGCTGTACGAGGCCGTGCGCCACCACACCGGCTCGCACTGGTTCGCCGAGTTCTTGTCACGCCTCGACCGCGTCTACGACGAACAGCATCGCCGTGACCAGACCTCTGTGCCGCGCCTCTCGATGCACACTCTGATCAGCCAGTACAAGCGGACGTCGCGACGCCTTTTTATCCTCGACTACGAGGGCACGCTGGTCAGCTGGGGCCCGGTGAATAAGATCATCCCGGTCAGCCCTCAGGTACGCATACCGCATCCCCGTCAATTGTTTTTTTCCCATTGCCCATCTTGTTCCGGTCACTAACACATTCCTGTTAGCGCACCCTGGATGTCCTCCGCGACCTTCTCTTGGACGAACGCAACACCGTCTATGTTATGTCCGGCCGCAGCGAGAAGGAGCTCGACCGCCTGTTCCGACAGGTGCCAAATGTCGGCCTGATTGCTGAGAATGGCTGTTTCCTTAAGCACGCGAACGGCGGCGGTGCCAACAACGCCATCGGCAACAGCAACCCCTGGATCGAGATGGCGGATCCGGAGCAGATTCGCACGTGGAAGGAGTCTGTGAAGCAGATCCTTACGTATTACAAAGAACGCACGCCGGGCGCCGAGATTGAAGACCGCCGCTGCTCGCTCATCTTCCATTACAAGTCTGCCGAGGACTACGAGTCGGCGACGCGCCTTGCTGCCGACTGCGCCTCTCACATCAACGATTCGTGCGAGGAGCAGCGTGTGCACGCGATCCCGCTCGACGGCTCGATTCTCGTGGAGCCCGTCGACTGGACTAAGGGTACAGCCGCCGCGAAGATCCACGAGGCGCTGTGCAAGGAGATTTCGGTTCCGTCGCAGATTGAGGACGCCGAGGTGCCTGCCACTGCCGGCAACCACGGGGTCGATTTCCTCATGGTCGTCGGTGACGGGCGCGACGACGACAAGGTGTTCAAGTGGGCCAACCAGCTGGGCGACGAGGGCAAGGTGAAGGAGGTCGTGACGGTCAGCCTGGGCAGCCGTAGCACGGAGGCCGCAGCAACGATGACACAGGGAGTCAGCGGCGTGCTGGTGGCACTCTCGAAGCTGGCGAACCTGGAGTGAAGCGGTTGACAGACGAGCCGCCAAACCTGACGGTCATCTGTGGCTTTTTTTTTCGGCACTTCTTCTCCACTCTTCTCATTATCCCCCCTCCCTCCTGATGACTTCTCGACGTTTGTGGTATTTTGAGAGTTTTGTTTGCATTTTTCTTTGTTTTCATATTTCCTCCCTCGTCTCGATTTTCTTCTGATTTCCTTTGGATTTTTTTTTGAATTTACTATTTGGAATGCCGGTGCAAGGAATAAAAGACTACGTCATGGGACAACAATGGTCAACACACGCAACATTTATTTTTGCCTTCTCTCTCCCTCACTTCGTTTCTCTTTCCTTGCAGTTTATTTTTGCTTTCTTTTGCATGTTTGGGTAGCGGGCGACGGATTCATGACATTACAAACGCATATGGTTACAAATTTACAGATATACAATATGGGCGTCGCTGCTCTGGTAGACCCAGCAATGGACCTTTCTTTTCTTTACAAACGGAGAACTACATTTTAAAAATATAAAGGGATCATATGTGGCTTTTACGTTGTTTTGAGTATTGATTTTTTTTTTTTTTGTTTTTTGTCGTGTCTGTATATTTTATCATGTGTTCTAATTTATTCCAGTCAGTCAACCATCGACTTTCCTCGTGTTGTATCCACGACATTACAGTTTTATTGTCGACTTGACAAGCTCTCAGACGAAACCACGTATTCTAATGATACTCCGATTCAGATGTCGTCCCAACTTCCGCCACGTGATTACCCCTGTTAGCTGCTATTTAACCTTACAGTTGACAGCCGCTCGGCAGGGTTTAGCGTCGTTGCTGATTATTCTCACAACTGTAAAAACAGCCCGAGGCATCGCACCCCGCTATCGGAGAGCCCCTCCTTGTCGTTTCCTTGGGGCCGTTTGCTGGGACTCGTCGGTTCCTGCCAATAATGCTGCCGTCGTCATTTTGGTCGCAATTGTAATAATCCTAACTCCGATTGCTCGGGCTTCGTGGCGTACACGGACTTCGACACCCTACCTCTTGTCTCACATACATATGCTCGGCCGTTCTTCATCCTATTCTCTCCAGGATCCTCTCTTCCCAATATCTCACCGCTGTCATCCGCTTCCTTGGGTCCAATTCTCGCTCTTGTCCGGCCTGATCTCGCATTCTGACTGTTTCCGTCTACCGTCTGAGGTGAGTTTTTTGGCCGCGTGTGGCCCTTCCTGTGGGGTTTCTCTTGCCCGTGCTTATGTTTGCCCATGCCATTGAGCCTTGTTATTCGCCTTTTGTTGCCTGGTTCGTCGCAAGTACTGTGGACAATATGTCATTTTGTTCCCGAGCTGTGCTTTTGGGCCTTGGTTCCTGCATGCTGCTGCGAAGGAAGCTGCGCCGCTTGCAACAAAGGAAAGCGTGGTGGGCCATACATAGCGTGGTCGGACCTTCCTGCCTTTCCGTGTCCCCACTGCCGCCATTGTGTCATATTCCTCTGGCCGTTTCCTGGCTTACGAATTGCTTCATTTTACACTCCAATCCCTCCCAGTCGACCTTGGTGCCGGTATTCTAACCGAAGTGTCCTGCAGTTAATCAAGTCCCGAGCAGTAGCCTTTCGCCTCTCCTCAAACCGTTCCGTCCTCCTCCATACCCACAATGTCGTTCCCACCGCCGCCTGTCGACACCATTGACTGGTCCAATGTCGGCTTCCGCGTCCGCGAAGTCAATGGTCACGTCGAGTCGCACTACTCCAAGGCCACTGGCAGCTGGTCCAAGCCCGTCTTTGTCACCGACCCCTACATTCGCATCCACGGCATGGCCCCCGCCCTCAACTACGGCCAGCAGGCCTACGAGGGCCTCAAGGCCTTCCGCACGCCGGGCGACAAGGGCATCCAGATTTTCCGTCCGGACCGCAACGCCGCCCGTCTGCAGCACTCTGCTGAGGTCGTGTCGGTCCCGCCCGTCCCCGAGAACATCTTCCTGGATGCCGTGCATGCGGCCGTGGCCCGCAACGCCGACTTTGTGCCGCCGCACGCCACCGGCGCCGCAATGTACATCCGCCCGCAGGTCTTTGGCTCCAGCGCCCAGCTGGGCCTGAGCCCGCCCGAGGAGTACACGTTCTGCGTCTACGTCCTGCCCACCGGCGTCTACCACGGCACCAACCCCGTCAAGGCCCTGATCCTCGAGGACTTTGACCGTGCCGCCCCCAACGGCACGGGCAACGCCAAGGTCGGCGGCAACTACGCACCCGTCCTGCGCTGGAGCGAGAAGGCCTACAAGGCCGGCTACGGCATCACCCTGCACCTCGACAGCTCGCGCCACGAGGAGATTGACGAGTTCTCGACGAGCGGCTTCCTCGGCGTCAAGAAGGGCGCTTCGGAGGACGACATCACCATTGTGACCCCCGATTCGCACTCCGTCATCGACAGCGTGACCAGCGACAGCGTCCAGGAGCTGGCCCGGAGCTTTGGCTGGAAGGTCGAGCGCCGTGTCATCAAGTACTCGGAGCTGCCGACCTTCACCGAGGTCTTTGCCGCCGGCACGGCCGCCGCCCTCGTGCCCATCCGCTCCATCACGCGCCAGCTCACCCCGGGCCATGCGCAGTCGCTGGGTGCCGGTGGCGCCTCCGTGCCAGCCAACGTGGCGATCAACAGCAGCGGCGAGGAGGTCGTCACCTACATGCCCGACAGCCAGACGGAGGCCGGCCCCGTGTGCCTCCGCCTCCTGACACAGCTCAAGGGTGTGCAGCTGGGCAAGGTCGAGGACCAGTTCAAGTGGTGCGCGGCCGTTGTGGCCGAGGATGCCGCCAAGGCTGAAGACGAGCCCAAGGCGTCGTCTTAGATGGACGAGGCCGTGGACTTGGAGCGGCAGGCGCAAAAGATCAATACGTGATGCGAAATTTTAGAAACACAAAATTCAAGAGCGGGACATGGAAAAAGTGACTATGGCGGGCGCTTTCGGACGGTACGGAGGGTACACAAAAGCATGGATGTTTTGACCAAAACCCAATATATATACAATGTACGCGACCTGCATACTGATCTCCCAATCGCACTCAGTGATATGACATGTAAGACTGCTTCGGTCGAGATCTCCACATAATTTCTCGGTTGAAGATTGTCCATGTGCAAATTAATTGAAAACGTAAAACTAAAGAGAAGAAAAAAATCATTACAAAAATGATATTTTGATCAGACAAGGGAAGCAAAATAGTCAGCTTATGTCGAAGAAAAAAAAAGATATGCAGCACCAAAAAATTCTCCCGGGGGCGAATCGAACGCCCGACTCTCGGATTTAGATTGTGTTACAATTACAGTCCGATGCCATAAACCAACTAGACCACCAGGAGTTGTTGTTGGGGTGGTTTACTCGTAATTAGCTTATAAGGGTGGGTTTTCCCCACTTCACTCTACAAATTTGCCACATACATGACAGAATTCACTACTGTCAAACAACTTCTTGCGCAACTGGATAAAAGACGATGCTACAATAGGAACCCGGCTTCATTACCAGAATGTCTCAAAAACCATATTGGATTGCCATATTTATTGTCTCCCAGTGTTTCTTGCTGTATCCTCGCACTATTGACTTTGCAGTAATGCTGACGAAAGATACCAGTGACAGGGCATGTTTGATGGATCGATGCTTGTTAAACAGAGTAGTAGCCACATCGGCAGTGTATCAGGAAAGATGGTTCTTGCCTGCGAGATTCTAGAGAGAAGCAATATGTAGCTGGATGGGCCACTACGAGATGCCTTTCACCGGAATTTCGACTCGACTCGGCCGACAATAGTTTGCCGACAGCAGAGTCAAGCTGGAAGCTCAATTAACATTCAACGTGGCACTTTAACAACATATTTGCAAGGTTCAGCGCGCATATTTCACGATAACGGACATTACATAGTGGAGAGCATTGGGTGGAATGAACTTGAGTTGAAACAAAAGAAATACATATGTTATAGCTAAAGTACAAAGAAAATAAAGGAAGGGGCCGATGGAACGACAGAGTCATGAGCGCAGAAGGAGAGTCTGACCTGAGTTCCAAATCCCCCTATAGACAACATGGAAGCAATAGTATCCGCCGTTTGGTACGGTACTCTCCAGAGGCGACCGTGGTATAGACAACAAGACATGCCAGTTACTCATGAGCGAGTCGCCATTGAATTTCACTGGGAGACAGCTCGGGTGGTGTAATGGGTGGGCGAGTTTGTCCTCTATGCTTTTCAGGACAATCTCAAGCTAGCAAGAGGAACAGGAGCAGGCCTTGTAACTTTGCAGGAGATGTTGCTCTATCTCAAAGTATGAGGCTCTTTGTTTGAGAGAGATTTGACACCTTGTGTCTACGGTCTAACGAGCCAGGAGGTTTAGTTGCTTGGCTGGTTGGTTGCTGCAGCGGCGGCTGCAACGGCCTTCTTGTGGTTGTTTGTAACGACCAAGCGCAGCAGACTCGCCGACTTTCCCTTGTTCCTCTTATCCGGTGTGCGGCCTGAATACGGCTTCCACCGACGTTCCTCCGCAGAAGCTGCCAGCTTACGAGCCTTCTAGGCAGTCGCATGCTTAATTGCAGTGATGTTGTCATTGTAGCGGTTCAGGTCAAGAGCCACCGGGGTGAGCAGACCCTTTCCCGGTGCGTGACCCTGTGACACTGCAACTGAGGACTGGGAATGCGTGATCGTCGTCGACCTAGCAGCAGGAGGCACAGCCAGAGCTGCATCGTCAACCTCGGAGATGGAATGGTCGATGTTCTCAGAGTCCTCGTGATGGGAAAGAGACTCATCCACGTCCATTCTAGTCTGCAGCTCATCGTTTCCCATGAAACTAGCACTAAATGCCGAATGCACAGAAGCAACAGCATCAGTGGTGGGAGTCGACGCCGGAGTGTTGTCTTGCTTCTCATTGCTGTTAGGGAGGAGCCCTTCAAGCTCCATGGCCCCGTAGAAGCTGGCTTGAAAGCCTGTTGGGATGCACTCGGTATCGGCCTGTCGCGAGTTTGTCGGTGTTGGATGAATTAGAGCATCCAGCTCTTGGGCATTTGTAAAGCTTGTTGTCGATACCAGGTCGGCACTGTGTGCGTGCTCGTTGGCTTCAGCAAAATGGGATTTGAGCTGTTCAGCGCCATAAAACGCGGTTCTGAAAGGCCGGAGTGAATTCTTGCCTTCATTAGCATCGCCAATCTAAGGCGCGCTGGAAGAAGCAACGTTTCCTGTAGTAAAAAGATGAATTAGTTTGGGTGAAGAGACAGAGAGTCAGATAGAAAGAGAAGGTGACAACGTACCGCCAAAGGCTGTAGAAGAGTTGCTTACTGCACTGGTGCTCGCAAAGTCCTCCATAACTTCGTCGTTGGCGTTGACTCGCTCATCGTCTCGAAAGGTGCGATGAGTGCGATGGTCCATTGCGAAGACAGGCTAGTTGACTCTTCGGCTGGGAGATGGGTGTAAAGATGGTGAGTAGGTGACTGATAAGGTATGGTGGGATATTGTAATGTTTTTGTGGTAAAAGTGAGCAAGAGCAAGCAGCGGTGGTAGTTTGAAAGGGAAAAGGAGAAGGATGAAGAGCTAGGTGATCAGTGGGGGATGGCAAGATATTTATAGACAAATGGTTGGGAGCCGGAGGGACCGAAATCAGTGGGTGGTTAATCACTCCAAGCAGCGACGAGCAGTCAGACAATGAAAACAAAAGACAATATGCTTTTCCATGTGGCGATGCATTAGTTTGTCAGTGGGTCCATGAGCTTTATATTGCGAAGTCGTAGCATGTAGGGAGGTAATTGTAACCAGTGAGGTGAATGTAGATATGAAAGGAGAATAGATAGTATACCACCGACAAGGAGCATGCCCATCGTCGTTCAGATGAACATCTGATAAAGGAGGGCGATGCATTGACTTTCGGATATTGACGTAAAGCTGTTCGCTGTCTGAGCGAAAAATGGCCGTGATAGGAATTGTACGCTGTTGGGGAGAATGCGTGTTGCTATAATGTCCGCGTGTTATTTGGCCAACGCGTGGAGACCAACGATGCGTCCGTTGGATACACGACTCTACACGGAGATGACCGCCACCACTATTCACTTGGGAGTTTAGATAGATGCAAGACCTAGAGGCGTATGAAAAGCGCAGCTACGTTATCATGAGATCGCCAAAACGAGTATGACGTGAAAATCTCACAAGAGTCCGGGCCACGCGATGATGTCTCACTACACACTCTTGGTACTATCGCGGACAATTTCATGATGCTGCATGATTATGCCTCATCAATAATACGAAGTGAATTACGTCAGGCGATTGTCTTCAACATGGAGATGTCGTATAGTCGTTCTGTGATATTGCCAATGTGAGATGTGATCAAACGGACGAGCTCTGCAAATCATTTCTCAGGTCCCTTCAAAAGGTTCAAAGACTGGAGCTGCGTCCATTCGCAAAGCTCAATCTTACTAAAGCAGATTGTTTCCATCTACTCGGCTGACTTTTAGACACGACGGGTTAAAAGAACCTGCTCTTGATGGGCGTTGTCGCGAACATTAAATTTTGTTCACGTCAACATGCAAAAATGTAGACGGGGTAAAACGAAAAATTAAGCGGATGGAGGTAGGTATAATGTGCAAGCAGAAGCAGATGAAGTGAATATAAATCACTATGAAGAGAGTCGATATGTCAAGATCCATTGATGCACGTCAACCACGTAGATGCCTCCGGTACGATCGTGACGACAATTTCAAATACGTTCAATGTCAAATATTCAAATAATGCCCTAGAAGAGGCTAATAAATTTCACAAAATTGAGGAGAGTATGCCTCCAACCTATCAAGTTTAATTCACTTAATCTAACACGCCTAATGGTCTTGTAAAGGCATGTTGCGAGTTTCGTCTTCGTTTTCCATCTTTTGTTTTCTTGCCCCCTTTTGTCCAAACTTTGGCTTGCGAATGGCACGTGACCAGTCATATGCCGGTTTCGTGCAATCGCAACCCGAAACGTACGCAACGCCAGTCTTTCGTAACTGTCTAAGAAAATACAACCAAGCCAAACCAATAAGTCTGCCAAGAGCGGGGATGTGCTCTCGGCTAGACATCTACGACATGCAGCTGTCCGATGAACAATGGGAACAAACGCACCACAGATCAATGTCGTGGACCACCTTGTCACTACCTGTTCAGGACCCACTTTTCTAGCTATTGGTGGTTCCTTGAAATGTCATTGGCTGTTAGACATCACGGCCCACTTATTTTCGATTTTTTGGGACCTCCGTCAACGACATGCCTTGTCACTCTCACTGACCATCACAAGGCTCTATTGATACCACCAACAACAACTCCGCCCCTTTCGGTCACATCTGATTGCAGCAGGGTGGTCGCCCCATAGACTGTTTATTCACTTGATCTCCCAATCCACTTCTCCGTTATTCTCTTGTCCCACTCCACCGTTCACAATGGCCGACAAGACGTGCCGGATCCTGGTCATGGCCAGCGGCAACGGCTCCAACTTCCAGGCGCTCGTCGATGGCATTGCGGCCGGCAGCATCACGAACGCGCGCATCACGCGGCTGATTGTGAACCGCGGCAAAGCGTTTGCGACGCAGCGGGCAGACAAGGCGTGCATCCCCTGGGAGTACTTCAACATGGTGACGCACGGGTTCCAGGCCAAGGGCGAGAAGGACGCCGCAGCGCTGCAGGCGGGCCGCGAGGCGTACGACGCGGCGCTGGCGCAGAAGATTCTGGACGCGCAGCGCGCAGACGAGCGGCCGCAGCTCATTGTCTTGGCCGGCTGGATGCACGTCTTCACCAAGGCGTTCCTGGACCCGATTGACGCGGCGGGCATCAAGGTCATCAACCTGCACCCGGCGCTGCCCGGCAAGTACGACGGCGCGGGCGCCATCCAGCGCGCGTACGACGACTTCCAGGCGGGCACGCTGGAGAACAACACGACAGGCATCATGGTGCACTTTGTCATTGACGTGGTGGACCGCGGCGCGCCGATTCTGACGCGCGACATTGTGGTGCAGCCCGGCGAGACGCTGGCCGACCTCGAGACACGCATCCACGCTGAGGAGCATGCGTTGATTGTGACGGCGACACAGAAGGTCGTGCAGGAGGTCGTGCAGGCCGAGGAGCGCTCGTCATTATGAGGGACGTGCATCATGTGCATTCGCTTCTGGTTCTTTCATGTTTTGGTCTGTTTATATCATTCAAGGCGTCTGCGAACACAAGGTAGAATATATCTCTGTTTCCTGAACAATGCATCATTTTCCACGGACATTCTCTTGTCGTATACTGGAGCAGGCTGTATGTTTGTGGTATTCATGGTCGCCATATGCGTCGCCGTCTGTCATCTTCTACTCCAGGCTTCTCATCCGTACACGTCACCAAACAACTGCGTCACCCTACGATTCAATCGCAATCATGAACTGACAACTCATTATATTCGTTTGTCGTCTTGGCGACCATCGCGACCACTCCACCTGCAGCATCCAGCATTGCTCCTTCCCGAACAAGCATCATCTGCACCTGCTACTTCACTCTTCCCCGGCGCAACCAAAAAACCACACCCCCAACCCCCTTCTGGACGCTCACCCCCCCATCAAGGCTCTCTTGCCACCATCCTACCGCCTTCTGCTCTTCTTTTTCACCAAAAAAAAACTGATACTGCCGTCTTTATCTCATTCACCGCCGCCAGAAGGTCGTGATGTTTTTTGCATGCTCGCACGGACCAAGTGTGCTCCTGCCTCTGGGTATATATATCTGCCATCCCTCCCTCTCTTTTGTTTTTTTCTCTCCCTTCTCCTACCAAAAATCTTCTGAACCACGACCTAGGAAGTAGCCCATTTTACATCCACATTCGTGATTCAGTTTTTACCTTTCCACTGCCTTCTCTTCTCTTCTTCCATCTCTCTCTCCTCCTCTCCTCTCCTCCTACCCTCTTCACTATCCCACTTCTCCCTCGTCACCATCATCACTATCGTCGCCATGGTGCTGCCGAAGCCCATTCCCGCTATGGAGGACAACCCGATCTCCGTGTCCCCCAACGCACTGATCCTCTGCATGCTGTCCGCTCTCGCGGTGAAACTGTTCGTTCCGACTGGCGACATCGCTGTGGTTCTTGCCATAGTTCTTCTTGTCAAGGTCTTGAGCTTTATTTCGTGGACCAAGGACGGTGTCGCCAACGACAACAGCGATGCTGGCCCCGTCGAGCAGGGAGTGGCATAGCATGCTGCTCGCGGCTCAGACGAGGCCGGCATTGACGACGAACTTGACGCTGGCTCTGCCAGCAGTCTATTGACTGACGACGGCACCGGATCGGCCTCCAACACCAACGGCAACACCATCACGGGCACCATTTCGTCTACGGCGTCGCCCACCATTGACCTCGCTTTCGCACTTGACAGCTTCGAGAGCGCCTGTAAGTATTCCTCTCTCCTCCCTCTCTCGTTCCTCTGACCTCCTACTGACTCTGCTCTCGCTGCACAGTTGACAGTTGCTTTCACAAGACCATTGAAGAGAATGCCCTCTCTGAGGCCCAGCTGACAGTTGCCAACCTCACTCTCCATGACACTCTCACCCCGGGCCCTGTCCTCCGCATCACCTACTATGGGGATGAAGACGATTTCCTCCTTACTCAGTCAATCCAGTCGGCCGCATTTGGTGAGGTTGATGAGTCTTTCTAGGATGAAGACTCGTCGATGTTCATTGACTTGTGAGTATCTACCTCTGTCATCTCTGAAATCTCCAGTTCTCATACTAACCACTTTCTTACTACAGCCCGGATCAATATCACAACCGAGAGACCAATTCCCACCAAGTCCCCGATGCCGACATTGATGGCAATGAGCTTCAAGTCGACATGACCTCGGAGCTCGGCCACGAAGACAAGAAGGAGGATGATACCATCGTCTCCGACCAGGATGTTGAACACAACGAGGATATGTCCATGATTCAACTTCCCAACATGAACGACTATCGTCTCAGCGCAGGACTCGGCCATAGTGAGTATCACCCCCAGTTACATCTGCCTTCTTTGCCCTGCTTCTCTTCTAACCGCATTTTGCACAGACACCTCTGAGAGCATTGGGAACATTGAGAGCCACTCGGACATCTCCAGTGATATCGACGTCCCAGAATCTGCCAACATTGACGAGCTTGAGCAATTTGACGAGCCCACACAAAACAATGATGAGCAGCAGGTGGATGAGCAGAGCACCCATGGTCTTTCTACTCCCATCGACAAACTTCCCGCTTCCGATGAAATGAAAGTTGAAGGACGAAGCTTTTCCAACCAGCCCGCCTCCGACAGCAACTCCGACGACCATGAAGATGGACCAGCTGCCGTCTACGAGCACGACCGCGAAAACCTCTGCTCCGCTGAAAAGATGTTTGACAATCCTCTTCCTCGTCCCCGATTCACCACAAAATATGCGAGCATCGACGATGACACCAGCCTGGAGTCTCCTGGCGACAAGTTCCGCCTCAAGCTTCATACCATATTTGAAGAAACTGAAGAAGAACGGGAAATGGTTCGTGAGATCTTAAAGGCCCGCGGCCCAGCTCCGACCTACGCCCCAATCCTCGAAATGGCCCGGCTTCCCAGCCTCTCCGATGACGAATACGAGGAGCCCTCGCCGAAGTCGCTCGACATCAGCATTGAGTCGTCCAACTTTGACATCCATCCCTCGCTCGGGAAGACCCCGGAAGGCAAGCCCAAGCCGGCACCCAAATCCGAGCTCCAGGTCTCACCGTCGCCAGAGCCCAAGAGAAACTCCTTTTCCTTCCCCCGTCCGGCCAAGACCACCACCGCATTGACGACTAGTTGCGAAGTTATTTCCAACTATGCTTCCGCACCTCCCACACCACCCACTACTCCCAGTCCGATTGTCGTCAAAAGCTCTGACGACACCTCTTGCAAGCATGCCACAGCTTCGACCACAGCCTCTGCTGTCCACATCGAGGATGCCAATGTTGCCGGCACTTCCATCCAGAGCAACTCCTTGAGCTCCGACTCCGAATCGGACGAGCTTGACTACTTTCTCCGACAGACAGGCTTGGACGTGATTGCCTCGCCCGCCGACAATTCCTCCAACGGCAACGGTACCAATCCAGCCGATCCTATCACAGACAGCACAGCCACCGGCATCGTCCCTGAATCAATTCCTACCATCAACATGACGCTCGCAGAGTCGATGCAGGAGGCCTGGGAAACCCTTTCTTTGCACTCGACTGACAGTCTCGACGCTGCTGATGAGTATGGCCGCAATTATGAACGTCTGTGCGGCAACAGCCTCCCACGATGCACCTGGGCCCTGCTCGACAAGCCTGTTGCCTTTGGAAAATGCAGCGGTCCGCTTCTGATGCTCACAACCCCCGAGGGAGACATCAAATACCCGGAAGACATGAAGTACTATGATGGTGCCTTTAACTGGGCCGACGACAGCGACGAGGAGGAGGAGGGCGACTCGGACACCTATGCTTCCCTGTCTCCTGCTGCTACAAAGTCGATTTGAGTGATACGATGCCCGAAGAACAGAAGGCGATGAAATGACTACGACAACCAGAAAAGCACAAAAAAACATGAAAACCCCACAAATCCCATCAACTTTTTTTGAAAAACTATAATACAACAAAAAAAATCTGCTTGCCTTGTTTGTTTTCGGTGTTGGCGTCGGCGGCCACCGCTACGATGCGAGTCCGCTTTGCCTTGCTTGCTGTCTTTTATCCCATCTTCTTGATCTGCTTCGTCTGTTCTTTATCTGCTCTTCAACTGACTTTGCACTTGTTCCTCATTTATCCCTCGTTTCTACTACTACTCCTTTTGTACCGCATCCAGTGCCACGTGCACCACCGCGATGAGGGCTTTGTTCATGCGGCATTTGTTTACTGGTGTTTCGGTTTGATATAGATTCCGCTCGATACCCAAAATTGTTCTTTCTCTCACGCTTGTTTTGTTTTGTTATTCTGTGTTTGCTTTTTTACTCTGGTTTTATTTGATTTCCACGCCACGGGCGTCGTTTCTGGGCCTGGTCGCTCCTCCACACGCAAAGACACACAAGTTGTTCCTGCGCAGACCGTCCACACAATGTATCTTGGTCACCGTTCTCTCTATTTCCGTTACTGGTTTTTATGCCTTTCGGCTTTTCCAGTTACATTTTTCACGCACCTAGATACACACTGGTTTTTATGCCTTTGGCTTTTCCAGTTTTTTTTTTTTTTAATGATCAAAACTACAACCCACCACAGTCTCAAGTCAGAACTGCAAATCGTGTCGTAGAAATGTTACAGGTCGTGGATTGCGAGCATTGTTGAACTGTGAACCGGCATTGTGAGCACTCTGATGCTTTGAGATTGACGAACAGGACTGCTGTTGTGATGCAGATACCCGAGACAGACGATCCGAGACAAGCAACTCGAGACGACGACAGTTGAGACTCGATTCAACTCGACATTTTCCGACCGACCCGATATTAAGCAGTCTTTGAGTGTGACTATAAATGGTATATCGCATATTCAGCTCCATGGCCAAACAGGGCAACTTTGTCAAACTGGTGTTGGTCCATTTAACAGCTAATGATAATTTTCATGCAGGGTATCATATCCGAATGTCCAATGATTTCTTTGCTCCTGTGTCCCATACCAAACTCCGAAGCGCAATGTTTTAAAAAAGAAGAGCAAAAAAAGACAAGTGACCCAAACCCACTATTCTCACTCCCTCCCTTTTCTGACATTTTTAGTATGCCATACGGACCTATCAACTGCTTTTCTTTGTTGATTCTACGCTCTGCCATGCTCTGGTGATTCCTAGAGCTGTTGCAGCTGCTCGTGTGTGGCCTTCTCATCGGCGCGGACCCGGCTCTCGAGCTGCTGCTTCCACGCGACCAGAGCGGCCCGTGTGCGCTGCGGCGGTTGGGTGAGCGGCGTGGACGGCGAGGTGAAGGCAGGGGCCTCGGACTGCCCCAGCGTGCGACGGCCCTGGTCCAGCCACAGGCACCACACGTCGACGGCCAGGCCAACGCGCTCGTCATGCAGCGGGCAGCAGGACATGGGCGCGACGCGGCCGCGACTGAGGTCGCCCTCGCAGCAGAAGGGGTCTTTGCACGTGTTGTCGAGTGATGTGTGCGATGTGTGCGATGTGTGCGATGTGTGCGATGTGTGCGATGTGCGCCGGCAGGGGTGCGTCTCGCCACGGGCGCCAGTCAAAAGGGCAGGCACTTCGGCCAAGAGCGCATACAAAACGTCGACGTCGGTGGCCATGTCGTCCGCCTCCTCCTCCATGGCGCTGTCGTCATGCCGCTGTTCTTCTTTTTCATTGTGTGCCAAGAATCGCCGGCGTGCATCGACCAACACCTCCATCAATGCACACACAGAGCGGCCCACGCTGGGAGTGGCGTAGGTGCTTGTGATCCACGGTGCCCGCGTCTTATCCATCATCCCCGGTGCATGCTTGTCACCGTCAGGGTTGGCGTGGTCGCTGTTATCGTATCTGGTGGCGGTGGAGCAGCTCTTGTTGGAATATTGCTCAAAGAGCGTATCGGTCAGCCAAGTCCAGAATGTCGAATCGCTCTCAGCGGCCAGGTTTGGGCTTGTGGGAAGCGCTGGCGCAGTCGTGGTCAAAGCAGTTGTCGTGTCTGGCATGTCCCAATCCATTTCCGTGTCACAGCTCGCGTCCACAGTGACAAACTCAAGGTCAGCACCATATACGTCAGAGTCTTTCCATGGCAGGCGCTGCGGAGGCTGCAACACTTGTCCGTCGTCTGGCCGTGCCCACACAAAGAGTGTCGGGGCGAGTGAAAACAAGACGACGAGGAACTGCGGCAGGTCGGCGTTGCGGCCGCGACAGGTGGACTTGTCGCAGTTGCAGACAATGGCGGGATCCGCAAGGACGGTCCCCAGGAGACGGGCAATGCCGTGGTCGTCGTTGCTGCCGTCTGTGTTGGTTGTGTTTTTATCAAAGTAGTGAGAGATGCTGGGGTCAAAGGAAAAGCCAGGGAGGGCCTGCAGGGCAGTCCACACGCTGTGGGGGGTGACACGGTGAAGTGGTTGCTGAGATGATGGCGGAGACAGTCCGTAGTCGGGTGAAAGAGGAGCTTCAATCTGGTCATACGACGACGCACCCGCCTGTGGGTGGTGAAGCATCATGGTCGCCCGTCCCTTGCGCACCCGTTGCTGGTTCAGAATGCGGCGGTAGCGGGTCTCTTGGAAGCGCTGAAGGCGGCCGCTGATGCCGTTGGCAGAGGGTGCTAGGCGCACACCGCCAGCGAGGCTGGGGTCGACACCGTCGGCCGCCAGGGGGGCACCTCCCGCTGCCCGGCCGATGCCACTGCTCATACCACTCATACCACCGCCGCTGCGGCCGCCGCTCCCAACACGGCGGTGCTGCACTTTTCTCGTAAACGCACGCCCGATTTTGACGGGAACGTGGTGGCGTTTTGTAGGCCGTCTCGACAGGCCGCTGTTGTTCCTGCTGCCTGCAGTTGCATACTGCCTGCTGCCACGCTGGGCGAGGACGTAGTCGTGTTCTAGATCCACGTCGAGGGCGAAGCCAAGATCGTGGTCGCCGTCATCATTGGCGTGGTCATAGTGGTCGCCGCGATCGTCCTGGTCTTCGCCGTCACCGTGGGCACTCTCCTCATCAAACTGTGCTTGGCTGTACCGACTGTGGCTGTTCTGGAGAATGGATGCAACGTCAATGGCGGCTGTTGTGGCTGTGATGTGGTTTTGGGACGGGGCTGATTTCGGGACAGTTGTTGTATTTTTCCTGGCGGGACGGGGTTCTGTGGGACTGGCAATGCTAGCCGCCCCGGCGTTCTCTGCCTTAAAATCATGTGGCACGCTGATATCCAAATCGGACGGCTTAGGACGATGCACCAAGGCAAATGTGACGGGCAAGTCGTCGGCAGATCCACGATGTTGCGGACTTGATGTTGTGTGGGGCTCAGACGCGCCGGCATCCCACTCCGGCGCGCCGCTGCTGTCCATGCTGATTGAATGCCGCTCTATCTCTTTATATGTGTTGCTGTATGGCAAAGGGTCGTCGGCAATAAGTTGAAAGCCGGGATATCTGATTGACGTCAGTGTTGTTGTGTTGCGGAGGAATTGGGAGCTGATGTCATTGCAAGTGGATGGAGCTTGTGCGGAGCACACGTGACGATTGGATTATCATCACGTGCATGTTCCCGTCACAGGACGTCAAGCTAACACAGCCTCGAACTTCCCTCGTCCGCTAGTATCCAGGGGCATAAACAGCGATTTAGATGTGGCTGCATCGTATTGCACCAACGTGACGACCACCTTTCCATTGTTTCATGCTTCCAGACTCGGCGCGGGAGACTTTATTAAACACAGAAGTCTTTCTTCTTTCTTCTTCCTTCTGGGCGCGTGCCCAGCGGGTGACAAGACACCATAGCGCCACAGTGCCAAGCCACTTTTATTTAAGAATTCAAGCCAAGAACTCGACCCAGCAAGTTGACCAGTCAAGAGGTTCAGAAAGGGACAAGAAAAGGCTCGGCAAGGGACTGCCCGCTGTCCGACACCCGTGCTATTTTTGTTTGTTGCACAAACATCCCCCACCTGTCGTCATTTTTGGACATCTGCCGCAAGGCGACGGTCTCACGAGCGGCACCTTTTTACCCCCTGAACACATTTTGTGTTTTTACGCGTTTTTGAGTGCGCTGACGACATTGGATGTCGCCATGACGAACCATATGAGAACAGCTGTTCCCGCGAGGCGCATACGATATGACATGCATTTGCATGCTCCTTGATTTTTATAGAGAAACGAGGCGGTGGGATAGACCGCTACGTTTTAGACCACTACGTTTTTCTTTTCTTTTTTCTGTTTTTTTTTTTTCAGCTTCAGTTTCTTTATTTCCGCCTACGAATTTTCATTTTTCAGATACGTTTTCTCCTTCCCTCCCCAGCCAGTCTTTCAAGCTCATGCGCCATGTCTACCGAGCACAGCTATTTAAATTATTAGACTATTAGCCGTCTCGCTTCCGACAGATTGCAACGCTTAGTTTCCGCGAGGCCCAATTGCCTGTATCGACCATTATTCCGGACTGAGATGGCACCATCGGATCGACTACTGACGAACGGTGCCAGCTCGTGCAGATCTCCCCCGTGGGGGCATCTTCCCCTGGTCGCCGTGTTCTTGTGGGCAAAACAAGCACTGCATAGACTTGTCCTGTGGAAAAGCAAACACCCCCACACGGAAGTATTCTTCTCTTTCTTTTTCTTTTCCTTTGCTTGCCCACCATGTTTTCTTTCAGTACGACCTACGGCATACTTGTACCTTGTTTACCTTGTTTGCAACTCATTTGGTCATCGACGTCGCATCGAAATCCGAAAAGTGTTCTGACCGAATCTAATCCAAGACTTGCTCTGCGGTGCATCCTCAGTGCGGCATGTTCGTATTCAAGCTTCCATGCCTTCTTTGTATTTATGTTCTCCATCTCCCTCTTGGCCATCATAGAATACGACGCAGCTGCCGGTGGAAGAAATGCCAAGTCCTGTGCTGGTTGTCTCGCGGCTCGCGGAATCTCTTTTTGCATATCCACTTCCAAAGACATTCCAATCATCCAAGGGCGACTTCTCAGACGGCATCTGTCATGTCGACTTCAGTCGACTCCGCTTTCTTCAAACACGGCCATTGCCCTTCTGGGTGCATCGTACTCACCGATACTACATGCCATGACAGAGTGTTTGGGGGGACTGTAAAGAAAACTGTCGAGTCAGCCCGAATGCACCAGGCGGGATCCAGACAAATCAAATGAACCTTGATGATCGTAAACTATCGTGTGCAATGCTCCGTCCGTCTAGCAGGATCCAACATCCAGGTTCCACTCTTCCCCCCTCACAGCTAGGTCTCCTCTTTCGTGCCCTTGTGGCCCTCAGCCCAACATGCTCTTGGTTGCTTTATGTGTCCTCGTTTTACGACCCCAGCTGTCACGTACTTTGGATGCCGCATGCTGTCATAGTTTACGGTGGACGATGATTGGCTCTTAAGTAGTTTTGACGTCCTGTCTTGGCAAAGGGTGATGGTCAACGACAGTACCCGTTGGCAAGACAAGATAAATAAAAACAAAAGGCCTGCCGCCGCGTCGTCCCAAAGCGGAAAAAACGATAAGAATGGAACCCAGTTTACGAGATACAACTTACCATCTTCAGAAGAAAACGTGTTGATACATCTACAACATACCCTTGCCTTGTCTTCACAAACGCCACCGGTGGGACCTCGTCAACCTTGGCATCGCCGTCCTGCCACCGTGAAAGACTGCCGCGAGACGAGCAAGTCTGGTGCAAGGACTTGGCATCGTTCATGGTACCATAGTATTTTCTCACATGCCAGCTTGACGCCCGCCGCCTTGTACGGAGTAGATAACAGTCCTCCATATCCTTTTTTGTTTCTTTCTTTTGTTCTTCCCTCTCGGTTCTCACTCAGGGTGTATAGTCCCGCACGAGACGAGAGAAGAAAACGCACCTTTTTACTTTCGTCTTTCTTCAGGTTCACCCGGCCACAACTCGCCCACCATTCCTGCTTTATCCCGTCAGCACTCGGAAGAGTGTCAACCCCTCCTCCCCTCGTCGTCGGGCAGCATGTCTCCGCCTGTTGAGACGTCCGAGGCTGGCAAAGCCGGCAAGGCCGGCGGCGGTGATGATGGCGTCCACACAACGTCGCCGTTGCCGGCGGCTGCCGATGCCAAAGAGGCCACCGTCGATGTGACGGACCATGCCGGCTTGTCGTCAGACGAAGATGGCTACGGCGACGACGACCGCGCAAAGAACCCGTTCCTCGACCCGGAGGTCGCCGCCTACTGGCGCAGTGTCTACGAAAAGGCCAAGTACGAGTGCCGCCACGTCTTCGACCCGACATTTACCTGGTCCGACGAGGAGGAGCGCCGGCTTGTGCGCAAGCTGGACTGGCACGTGTGTCTCTGGGCCTGTGTCATGTTCTTTGGCCTGCAGGTCGACCGTGGCAACCTCGTGCAAGCCGTGTCGGGCGAGCTGCTCTCCGAGCTCCATCTGACCACAGATGGTACGTTGGAGGCTATTCACTTTTTTTTTTTAATTTTCTTTTTTTTTCTTTTATTTTCTTTCCTTTTTATTCTTTTTCATTTAACCCTGCTAATTAACCCCCAGACTACAACTACGGCAACACCGTCTTCCGCGTCGCTTTTCTCCTGGCTGAGCTGCCGTCCCAGCTCGTGTCTAAGAAAATTGGCCCCGACCGGTGGATTCCCATGCAGATGGTCATGTGGTCCGTGGTTGCCATTAGCCAGGCTGCTCTCTCCGGCCGCACGTCCTTCCTCGTCACCCGCGCCCTGCTCGGCGTCCTCGAGGGCGGCTTCATCCCGGACATTGTCTTGTGGCTGTCGTACTTTTACACCTCGCGCGAGCTGCCCGTCCGCCTCAGCTACTTCTGGACCTCGCTGTCCCTCACGACCATCATCACCTCGCTGCTCGCCTTTGCCATCTTCCACCTCGACGGCGTCGGCGGCCGCAGCGGCTGGCGCTGGTTGTTCCTGATCGAGGGCGTCATCACGCTCGCCGTCGGCGTCGCCTCGTTCTTCCTGATGCCCGCGTCCGCCGTCCAGACCAAGGCCTGGTACCGCCCCAAGGGCTGGTTCACCGACCGCGAGGTGTCCATTGTCGTCAACCGCGTCCTGCGCGACGACCCCAGCAAGGGCGACATGCACAACCGCCAGGCCGTCACGCTGCGCCGTCTGTGGGAGGCCCTGCGCGACTATGATCTGTGGCCCATCTACATCATCGGCATCCTCGCCTACATCCCGCAGTCGCCGCCGTCCACCTACATTACGTTGATCCTCAAGTCCGCCGGCTTCAGCACCTTCAACACGAACCTGCTGACCATCCCCTCGAGCGCCCTGCACATTGTCACCCTGATTCTGCTGACGCGCCTCTCCGATTTTTTCAAGGAGCGCTCGCTCGTCGCCATGATTCAGAATCTGTGGACGCTGCCCTGCCTCGTAGCCCTGCGCTGGTGGCCGGGCCTGATTACCGACCGCTGGGGGACTTATGCGCTGGTCACTACTCTGTTGTCCTACCCCTACTGCCGTGAGTGCTATCTGCGTTATGTCGTCTTTGTTTTTTTTTTGGGGTTTTTTTTTTGTCTCTTCTTCTCCTGTTATTAATATTGACCAACTAGATGCCATCGTCGTCGGCTGGGCCTCCAGAAACTCCAACAACGTCGGTGCTCGCTCCGTCTCTGCCGCTCTCTACAACGTGAGTTCTCTCTCTGGTCCTCTTATTCATCCCTCATGTTTGACTCGTTTCACTTGTTTCGTGTCCTGACGACCAACGCCCCTCCAAAACAGATCTCCGTCCAACTCGGAAATGTCATTGCTGCCTACATCTACCGTGCCGACGACGCCCCCCACTACCACCGTGGCAACATGTACCTCATCGTCATCAACTTCCTCGCTATTGGCAGCTTCCTCTTTGCCAAGGTCTACTACATCTACCGCAACAAGCAGCGCGACCGCGTCTGGAACGCCATGTCCCACGACGAGCAGATCAAGTACAAGCGCGAGACCCGTCTGCAGGGCAGCCGTCGCCTAGACTTTCGCTTTGCTCATTAGGTGACGAGAAGAGGGGAGACAAAGAGGAGTATGGAAGAGGACAGCATTGTGAATGACAGCAATGATCCAAGGAGCAAGCGGTAAAGGCAAAGTTGTTGATAGACGGAGGAGTAAGACGTTTAATTCCTTGATCGACTTGATGCGTCAGTAGATCATGCGTAATATACCTTGTGATAACGCAAATGTACCCAGCATTGCCTTCACTGTTAAGACACATGACCCAGTGCACAGTTTCATTCAATGACAAAGGGAGATTGCTACCATTGGTAACAGTGTTTGATTCCAGAAAATAAAAACGAAAAAAAAACATCGAAAGGTGTAATATAATATGAAACTTAGCCATCTCCATACCTAGTTGATAGTCCAGACATCACTCATCGTTTGAGACCAAAACCAAGTACCGTCGCTGGCTTGCCTCGCTAATGAAAAGCTGTCAAAGCAAAATTTAGAGTCTGCACTCGTTAGTGTCTCCTTCAAGTGCCTGTGTTCTGTGCGATCGATCATTGAGGAAAAGAGGGACATGTGTGGCACAGTATCAGAGGAAATTGGTAGATAAAAGTTATTCTCCTGCACGGCCGAGTCACAAAAAACTTGTGGGCCATGTCAAGTACAATCTTAGCGATAAAACATCATGCTGTGCCACAGCATGCAGGGACGGAGAGTGAAAGATAATGCGGGTGGGTTCAAAAAACACATACCTGTTGACGACTCTGGCCCGTTACCAAAAACACCGGGCCGGCCACGGCCAAAATATACCCTGCCCATTGAACATCCTTGGAACAAACGCCGTCGTAGAGGACAAATGAAATATTTAAAAAAAAAAAAAACGTAAAACGAAATACGACAGCACACCTCAGTCTTCAGCTCGCTTCAGCCCTGTCGCAGAACTGACACTGCTAAAAACAGACAGCACGCTGTCGACCACAGCCTTGGCCATGCCCTGACCGCGCTTGGACGTCGACGACGAGGACAGGCCGCTGTTGATTCCGCCGCCGCCACCGCCGCCGCCCAACCCGCCGGCGTCGTTGCTGCCGCCGCCCATTGTCGGAAGCACGTTGTCGCTGGCCGACAGGCTCACAAACAGCGCAAAGGGCACCAGCCACACGCAGATGCCAAAGTAGGATGCAATCTGCATAAACGTCGGCACGTTGGCGGGCGTGTCGTAGTACGACGACATGTTCTGATAGGCACGCTGCTGCGTCGTCGAAAAGTACTTGAACCAGACGTAGTGATCGAGCAGCACGAGCACACACGAGAGGAGGAAAAGAGGGTCGCTCAGCTGGACGTAGGGGAACCGCCGCATGTTGCCGAGGTAAACGACATGGGAAAAGATGCCGAGCAGTGTCTGCCACAGGGGGAACCGGTCGACGATGCAGAGGACGGCCTGGAGGACGATGATGCCCTGGATGAGGCGGTTGAGAAAACGCTTGGCGAACACGGTATGCTCCTCGACGAGTTCGGAGAGGTAGTAGAGGCCGGAGGCTGTGAGACGAGGCAGCGTTAGGTTGCGTGATCAGACCTAGACAGAACCATGCAAGGCCGTATAGGAAGCACATACCAATGGCGAGTGTTAGGAAGCCGAAGCCCACGACGGCGCCCACATAGCCAACGAGCGGGAGAATCCACATGGTGGCGAAGAGAATGAGGGGGACTATGGACGAATGTCAAGAGAAAGACAGATGCGAGAAAAAGAAGCTGCGGAGGACACTTTGCTCGGCCGCGAGCTGCGGAGGAAAATGGAGTGTGGAACGAGAGAAGAGCCTGTGGAGAGTGGATGTCGACTTCTAATCGCAATGTGCTGAACAGCTGTTCGCTTTGCGTGTCGTGGCCGGACCAGACTTAGCGCGTGGCAGGTACCTGTTTTCGGCAGGCGTGGGAGGCAAGAGCTGTGGCATAGCTGGCTGAGGTACTTTTGCACGGCGTTACTCCTTATTGGAAGTGCGTAGTTAATCCGGAGAATTAGTCCGGAAATGGAAGCGACGCCAAAAATAAATTGGAAAATGGGCGGGTGCGATAAGATAAGGAATTGAGCCCCACCAAAAAGTTTGAATGCTCGACATCAGTGAATATCAGCGAACGACTGGAGGCGGCGACAACAGCGACAACAGCGACATTGACGTGTCTAGGCATTATCAGGCACTTGATAATCACTTCATTCCTTTCAGAAGAGAGATCAAACAATAGAACAGCGCAAAAAGGCCCATACTCCGGCCACCACTTCCCGCCACCATGTCGCGCCCTGAGGATACCCTGTAAGTTTGGCCATTCCCTGCAAAGCAACAAGCTTCCAACGACGTCCTCAAGCGATCTCTAACGGTTCCAAGCGCCGCCGACATCCATTACGACGACACAGAAGCGAGAAAATATACGACGAGCTCCCGTATACAAAATGTCCAGGCGTCCATGACCCGGCGCGCCCTCGAGCTGCTCGACCTGCCAGGACCGAGCTTCATCCTTGACGTGGGCTGCGGCAGCGGCTTGTCGGGTGAGATTCTGACACGCTCGGGCACGTCAATACGGCGGAGGCGGAAGGGCGACGGCTCTGCAGGGGTTGATGACAACAATGACGACGGCACCGCGGACGACGAGAAGGACGACGACGACGGCGACGACGAGAGCGAATACTCGGGCGTGAGCGACGACGATAGCATTGAGGAGGAAATCGGCAATGGACCGCACGTGTGGGTCGGCATGGACGTCAGTCCGTCGATGCTGGATGTGGCTCTGCAGCGCGACGTCGAAGGCGACCTGCTGCTCGCCGACATGGGCCAGGGCGTGCCCTTCCGCGCCGGCTCCTTTGACGCGGCCATCAGCATCAGCGCCGTGCAGTGGCTGTGCAATGCCGAGAGCAGCGACACGTCGCCCCAGGGCCGCCTCTCGCGCTTTTTCAACGGTCTCTATGCGTCGCTGCGCCGCGGTGGCCGCGCCGTGTGCCAGTTCTACCCGAAAAACGACACGCAGCGGGCCATGATCACGCAGGCGGCCGTGCGTGCCGGTTTCGGCGCGGGCATTCTGGAGGACGACCCGGGCACCAAGAACATGAAGGTGTACCTGGTGCTGACGGTCGGCAGCGGCGCAAGCAGCGGCGACATCACGGGCGTCGTGTCCAACATGGACGGCGTGGACATTCTGGACGACCGGGGCGCGCGCGCACAAAACGGCCGCGTCAAGAACAAGCAAATCAAGAAGGGCAGCAAAGCCTGGATTGCCAAGAAGAAGGAGCAGATGGAGCGCAAGGGCAAAGTCGTCAAGGCCACGTCCAAGTACACGGG